TCTGTGGATCCGAGGTGAAGGGAATCCGGAACAGGTCTTGAGGATCATTCAGGAAGAAGGTCGTCAAGAAGAGCTCGGTTGGGTTGTGTCTGCGATGACGAGGCTCCAGAGAGCGAATTCAGCTCGAAATGTCCTTCGCAATGATCGCAGAGAAGACCTGTTCGACGTTCCCGATATTGTTTCGGAAGAATCCAACGGGCGCCCTCTCTCATTTAATGATCCTGGTTGGACAGGAAATAGACACGGATATGGCGAGTCATCAGCCATGTCGGGCGCGCTCACCACAGATGACGATTTCATGGCAGCCAGCGCCGGGCCCTCCTTCCAGCCTTCTTCACCACTCGAGCGTTCTAATGATGACTTTGGCTTCCAAGCCCCCAGCATTTCCTCCGAATCTTCAGAGCACACCGAAGAGCGAACTGATGCATTGCGGCCAGGCTCGGCTGACGAGGGTCATCCACCGGAACCCCGCAACTCGGGCCCGGAGGTCATTGCGGGCCAAGCTCAGGCCGGTAGTGGGGAATCTTCGACAACTGGTATTCGGGGGGTCGATGGACCTTCTGATGATACTCATGTCAATTCAGCAGAATCGGCTGCTCCGGTTCCACAAAATTTAGTCGACCGCGTTCTTGACTGGCTCTGGGGAGACATCGTGCCTCGCCAAGGAGCGGAAGAACCAGGTCATGACGATGAACACATCATCGAAGACCCAGCCTTGGAAGCACCTTTCGTGCCAGTACAAAATAGGCAAAACGCAGCTGGTGGAGGACGGGCCGGCAACCAATTCGCTGCACCAGGACCGGATGGTGAAGTAAATGACGTCGATGCTGTGGAGGAAGCTGATGACTTTGAGGGGATCTTGGAGCTCATCGGCATGCAGGGGCCAATCTTTGGCCTATTGCAGAACGGAGTATTCAGTGCTCTTCTCATCTCTTTTACCGTGGCTGTCGGCATCTGGCTTCCTTACCTCTGGGGAAAGATCGCCTTGGTCTTCTTGACTAACCCGATCCAACTCTTTGTGGGCGTTCCTCTGGCTCTTCTCTCGATCACTGCTGATGTTGCAGTCGACACTCTAATTGGCAGTGTAGGCTATATCCTATACTGGGTCAGCATCGTTCTGAGGTTCCTTCTACGACCTGTCGATGGTTTCGTGCCTGTCTTTAATTGGATTCCCAAGAACGCCTCGGTTACCAATACATCACTATCTCTTATTGATGGCAGCAGCCAAAGGCTGAGAAGGGTTATAGACAGCTTTTTCAATTTCCATGAATCAGACCTTCCCATGTTTTCCGTCCTTTCTCACCAAGCGTTGCGCATTCACGAGGCGCGGGTTATGGGTCTCTTCCGCTTGCTGTTTGGCATTGGGAAATTCATCTTGCATGATCTTCCTCTGAGACTTCTCTCACAAGGATTTCGACAAACCCTCTTACTGGGTATTTCCCGCATTGACCCCGTCGCCGTTCTTGCAAAACTCCGGCATTCATTGCAGATGCTGGATCGGTCGATGTTTTTCTCATTTGGCAGCCTCGACTGGCTCAACAGCAAGGTCGTTGTCAGTGTTCCCGCTGACCAGATTCCTTCCGACTACGATCTGGCACAGTGGGACACCAAAGATCGCATCATTGCAATCATAATTGGATACATTTTCGCCTCCCTACTTGGTCTTCTCTACCTTAAAATTACTGGTCTGATTTCGGGAGTAAACCGCGGCCAGAGAATTGAAGGCGTTGTTGCCGACGTGCTTCATCAAGCTGGGGGTGTCATGAAAGTAATTCTGATCATTGGCATCGAAATGATCGTATTCCCCCTGTACTGCGGTCTTCTCCTCGATCTTGCGTTGATGCCGCTGTTTGAGAATGCGACACTGGCCTCCAGGATCGAGTTCACCAAGTCGTCGCCTCTCACGTCCCTTTTCGTCCATTGGTTTGTTGGGACCTGTTACATGTTCCACTTCGCGCTGTTCGTTTCCATGTGTCGGAAGATAATGAGAAGCGGCGTTCTCTGTAAGTAGCCCCCTTTTTAAGATATGTGGACCCTCTAACTGATGATTCTCCTGGTAGATTTTATCAGAGATCCTGATGATCCAACCTTCCATCCTGTGCGTGATGTCCTTGAGCGCAATATCATGACGCAGCTGCGGAAGATTGCGTTCAGCGCTCTGGTCTATGGTGCCTTGGTCATCGTATGCCTCGGTGGTGTTGTATGGGGTCTGTCGTTTGCATTCGAAGGTGTCCTCCCTATCCACTGGTCGTCCAACATCCCTGTCCTTGAATTCCCTGTGGACCTGCTCTTCTACAATTTCGTCATGCCGTTCCTGATCCGTTCACTAAAACCGTCGGATGGTCTGCACGCCATGTACGACTGGTGGTTCCACAAGTGCGCACGTCTACTACGCTTAACAGAGTTCCTCTTTGGTGAGAGACGCCGCGATGAGGAGGGTCGCCATGTCAGGCGCACGTGGCGGGATGTCTTCGCGGGAAAGAAAGGAGATCCGGAACATCCCGTCGTGGGTGAAGAGCAAAGAAGGATTGCGGAGAAGGAGGGAAGAGATGTGTACTTCCTCCGTGATGGACGCTATGTCCGCGCTCCCGCCTCCGACCAAGTGCGCATACCCAAGGGGGGCCAAGTGTTTTTGGAAGTCACCGAAGACAACAAACGTGTCGATGGCGCTCCGGATCGGGATGATGGTCTGCATGGCAGGAAGAGTGACATGTTCACGAAAGTCTATATCCCTCCGTTTTTCCGGCTGAGGATTGCCGCCTTTATTTTCCTGATCTGGGTGTTCGCTGCCATTACTGGAGTTGGCGTCACGGTGGTGCCCTTGGTTCTTGGTCGGAGAATGATCTCGTCTCTTTTCCCGAGCGCCATCCGCGTGAATGATATCTATGCCTTCTCGGCTGGGATCTATGTCCTGGGTGGTGCTGCCTATGCTCTATGCTACTGCCGAACGGGGTATTCCATCCTCAAGGAACGCTTGCGACCTGTCTTCGCTTCTCCGCGCCAGGCCATTGCAGGGGCAAGGGAAGTGGCTCTGCAGACACTTCGCTTGATCTATGTTTCCGCCGCGTTCGTCCTATTTATCCCGTCTCTTTTCGCCTTGCTCACCGAGCTCTACGTGCTCGTGCCTCTGCACACGTACCTGGAGGACCACCAGACCCATGTCATCCACTTCATTCAGGACTGGACTCTCGGAGTGCTCTATGTCCAGATGGCGCTCAAGTTTATCCAGTGGCGATCCACCTCTCGTCCGGCGCTGGCCCTCAATGCCATCGTTCGTGACGGTTGGCTGCGACCGAATGCCAGCATCGCCACCCGGGCCTTTATCCTTCCTGTCTCTGTCCTGGCGCTCTGTGCGGTGGTCCTGCCCCTCTTCCTTGGCTTCATTGTCAACACCGTCCTTTTCCACAATTCTGCTGCCGCGATTCATGCGAAGGTTTACCGCTACTCCTATCCAGCGTCCTTTATGGCGGGGTTGATGGTCTGGTTTGCGTACCTGCTTCGCAGACAAGTCGAAGTGTGGAGGGCGCACATCCGGGATGATGTCTATCTCATTGGGGAGCGGCTACATAACTTTGGCGAGAAAAGAGCAAGGGATGTTACCAGCGTGCCCCCGAGGATGAGGACGTCATAGGCATGGAAGGTTTTTTTTTCCCCTTGTTTGTTTCTTCATTTGTAAATCGATACGATTTATGTAATATGTAAATATTTAGATTCTGAATGCAGGCTTTCGACTCCTTATCTGTTATCTACCTACTTAGGATAGACTGTACTCCATGTCAATATCACGATTTCCCGTCTGCTCTATAAAACCGTACCCTCTGTAGTTTTCCAGCAATGCCATCATACTGATTTATTATACAATTTCTGTAATTATATTCGATTCCATGTCATCCTTGCCGTGGTCCCACACCAACGCCTCCCTTTTCGCGCCGTGTTTTCGCGTCTTTCGAGCGTTCCCTCTGCTTCATTCGCTGAGATTTTTGCTGCATTTCTGCAGCATGGTGAGTCTTTCGTTCCATCCCCACAATTTCGTATGAATTGTTTGGTGCGATTGCGGCTATTCTACGACCCCTAAGTCTTGCTTGGTGAGATTGTCCTGACCTGATCGTTGCACTAAATGTCATTGTGAGTGCCTGGCTTCTCAATTCCTATTCACAACATCCTCGAATCTGTTCTCTGCATGAGCAGTCGTCACATTCTCCTTTTTTTTTGGCCTTGTTTCTTATCCTCTTAACCATGACAGAGTCCAGGACAGTGAGACCCTGCAGAGGGACCTTGAATGCCTGAAGCCACTTGCTGCCGGCCTATACATGTGATAATGACCATGAAATTGCGACTTGGCCATGAACTGCAAGCCAATGGCAAAAAATCCTGCACTCTCGAGGCTGACTTCGTGAGTCAGAGTGTACCGCGAATTCGGGACAAGGCTCCTCTTGAACCGAGAAAGCCTCAACTCTATCCTGGTCAATTAGGGATAGTGTGATGATGCGTCTGCGTGTCGATAAGCTTATTGCACCATCCATCTCTGCAAGGCTGGACTAGGCTATATAACCTCACATTTGTTGCAGGACTGGCTACTAGCTTCACAGTTATGGAAACCTGACCGGGATGATGATCATAGAGCGACTGGACAATCTTCAAAAGGACCAATCAACTACGTCAGCACAGTACTCAGCAAGGTTTATCTGGATTAAGTTAAGGGAAAGTTGCCGTGCCCCTTCCTGTCTGTGGATGCAGTGAGTGTTTTACTGCCGGAGCCCTTCTTCTTGAGCTATGTGTGGTCAATGTAGAGCAATGTACGCTGTTTGGGCACTGTGACCCTCCAGATAGGAGCATTGCAGCCATTTCAGTACATGCGCCTCCAGATTTCATCGAAGAAGACGAGATCTTGGGTAGCTTCGATCTATTTATTCCTACAAACATGCCCAGATCTCCCTGATAGCCGTTCTACATGGCAACTGCGTGTGACTGCCTGCCACCAGTCCAGTCACCCAACAAGGCAGGTGCTGTCAAGATGCGGCCTATAGCGGAACACGGCACCATAGGGCGCGCGACTTCCTTCATATGATTAGGATATGCTCCTTCCGTAGGTAAACGTAGGACGGGACTTATATGCCCGCTCAATCCCGTCTGGCCATTCTGATTCTCTTTCTTTGCTAGTCTCCGGCCTTTTCAAATTCTTTCGTTCATCACCATTGACTCGCGGAGATTGTTCATCACCCTTCCCAGCCAACGTAAGTTGTCTGCCTAGCCAGGCTATGACCCATGCTGAATATACAGGTACACATGGGAAGGATTAGTCAAACATACTGTCATGAGCGCGCCATTCCCTTCACTCTCACAAGCTGTCATGTCGTCTCAATTGCTATCACCATCTCATAATATCAAATTCGATACTGCAGTCAAACGGTTCGGGAACGCAGCTGGCATGGAGCACTTCTCGCGCATTAAAGAGCGGCTGGCGTCGCTCGAAGAAGACATCAATCACCTTCATCCATATTGAAAGCTTGGCCATACAGCAAATAATCCTCAATTCACAATCCAAGCTGCCCACAAGCGACCCTGTTCGGCACATCAGAAATGTTCATGCACATGGCAGTAACGTACAGGCAGACATATATGCTATCTCTATCACCTGGACTGCAATGCTCGAAAGACACAAATTGTCACTGCACCTCCTGAGCTCATCTGCATCTGTGATATTATGGCCACCATGCAACTGGTGTCACTGTGGCAAAATCGGCCCATTACTTAAGCTGAATTTCTATGGCGGCTTATGCCAGTCCCTTGTGAGCAGATGGGAGGAGGCCTTAGACAATAAGACTGCAACAGGATTCTGGTCTGCCGCTGTTAACAAGTCAACCTATGAGAACATCATCAACTGGTATGACTAGTTGAGGTATTTGTAATCTACGATGCATAAAGGGTGTTAAGATACACCAGTTGAGCAGTATTATTAGTGACCTCCGATTGGGACGCGGTTCTGTTTTTGGCAATCACTGGTTTGAGTAAACTAAAGTCTGCTAGCTAGTAAGAACAGTGGACGCGAAGAAAGCATCTAACGCGGATCGAGCAAGTAACGCTTCTGCGTAAACAGCAAGCTCAGGGCGGTGTAAACAAGGCATAGCCATAATTGACAACTCACGTTCTGTAAGTTTTCTTTCAACACCCTGAGATCCTTTTTGCTCCATCTAAAAGAGCAAGTTAGTTAGAATCAATCTGAGTTAGCGGAGCCCTTTTCTTATCCGACTTGACGGACCAACGCGGGGTTGGAGATTCTGGAAACTTTGAGCGGATTGGGAGCAACTAAGTAGCCAGGAATCAGTTAAGGAAAAGACCAAGTAAAGTCATGGTCCTTCACCTTCGGGACGGAGGATCTCAAATTCCTCAACTTCATGCTGGTCCTCCTCATCGCTGATTCCCTCAGCAAATAAGTCTCTTACTGGTGTCTGCAATAACTCATCCAGTATTCGATGTGGTTTCCCAAAGATGGCTGACTCTATATTCCGCTGCCATCGCGCCTGTGTAGCTGGGAAACGGCCCTCAGGGGTGAGATGTGGCAAAGATGCAATTGCAGCTCAGATTATTGCATCAACAAACCAATAAATGGAATGTCGATTGCTGGCCTTGATACTGGAAATCATTTGCAAGATATGGAGCTCCTTGCCATCTAGGCGTAGAAACTGCCAGTTAATTCCGTCAGATACCATCCCATATATAGTATCCACAATCCTTTTGGCATCATCAGACATCCGCTGTTGCTGAATCCCGACCATATATGTAGTTGCCTGAGCAAGGCCTGCCACAAAGGTTGCTTGTCTCTTGGCTTCCACAATGATTGAATAGCTTTCTGATCATAGCAGGATCATAGCCAAGTACATAATCTGCTGAACCTGAAATGGCTGTCTGAGCCCTCGAGCAAACTGCATTGATATGGTATTCCCCTCGCATCACTAGATTTCGGGCAGCAAACTCCTCCTGGTGTGCCTCCAGTCGGTCAAACAGAACAATATCAATCAATGTCCGGGATACATCCTATCACCGCCTTTTAAGCATTCGATTCCCCACTGTCGTCAAATGATATTCGACCATTCAAAATACAAAATGCGTTAATTGAATCAGCACGCCTTAATAGTTCTGCTTGCTAATGTAATTTCCTATATTTTGGAAAAAAATCTTCACAAGCCTGTTTGCTTTTCACTCCAATAATGCATTAAAGCTTCTTGACCTGATTATATTACTTACTGTCTTTTCTCTTATCTAGTTTGTAATATTTTACGATTAAATCATCTTATACTTGCATTTTAACCTTATAACCGTAAATTCCTCTTGATTTCTTTCTTTTAATGAATAGTTAGATGTTATACGATACTCTGTAGAGCAGTGCTTTTATCACGTGTAATAGATTCCGGAGTAAAGTTTCTCCGTACGGATCGCAGCTGCCTGGAGGCGCCGCGTGATCGGCGGGGCGCCCCACCTGCCAGCCCCATCCAATCGGGGCTAATCGATCGCCAGGCATGGCGCCGCGCGCTCCCATTGGTTAGGCAACAGAATTATCGATCGCCCACGCCGTGTCGCTGCTCTGCTGCAGCCTGCTGCATCTTTTATGTCCTACAGTCCTGCAGCAGACCGCTCCTGTCATCTATATCTTTCTTTGACAGACCGCGCTGGAATCGCTTTCTTTTCTTCTGCGATGTTTTGAGCGTCGCTGGTTTAGTGGAATTGAGTCTATTGCTCTGCGTCATAGTCGTCGGATCGGACGTCGGCCAACATGTCCGTCCTCCGCCATGGAGGTTCTTACCTCCAAAGACGCCTCACTAAGATGTATACCGACACAAAGACTTCCTGTGAGAGCGTCACTACTGCCTCCAAGGCGAATGACGATCCCGAACTGGTGGCGCTGCATCGCAATTACCGGACCCAAAAAGATAGGCTCCTCGCCTGGGGTCTAGATTGGAGCGATTCCAATGCCGCGCAGCCGAACGATATCGATGAATCGCTTACGGAAGCGGGCTTCAGTGATGTAGTTGCCAGCGTCATGTCCTCCATCCAGAAAATTCTGAACGAAGCAGAGCGTCTGCAGCGCGTCGACCCGCCCAACCTCCCTCCAAAGGGTGGCTCCGGAGACCTTCCCTCCGAAGATGATCTCAGCAATCTGCCGTTAAAGACGCACTGGACGGAAGAGGATATCAAGCGCTCATACAGCCTGTTGGAGGATCTGACCGCGTGCATTGATACCTTGTACGATCTGTCGCGTTCCCGCCGTAACATGAGCATGAGCATGTCTTCAAGTGAGCAGACAGCCGCCAAGGTCAAGTCACGTTCGCAGGCCAGTTCAAAGCCCTCGAAACCGACGGGTGACTCGTTCCGTTCGCTCTCTGTCGACTCCAAGTCTCCGTCAGCAGCTCGAGAGCTTTACGAGAGTCCGGTGGAGTGGAAGGGGAAGGATCATTCCGAATTCACGACATTCAAAGAATCCGCTCAGGTTGAACGTTCTCAACAAGAAGCACCTTCCGCCGTGAAGCGTCTCTTTATCGACCGATCGGCTTTGCAACTCTCGGGGGATTCTCACGAGAAAAGTCCCCCTCCCTATGAGCAGGTGGTCCCGTCTGCGAATTCGCGGATCATTGGTCGAATTCAAACCTCGGCGACCCCATTTCTGACGGGACTGACCAAGGAGTCGACGATTCCAATCTTGGTCGAATTTACTCCGATGATTCTCGAAAGTCAGAATTCCATCACAGTCCCGGCCGCAGAGCGGCTAGAGAAACTGCATCGATCTCTCGACCAGTTGGTCGAGAACTCGAGAGTTTCGCATCTTGGACTGTTACGGTTCCTGGGCTATTACATCGACATGCCCAATGCTCGCTATGCCTTTGTCTACCAGATGCCGATTGATTATTTCCCTTTCTTGAGCAACCCGAGCAATCTTCTGCAGGAGCTGAGGCCGAAAACCTTGGTTTCTCTCTTTCACTCAGGTGACGAGCACCAGGACATCCCGGTGCCCAGTTTGGAAAGTCGATTCCGCTTGGCCTACAATCTGCTTCTGGCGGTGCTGCACTTGCGGAGCCAGAATATCGTTCACGGAAACATCAATAGTAGCAATATCCTCATCTTTCCAGGGTTGAAAAATTCTAGCCAAGACGAGATCGGTAGCCTGACCGAGGATCTCCGCCATCCGTACCTTACTTCGCTTGCTCAATTTTCTGGCAATGAACCGTCACCGGAGCCGCTGTCGGCGAGCATGTACCGTCATCCGGACGATAAGAGGCAGCTCGATGATGAAGCCGCGTGGGCCTATGATCTCTATTCCCTTGGCTTAGTCCTGCTGGAGATTGGCCTGTGGACCCCAATCAGCCGATTGTGGAAAATGAAATACAACAACGCCATGTTCAAGCAGAGGATTGAAAACGTCTACATCAAGAAGCTGGCGTCCAAGTGCGGGAATGCCTATCTTCACGTCGTGCAGCTGTGCCTCGACGCTCCGAATTTCTTCCTTTCGACGGAACCGATGGCGGACCTGAGCCTGAGGGTACCCCAGGTTTACACTTATCCAGCCCTGGAATTGGCCGAACCGGACAGCACCTTTGCATTCTCGACCAACTTCCTCTTCACTCTGTCCAAAATCATTTGGCGCTGCTGTGCGATCGATATATTTTCCCCGCCCCCGGCCGAAGATCTAGATGACTGCCTCCCTCTAGCTCTCGGACAAGACCTGGAGACGGCAGTTCCATCTTCTTCTGACTTCCGTCAAGTTGAAACCCCCGAAATGTCCGTTGGGCCAAATGCGGAGACACTTGGTGGCGTGAGATTGTTGAGTGAGAGAACCGCTGCGGGCGAGAAGAAAGTGAAGAAACGGACATTGAAAAAGCTGACAAACGTTGAGATACCGCAAGAACATCTCAACCAGTGGAACTTCTACATGTTGCCCAAGTTGAGCAAACTTTTACAGAAGGTCCTGCGAGATTCGTCAGAGTCATGCAGCGCCACTTTGATGATGACAGGCGAGACGGCCGACACCGCTAAGACGACGATCTGTGTGACTTGTTCCAGTGTCAAGAAGGTTCGGGCGGCCCTCAAGAAGTATTTCGAAATCGATCCAGACTGGGATTTGATTGTCCTTCGGGGTGATGTCACCCGATCCAAGGTACCCAAAAAGAGGCGACGGAAGCCACAGACGACGGGACCTGTCAACTCAAATGAGCCTGCTTTTTCGCAGCAGCCTAATTTAAATCCATATTACCAGCAGAAACCCCTCTGTGGAGCATCTATTGGCGCCTTTCGGAACGAGGAACATCTCCCTCCGGTTTCTTATGGCGGAGCCATCTTGGTTGATGGCATGCCATTCGGCATGACTGTGCACCATATGCTCGAAGCCCCGAGCGACGACGAGGGCGAGGTGGAGGACGAAGATGGTGATGGTGGGGATTATCCACCGCGCTCATCTGCGAACTGGGCCGGAGACATGGGAATGTCATCAGCAGATTTTTCGTACACCTGGTGCGGCGATGACATTCCGGAAACGCACTATGAGTTTGAGATCACCGATGATGAGGATGCCCAGTCGGTCTCGCAGGACTTGGGGGATTATTGGCTCTCCGACGACGAGTCCTCGGATGATGAGGGGTTCGATCCGAACGACCCTTATGACGAGGATGCCGCTTCAATCGGGGACACAGCGGGAATCAGCCCGGACGAAGAACCACGATTGATCGTCACGCAGCCGGCGATCGATGACGTGCATGAAGACTTCTTCCCTATCCTCGAAGATCGAGATGACGAGCATCTGGCTTCCCACAGGCTTGGATACGTCCACGCGTCGTCAGGTCTCCGGCGCTGGATGCGGAAAGGGATGAAGCATGAAATCGATTGGGCTCTCATCCAGTTGGATGAGGATCGGATGGATCCTCGCAACGTCATTCTCAGTGGTGCTTCTTCTTCTCGAAACGGCTCCAGACAGCGACGGGGAGAGCGCGGCACCAACGACGCACCGATTCAACTCAATAAAGTCGCCAGACTGGAGGAATTAGGGGGCTTGAAAGTCCATTGCTGTGGGCGGACCAGTGGCCTGCAGAGTGGGCAGATTTCGAAAGCGATGACCCTGGTGAAACTGCGTGGACGACAGACCTTCTCGACCAGTTTCTGTGTTGACGGCAACTTCGGAGGTAAGCCACCAAAGTCTTGGATTATTCATTATTTTGTTACTGATCGGGGTCGAATTGCAGTTCCTGGTGATTCTGGGGCATGGGTGTTCGACAAATCAACTGGACGAGTGTGTGGGCATGTCCTGGCGTGGTCTGAGAAAAGCCGGACGGCGTACATTGCTCCGATGCAGGTGCTTCTCGAAGACATCGCGCGCACCTTGGGTGCGTCGAAAGTGACACTACCGGGATGCCAGGACGACAGTGTCACGGCGGCCGCGGCACCCCCGACGTCAGTCGAAGCTTATGATGCAAGAAGACAGCGTCACGAGCTGCCGATCATGACGGAGCAGTTTCCCGTCGACATTGGCAGGCTGAATCTGGGGGGTCTGGATGAACGGCCGGGACTGAGCAGAATGGTAGGGAGTGGACGGGGGATTCGAGACGTGTCTGCGCCTTACCGGCCAGGTCTGTCGCTGATGACTCGAGCGGGCGGTCCAGAACGACAGCTTGCATAGTATGAGATGAGCATGAGCGTGAGCATGAACATGATGGATGATGGCAATTGGTTATGTTAGAGTTCTTGATGTTTATGATACCAGTGTATATATAGAGTTGTTGTCGTCTTTCAACGAGGTTCTATCCAGTACCTTTCTTCTTATGAAATACGTAAGGCAATGAACTAAAACTGAACTAATAAAATAAATGTTGACTTATTCATCAGCCAGCCTGTCGAATCGCTGCCAGCCAACAACCCCCTCGCGGAGGTGGCATACCACAACGCGATCCAGCAATCCAGGCGGATAGATCTGCCTCGATCTCTCGTGGAAACTCGACCGCGACGAGGGCAACGATTGGGAGATCTAGCGCGCCAACGCAGACGCCCTGCGCCTAGACCAGGACATTAACAACTCGGGGCAAACGACGCTGGTGTTGTTCGCGACAGTCCAGCGCGCCATCGAGCAGTATCGCATCTTCATCGACCAGCAGGAGGAGGACCCGACCCGACCCGGCAGGGTAGGGCATCCCCATCATGATCCGGCCGGACATGGACAACATGTACATACATGTACTGTACGTCGGCAACGCGCAGGCCCTGACCGGTCTGTCGGACGTCGAGCGCTACGCCGTGGCGATCCACTGGGTCGGCGCAGGCGCCAATCTCCTCACGGGCTCGGACCTGACGCAGCTCGACACGCTGGGCCAGGAGCTCCTCTACGACCCGGAGGAGGTGCTCGCCATCGCCGACTTCACGGCAACTTACCCCATGCAGCCCAAGAATCCGTTCAACGCCGCCAACCCGGGCGCGCAGGCCTCGTCGAAGCTGCAGGCGTGGATCGCAGGACCAGACACGACCAACAACCAGAAGAACGCCGTCGTCGTGCTGGCCAACTACGGGCCCGACCAGGGCCTTTGCAAAGGCGGGTTTGGCACCAGCCTGGAGGGCGTGCAGCTGGTCAACATCTCCCTGGCAGATCTGGGCATCGCGGAGGGCCAGCCCAATGGCGCTCCTGGATGGAATGTGCGCCGAGTCTTGGGAGGAGGCGCTCGGGGGGGATCAGACCATGCGGATCTGGGAGTCACCAGCACATTTATGGAGTGCAATCTAGGGCTGGGGGAGAGTGCGCTGTACAAGCTGACAGCCAGCGGCGGCGGCAGTAGCAGCAGCAGAAGCAGTTAATTTCTTTGAAATAGCATCTGAATTGAGTACAGTTGTGATGGAATTTTGCCTTTGACTGCTAGATAGAGAGGAAAGAATAAAAGAACATGCTGTAACAAAAACAAATATACAAGAAAAGGACTAATTGTCCTTTGTCAGTACTATGTACCTACCTGTTAGTAACCTACAGGGTGCACTGAGGGTCACTGAGGAAGGAGAGCCAAACCCTCACTTTACCCGACTCTTGAGCATATGCTAGTCATATGCTGAAGACAAGGCTTATAAGTTGGAAAAAGTGAGATGTTAGGTCAAATGCTCACTTTACCCAACTTTAAGGCATATGCTGAGCACATGCCAAAAAAGAAGGCTCAGAAAGTCGGACAAAGTGAGTGTTTGACTTGACTACCTTATTTCTAGTTTTTTTACTAGTAGGTTGTATTACCTCTGGGTTGGAAAAGGTGAAGGGTTGACATTCTTTTACCAGTAGGTCATATTATATGCTGATACCAAAGGCCAGACAAAGTGAAGGGTTAACATTTTTGCACAGTACTAGTAGCTTATATTATCTACCAATACCTACTAATACCTCAAGGCCGGAAAAAGTGAGAGTTTGAGCATTTTCCTACCAGTAACTTATATTGCTTACCAATACCTCTGGATCGGACAAAGTGAGAGTTTGACTTGAGTACAGTATGTATTTCTAATTTCTACTAGTAACTCATATTATTTACTAATAAATAAAGGAATTTCCTACCAGTAGGTTATATTACCTACTAATACCTAACCAATACCTAAAGGTTGGACAAAGTGAGGGTTTAAAAAATTTTCCTACCAGTAACTCACATTATTTACTAATACCTATCAGTTGGAAAAAGTGAGAGTTTGACTTGTCTATTTCTAGTTTCATATGGACAGCTGCCCCAAAGGACAGCAGACAAAGGAAATGCTTCCTGTTCTTTTACTTTAGCTGTGTTATATCCAAATCGAAACCTAGAAATTCGTATCTAAAAATAAGACATCATACATACACACATAACCACATGCTTGTTATCACGTTGACAAAGAAAAAAAAAACGAACGAATGAGACATTCCAACCTCCATCCCATGGCCCATCGTAAAACGGCCTTCTATTCCCCCATCTACCACAGACAAATGCATCACGACATAAACATAACAAAAGGAAAACACAGTCCGGATCCAGAAATCCAAGAATAGAGGAATCTAAGAAGAGAGATATTTCAGCACAGACTCCCGCTCCTCCACTGGCAGCATGCTCAGCACTTGCTGGACTCCCTTGAGTCCACCCTCCTTGTTGCTCATCAGCAGCTGGGCAACGTCATAGGCCACCGATTCCGTCTTGAGGGCCTCAATCTTCGAGTAGATCGTCTTCTTGTTCTCTTCGTACCACAGCGCCACCTTGCGGTCATTGCGCTCGAATTCGTCGTCCAGCAGACCGGTCCAGGACCGCAGAGTCTGCAGGTGAGTCTCCCGAACAGAAGGCTGAGAAGAAGTAGCAGATCCGTTGGCCGGAATGGCGCCGATATCAGCGGGTCGAGCTGGCTGGTGCGGTGCTGCCTCGATCATTCGCTTCAGGATCAGCTCCTCACTCAAGCGACGGCGCAGACGCCAGTAGAAGAATCGCCTCGCGTCCTTCCACTGCAGAGGCCGACGGATCGCTCCCTTGGCCTCCATTCGGCCCGCCCGATCATGGAGGTCGGCGAACTGCAGCGCGATCTGCGTGTACACCGGGAGAAGTTGCTCCTCACGGGCAGCCATCTTCGCCTTGACCTCCGACAGCTGCTCCGTGCTGAGAGACTTGTCTTCGAGCGCGCGTCGGAGCTCGCCATAGATGGGATCCAGTCGAGCCATCGTGTCGAGTTGCTTCTCGCGACGGAATTTGATGTTCACAATACCCTCAGGCTCGAGAACACCACCACGAGATTCTTCGTCGGCGTACATTTCCATCTGATCCGGGTTGATGGTAGGATCGATGACCACCCAGGAACCACCACGAAGCTCACCATTTGGCGGAATGTAGACGAAGATGGGCTGCTCATACTTGACCAGAGCGTCGACAATGTACGAACCGTACTTGAGGACTTCGTTGTACATGTCACGCTGTCCACCCGAGAAACCACGCCAGTTGGCCAGAATCATGACCGGAAGCTGTTCGCCATTGTTGAAGTCACGGAGAGCCTGTGCGGTCTTGAAAGCGGAGTTAGGGAACCACACTCCACCAGCTTCGGTGGTGACCATCTCCATCGAGTCGGGATTGGCAGGATCCGCAGGAGTGACATTGTCAACGGACCGGGTCTCCACGGCAATGACTCCCAGAGGGATACCGCCGAGTCTGGCACGGCCAACGACCACCGTTCTGGCCCATCCGCCAAGACTCTCCTGGAAGGAGTCCTTATCGAACAGACCAGGAAGGAAACCATCCTCCTCTTGCTTACCGGCAATGAGCCACCTCACGTCGTACGTCTGCTTAGGAGGCGGGTAGTAAGCAATGTCACGATCCCAGGTGTCGGAGAACGGAGTGATGGGAACCGGGGAACCCTTCTTGTCCGGCACGTAGGACATCCAGTCAACGATCTTCTGGATACCCTCAAAGTCGTCATTGGCCGTCATGTGGGAGACACCGTTCCTGTACATGATCTGCGTTCCACCAAGCTGCAGGTTGGACGTGTACACTTCTCGGCCCAGCAGCTTGTTGATGGCAGGCGCACCGGTAAGGATGATGGGCTGACCCTCGACCTGGATCGCTCTCTGTCCAAGACGGACCAGATAGGCACCGATACCGACCGAACGACATGTCACCAGGGTGATGGTGAAAATGTCTTCATACGCCCGCGATGTGGCACCCGCAATCAGACCCGAGCCTCGCAAACACTCAACACCCAGGCCATCCTTGGCTCCGACAATCGTCGTGATCTTGTGTCTCTCCTCACCATCTTCGTAGACAACCTCCGTAATGACCTCCTTGTTCTTTCGCTCGTCGAATTTCTTCTTGACTTCGGGGGTCAAATAGAGGTATTTGAACCCAGCCTCCGGCTTCTCGGGGTCATTCCAAGCAACATTGAAGTAGGGGATCAGCTCCTCGGCCATTCCGATACGGGCACCCGAGTTTGCAGAGAGGTAGACGCGCGGGATTCCAAGCTTCCTCGCGAGCTCCGTACACTTGTGGAAGAACTTGTCTTCCTGCGGCCCAAAGGAGCCGATCTGGTAGGTGATATCGTTGGCGACGATAATGAATCGCCGGCCACGAGGATACTCGGGCGTGTACGCAGTCACGATCCACCCAACCATACCGTGCGTGTTGGTTCCAGCTTCTCGATTTACCTCCACCAGGTTATCCTTGTCGTCCAAGACGAGTTCGTTGTATTCGATGCATTCGCCAACGGGCGGCCGTTTCTCAGCAAGCGATGGGATCTTCTCGATGCTCTTCGTCCAGCTGTTCTGGAAAGCTTGACGGAACAGCTCGGGGAAGTCGTACACATATTGCGTACCCATCAGGTGGGCCTTGTACCGCTTGGGCTGCAGCCATTCCTTGGTCGGGTATGGAGTCGAGACAGGACGCAGGTGCATCGAGCCGATCTTGTTCGTGCCTCCGATGCTGTGGAAGATCCACTCACCCTTCTCGGACCTCTTCTCCACGTACAATTCAATCTGAATGATGAATCCATACGTGTTCTGGATAATGACACGGAGTGGGTAAGGCATTCCAGAGACTGGGTCAGTGCACAGGATACGGATCTCAGCTCCAGTCACCCGCAGTCGCCACAGACGAGGGCCAAACCGCTCCAGGAAACCAGCCAGGGCCTCCTCGACATCCTTGGGCTGAAGATTGAACACGGGCGAGAAATTGATGAAGATATGGTTCATGTCCGAGTTGTTGTTTCCAATAACCTCCAGGGCGTCGAGGATATCGTTCAAGAGTCGGTCCGCTTCGGAGATCAAGTACTCCGTCGTGGGAATATCATCCCGGAGACGGCCAGGACGCACAACGGCACGGGTGAAGTATCGCTTGTCGACCGCCTTGTCATTCTCGGGACCCTTTCCGATCGCTTCGTACACATGGATGTTCCTGTTCTGCGTGAAGACAGGCTTGATCTTGAACTTGGACAGACGGCCCAGTTCCAGTTGGAAGGCCAGAGCGGGCTCGCTGTGCCGAATGCTCTCATCTTCCTCGTACAGCGGGCCACGGAAGGTGAAATAGCCCGGGTAGGCACCATCCTTGTGACCACAGATGAAAGTCACCCGACGAACGTGGCGCTCCAGCAGCTCTTCCTTGTGGTTCTGAACGATGGTGTTAAACTGGGCAAAGAGCTGAGCATCATCCAGGCTTTCCACATCACGGATGGCGACGGTGCAAACCCCGGTGAGTTCGCCATCGCTGTCGGATCGTTGGCCGGGCCTCCGCTTGCCCTCGAGCTCGGCGATGAGGTTGTTCTCGAGACTCTTCCTCGGCTTGGCACTGCCACGAGGGAAGACCTCGAGAGCTCGGATCAGGTTCTCTTCTGCCTCTTCCAAATACTGAACGGGGATAATGACACCCTTCCGGGGAGCCTCATTCGGGTCGGCGTTGACCAAGTAGGACATGTCACTGATGGAGTTGATGCGCTTCATAAATGGATTCGCCGTGTCAGTAGTGGGCGTGCTGGGCGTCGATGGGTGAGAGGAGTCGACGGGCATGCCGAAGTCACCCTGGCCAATCTTGCCCAGCGCAAAGTCCCAGGATACATAAGGCGTGTCGTTGTCGGTGTGATAGTGGATGCCTTTTATCGTGTAGGCTCGATACGCACGGCGAACGTAAACTTCGAGAGCAGCCAAGGTGACCCAAGGGTCCGGGTGCGAGAAGAACTGCGGAAGGACGTCGAAGACGGTGTACTTGGAATCGACCACTTCCTTGAGAACGTTGAGGTCGGGTTCCCGGTGATCCCAGCCCGTCTCGCCATATCGTGATTCGACCACAGAGGAACGCAAGATATGCTCCATCTGGGCAGCCCTTTCCTCCAACGAGGGGAGCGCGCATTGAATCAGGAGTTCACGAGCCTTCAAGGCAACCTTGGATGCCGCCCGAGATTCCAGCTCGGTCAGTTTCCGCAAGATCGGCTTGAAGTACTGCCCGACATTACCAACGTTAGGCTTGTTCGGGCGGTACATCTCCAAGATTTCCAGGACAAGGTTGTTCTTCGAGCCGATCTTGCTATGGGAGAGCACCGTCTGGATGACGGAGAGAATGTCATCTTTGTTCTCGTCTCGCAGTTTCAGGATCACCTCCTCATCCCGGGTATTCCGTCCCGTGAATTTGCTCTCAACATCCCAGTACTGTTCCAAGAGGCCGATAAACACATTGAACTCGTGTGCCTTGAGGCCATCCTTGTACATATCAATCACATGTGTGAGAGGCAGGAGGGTGGTCTTGAGAATCTCCGCGTCGGCGGGATTGAGATTCTCCTCGATGAACTTGACGAGCGTCTTCTGAAGCTGTTTGGCTGGGAACTCGGCCTTTCTCGCCTTGGCGCGGTCGACCACCTGTGTCAGTTGACTGCTCAGCTTGCCCGGCATCCGCGAGTGGAGGGCGGAGAACTGAGCATTCCACTCTCCGTACGGAAGTTCGGGGTCGCGCAGCACCTCAACCAACTCCTTCAGCGTGGACTTCATGAGGAACTGGTTGTCGTAGCCTTTGAGGATGTCCTGGAGAATGCTATGAAGGAGCGTGAATCTCTGGGGAGGCTTGTTACCCACCACCTGTGGGGGACCGAAATCGGGCAGCTGTCCGAGGAACGGCTGGGCGTGCTTCACACGGGACGGATCATCCAGAGTGAGGATTCCCAGGATGTCACCGGCCTCCAGCGTCGCACCGGGCTGCTTGATGAACTGCACGGTACCGTCCTCCTGGGCAATCAGTGGCATGTACATCTTCATGACCTCGACCTCTGCGAACGGCTGGCCCGCTTTGACGTGATCGCCGTTCTCGACCGTGAATTTGACCAGTTTTCCGGGACTGGGAGTGCGGAGCTGAGTCGGATCATTTTCCTGTTCCAGCAAGCAGGTCTTCCCATCCACGCTCAGACGCGTGGCGGCCGCCTCTTCCTTCCAGTAGACATTGTGACTCCGTCCATTCAAGAGGATCAGCAAACCGCCGTCCGCCAAGGCACGAACACCCACAGAGCACTTGGAGCCGTTGATGAAGAGATGGTAGCTGTCCACACTTGCTCTGGTGGCGGTGAACTTGTATCGAGAACCTTCGTAGATGAAGTCCACCGGGAAGACCGTCTTGAGAACCTCCTTAGACGGGACCTGACCTTTCTCGAGTCCCTTCCGGTATTCCGCAATACAGGCCTCGCTGGCCTGGTGGGCTTTGGTGACCGCTCCGCAAATGACCGCCAGGATCGGGTCCGGACGCTCTGCAGTCAACTTGTTCGAGATCAGTTGGTCCAGCCAGCCCGTCGTGATGGTGTTCTCCTCGAAGGCCGGGGTTTCGAGCAACTTGATGAGGTATTCGACGGTAGTTCGGAAGTCACCGCGGATGCTCAGTTCTTTGAGGGCAACCACCATGTGCTTCCGGGACGCCGATCGGTTCTCACCGTAGGCGAAAATATGGCCAAACTGGCTGTCGGAGAAGCTGTGGATTCCGCCAGAGGTGCCCACTGAGAAATAACCCCACACGTTCGAGGAGCTTCGGAAGTTCAACTCGTGCATGGTTCCGCTCGAGGGCTTGAAGCCCTCGCCGGGGTCCTCTGAAGTGATACGGCATGCCGTGGTGTGGCCCTTGGGCTGCGGCCGACGCTGAGTCTTGTGGCTCTCTTCACTGGAGAAGTCGAAATCAATGGGGGACGAGGTGTGAGGATCGACACCGTACAGGAGACGAATATCTCGGATGCGATGGAGCGGGATACCCATGGCAATCTGCAGCTGGGCAGCGGGCAGGTTGACACCAGTGACCATCTCGGTGGTAGGATGCTCGACTTGCAGTCGGGGGTTCAGCTCCAGGAAGTAGAACTTGTCATCGGAGTGCGAATACAGGTATTCGACGGTACCCGCAGAGACGTAACCCACCAGCTTTCCCAGGCGGACGGCGGCGCGCTCCATGGCCTGGAAGGTGGCCGGCTTTGCGATGGTGACTGGGGCCTCTTCGATGATCTTCTGGTGTCGCCGTTGGACGGAACAGTCTCTGCCGAAGAGGGAGATGTTGTTGCCGTATTGATCGGCGAGCAGCTGGACCTCGAGATGTCTCGCGTTGGGAGCCAGCTTCATGATGAAGATGGGCGAACCTGGGATTTCGCTGGCTGCTGCGTTGTACATGCTGATGAAATCCTCTTCGCGTTCCACCTTCCGGATACCCTTACCACCACCACCCTCGGAAGCCTTGATCATGACGGGGAAGCCGATCTTCCGGGCCGCCTCGAGACCCTCCTCGGGGGAATGGGTGCATCCTCTTTGGTAGACTTCATCCTCGACTGTCACGATGCCATCCTCATTGATTTTGACTTCGTCAACGCCCGTACCAGACCACGGAATGCAGGGGACCCCCGCATGCTGAGCGACTATCGTTGACGAAATCTTGTCTCCGAGAGATCGCATAGCGGAGCCGGGAGGTCCAATGAAGAGGATTTTCTTGGGGGAAGCGGCCAGGGCCTCTGGTAATCTCGGGTTCTCCGAGGCATGTCCCCTATCCAGTGGTCAGAGTCTGTATCGCATCGTTGTCCGCCCAGATTCCTAGAATCTTACCATCCTGCCCACACGGCGTGCACGTCCATTCGCTCCGCAATATCGACAATCAACTCGACATTGGCGTAGTTGTTGTTATTCGTACCACCCGGAACCTGTCCATTGCGACGGTCAGGTCGAAGAGTCCGGTCTCGACACGGAATCTGATTTCCCACGTACCTCCACATATTGGTCCGCCATCCGGATGTAGTCTGCATTAGCGCGCAAATCCTCGGGCGTGGCCATCACTGTGAATTGGATGGCCCGCTCGTTGCCGAACGTCTCGTAGGCCCATTTTCGTACCGATCGAATCTCTTTGACTGCGGCAATACCGTTGTTTGCGATAAGCACCTATCGGGAAGCTCTGCATCAGCAAATTGTCTCCTTCCACCGCCTGCACAGAGACTGTCGGCAGAAATCATACCGATGTGATGACCGAGTGTCCCTCATGAGCGGCCACGAAATCCTTGACCTTGCTCGGGGGTGCCACGTCCAGGTGGTTTCCGCCGATAAAATGCGACGGGAGGCTTTGGTGTTTTGCGGATAACGAGGTCCCGTTCACCGGGCTGGCTCCGTTCGTTGCAGGCATGGTCACCACAGTCGATCAGACGCTCCCATACAGGAGTCCAAAGATATCAACAAAGTTGCGCCGTAGTGTTGGGGAGATCGGAGGGAATCTTGTTCTAGATATTAAAAGGACCCCGCGAGAGGCGCTGTTCTAGAATGGGGTCCGAAAATTGGGCTGACCGCGGGCGTCGACGGGAGCGCGGGAGAGTTCAGCCGGGGAAAGAAACAGCTAGAAGCTCAGAATTGTCAGAAGAGATTATATTATAGACATGCAGGGGGAGTCTCGAAGGCAGTTTTGGCAGTCAGAGAGGGAAGGCAAAAGCCTAACACGGCTGAAGGGAGCGTGAGCAGGAGGAGAGGATTGTGTAGGAGGAGGAAGGGAGGAGATTGTGTAGGAGGAAGGGAGGACGCGGGAGTGGACGAAACGGCAGGCAGAGGATGGCAAGCAGCACTTTCGAGGACGCACCTCCGCAATATTAAGATTATCTCAAGCTGTACCTGTACAGAAGGAAAAAGAAGAGGAAGAAGAAGAAGAAGAGAAAGGGAGAGACGGGGAAGAGAGAGCAGGAAGGCAATTGCTCAGCGGGCAGGGCAGAGAAGAACAACCACAATAATAATACAGAACCGTAAGATTATGCATGCAGCTCGGCCACTGAACTGAGCGCGAAAAAAGCAGCGGAGCCCGGGACGGCCAGCCGACTCCCCAACTACTGAACCTGCCAATGGGAAGGGCGGTGTCTCTCGGCACACGCGCGCTGGTGCACCAGCTTTCCCCAACTTCGGGGCTTTGGGCTTGTTGGGACGTGTGCGGGTGGGCTGCCCGCCAGAATCGGCGACCATCTTTATTTAATGTGATTGTAATCCCATTATTGCCATCCTCCTGACTTTTGCTTCTCTACCACCTGGCATTTTCCAATTCCGTGCAGCTGAGAAAACAAGCTGGGAGGTTTCCCGCAGATGGACCGATGGCAGCTGATCCCGACCGGGACTCCGGAGCCCGGGCTGTCAGCCGTAACGAGTAGTCACGTTACGCCGTAAACTCGCAGGAGCCATCGAAGAGATCCTCTGACAGTGCCTCCTTCCCGATGCGGTATCCACATCTGCAAGTGACGCTGCAGCGGGCAGGGAGGACCCGAGTACAGGACCCCGTGACGAACTGACGATAACGATGGTGATTAATCCGGAGTGTTATTACTGTGTTCTGGTTATTACCTTGTTGTTGGGCCATCCTGGGCTGCTGCCACCCACGGCCATTGGGCGATCTGGATCCACTGTGGTCAGGCCAGGCACTCGGACTCCGACAGCAACCGCCCCAAGTCTGACAGTCTGACAGTCTGACATGGTCGTAGAACAATCGATAAGCTTAGTTCCTCCTGGATTGGATATCTTAGGTATTGTACTGTCAGATTATGGGGGCCGGTTCCTCGTCCCGCAAGCACAATTCAAGTTTTTTTTTGTCGATACCCTTCGAACCAGATCTCTTTCTCGTGGGCTATAAATAGAGTCTATCAGTTTAGGGCCCCATGGAAGGAGCGACTGTTCGATTCCCTTCTTCCGTCTATTCCTATTACAGACTTGGCGACACCCCCAAAATAAGCTCTCCCCAGATACCTACAGGAAGAAACTACTTCAGAATGCATTCAGGTTCCATGTGAACAGTCTGAATTGACAAGTGGGTATTATCTCAGACTCTCAACTAGTAACAGGAGAAGATGGACGAAAACAAAAAGGTAGTCACAAAAAGGAAAATCATGGCTGTGTACAGCGATGGGACGTCGTCCAGTTTGCATACGGTCGACGAGTATATGCCTTTACCTCCCTCCGCGGATCAGAAGAGGCCAATCAGATAGATGTAAGTCTTCGTGCAATGAGATATTCGCAAGGAATCCCAGAACCCAAAAACGCGCCCTTGCCCACTACCTCAAGCGATGCGCAAAAACACGCCGATGCACCCATGTCAATGAACACCCTACCCAGGAATGGGGAAACACGAAAATGGGAAGGGGGGAAAGTAAAGCAATAATGAAGAAAAAGAAGAAAGTCTGAAACTGGTCATATGTACTTGCCGTGAAACATCATTCTTGTAGAGAAAAGAGAACGTCCAATTAGAAGGAAAAAGAAAAAAAAAGCAAGATCATGAATCCTGCTGGAGGGGGAAAAAAAATCTCAGTATGTCTCCCCCAGATCACTGAGTTGCTTCTTGCGCTCCGGAGGAACCCGTTCCCGCTGCTGTTGGCGCTCCAGCCCAGAGCTGAACTTCCGCGGCGCAGGGATCCCGGACACTCCCCCAATGCCCGCGCTGGGGCGTTTCTTCAAGCTTCCGGGCGTGGGGATCGACATTCGCATCTTGTCGACCTGGTCAATTGTGCCCCGGCGAGACGTCGGGGTTGTGATGTCACTGTCTTCATCGATATACGACATGTTGTTGGTAGCCCCGTGGCCCCCCTGTTGGGAATACGAGCTAAGCGAGGATCGCGGTCGCCGGCCCTCCGTCGTCGGGTTGGTGGAATAGTGCCCAAGCGGAGTCCGCGCCCGGCCGTGACTCTGGCGGCTTTCGGGACGAGTCTGTGGAATCCCACTGGCATACGTGCTGTGGCTGACGGAACTGCGACTGGAGTAGCTCGTCCGACTACTGGGCCGGCTGTCCCCAGAGGGTCGAGTCCCCAAAGACTGCCGGCTTGGGGAATAAAGGACGAACTTCCATCGGTATCCCGGACGGATGAGCTGACACTGCTGCCACTGGTCCGTTTCCGGGAGCCTTTCCGGACCGTGACCGAGGATGGGACCGAGTTTTGGCCCAAGGCCGACGGAGTGCGCGGCGACGCCCCGTTTGGCGTGTCGACCGGGGCTGGGAGTCTCGATCGGGCAGAGTGCACCCTTTCCTCGAGCTTCTGCATTTTGCCGATGAGACCACGGATCTGGTAGAGGGAACCCGACCGAGCAATCCCAGACTGGGACGCATTGAGTCGGGAGACGCTCTGGCGAGAGCTGATCGATGGGGTCGAATAGCCATTGCCATTTTTGGGGAACGACGGTGTGCGGCTGTGCCTGCGATAGCGAGGGGGGTTGCTCGAATTCGTGATGGATCGTGCCCGCGAAACGACCGGTTCAGTGCCCGGTTTCCGCACACTGGTAGAAGATTCCGACGCGGTCGGTGAGGGAGGAGTGACGGCATCCGAGGTCGCAGATGAGACCGATTTGGCCGGGGGAGTCGCCATGGTAGGGGACGACGCCGTCGTCACGGGTGATTGCTCCGATCTGTCCGCGTACTGGGAGCTTGCAAGGCCAGGGTCCAAGTAGGCAGGCTTTCTGCGGCGGCTGAGTTCCGCTTCTGCCTTACGTAGTTTTTCTTTGACGATATCGGCTTCGATCTTCAGATCCGACAGTTCGTCGCGCAGACGCTGGTTCTCGATCCGCAGCGCCTCCCGTTCCTGCTCGCCGGCCTTGATTTCCTCCTCCAGCAACACGCCTCGCTCGATCGCGACATTGTATTTGGATTCCAGATCCTCCAGAGACGAAGTCGTGTTGCGAGCCTGGCGCTCATAGTCATCGTTGGCGACTTCGATGTCCCGGAGCTTCAACTGCAGCTGCCGGTTCCCCTCCCGGAGCGTGGTGATCTCCTTTTGGAGCGTGTTTTGAACCGAGTTAGCCTCCGCTTTGGCTTGCTTGTACTTGGTCTGCGTCGACGAAGATTAGCGACACCACTCCCAGCGTATGGACAGCTCTCGTCTCAGCTGACCTTCCACTCCTCCACCTCGTAGGTCAAACTCTCCACCTTCTCCTTCAACTGCCGCTCCCGCTTCTCCGAGGCTTCGATATCCTTCTCGAGCTCGGCCTCCAGCTCGCGGCTGGACGTCTGGAACTCCGCGAGCTCAATCTCCAGCTGCTCATATTGCGACTTGTAGTATGCCAGCTCTTCTTCGACCGAGCTACTGACCGTCTTGGCCGGCGTCGTGTTGTTGGAGTCTGCGGCCGGCATTGTGGCCCAGTGGGAGGGAGGCGGTGCAGGGAGACAGAATCAAAGACGATTGTCAGAAACAGATACACGACGGCTCATCGATGCGCTGTGCCAGCGTCGTCCGAGACACGTGTGGAGGAGGCGTGGTGGTGAAGGGAGCTCGTGGTGGGTGACAGCTCATTCACGTGGGGGATAGGAATGGATGTGGCCTCCTACAGCAACAAAGCGTCGCGGACGACAGAGGCGACGGCCGCAGTTCTGCTCGGGGCAGTCGACCCGAACGAGGCGTATCGCATAGACCTACCTTGAGAGCAGACTGCTGCACCCCGCGCTGGGCGAGGATGGACGAACCGGTGGTGTTGGGGAGGAGGACGGGGGTTGATGATGTCGAAGTCGCTCACCGCCAAGGGCTGATCGGGGTGCTTGTTGACGCTGTTCGTCTCGGGTTGTCATGGATCCCCGATCGCCATGCCCAACCCGGCCTAGCGCGGGCTCCGCTGCACGCCTGCCGTCCGCATTCCCGAACTCCAGCTTCCGTCCCTGCTCGCCTCCCCTCGAGAGCTTGTCTGCCAGGCGTCTGCGCCGTGCCAGCGCATCTACCAAGGATCTGGGATATCTGGGGTTCTGGGTAAGCTCCCTCTCTCTTCTTTTCGACGCCGTGGTTGCTCGATGCCGTGCTGCTGGTTTTCCCGGTTCTTCTTCATCAACGCCATCTCCAACCAGAGGACCACCGCTATGCCCACGCACGGTCTCTGCATCTGGACATTTCGTTATTGCTTCCACGCACCTGTTCTGTCGTCCCCAGATAGCTTCTCTCATCGTTCCAGCACGCCGTCATGGGCGTCAATACGCGTGTATGCCTCCATAGGACGGATGGGCTGACTGATTTCTGCAAGTGGCAACCCACCTGGTCCGCCCACCATGGCCGACAACGCAGATCTGAACCTCGATGCGCCTAGCGACCTTCAGGATATTCCTGATGCGGCAATGGAGCTGATTCCGCCGCCGGAAGGGACTTTTCCTGACAAGTGAGTGGCTCGCCGTTGTCGTTCTTGTCCTTGTCCCCGTCCTCGCAATCGGGCTGCAGACGGAAGGTTTTGGTCGACACGCGCGCTGATATCAGCTAAAGAGCGACTCTCCTGGCGTCTGTACAGGCTCATGGCAAAGCCCATGGATACAATGTCGTTGTCAAGTCGTCCAGCACTCCGACGGAGAAGAAGCCTGGTCGAACTGCCAAGATATGGCTCCGATGCGACCGTGGAGGCCAATATCGACCCCGAAACGGCCTGACAGAAGAGACGAGGAAGCGGAAGAGGACATCCCGTCTGATGGACTGTCCCTTCATGCTGGTGGCTGCCGGAACTCCGGGCATTTGGACTCTCACAGTGCTGAACCCGACCCATAATCATGGCCCGGTGCTGGACCGGCCGCGCCAGGTGCCGCACCACAAAGTCAAGAAGGGCCAGATCACGGCTGTGCCGTACGATTGGCCGCACGATGCCACCATGACACCGTTCACCACGGCGCTGGTCCTTATCGACATGCAGAAGGATTGTAAGTATCATACGGGGATTGACGATGCGGACTCAGAAGACTGATCGAACTACAGTTTGCGCACAAGGAGGATATATGGAGTACCAGGGATATGACATTTCCGCTGCGCGGGCACTTATTCCCAAACTGCAGCGTCTGCTGCACGTCTTCCGTACTGCAGGGTTTCCAGTCTATCATACGCGCGAAGGTAGGCGGTTATACGGTTGTCTCTACGTTGCAATGGTACTAATGATGAGCGTAGGACATCGACCAGACATGTCGACTGTCCCGAGCCGTGAAAACTACCGCGCCCGCAATAATGCTTCCGGACTGGGAATCGGCTCACCCGGTCCCTTGGGTCGATTCCTGATTCGGGGCGAGGTAGGCCACGATACGATTGACGAGCTGTATCCCATTCCGGGCGAACCGGTCATCGACAAACCGGGTCGGGGTGCCTTTGCGCACACGGACTTTGAACTACTCCTGAGGAACAAGGGCATCAAGAATCTCGTCCTCGCCGGGATCTCGACGGATGCCAGTGTGTCGACGACGATGCGAGAAGCCAGCGACCGAGGGTTCGACTGTGTGTTGCTCGAGGATGGGTGCGCGGCCCGGGAGCCGTCACTCCATGTCAGCACCTGCGAGTCGGTCAAGCTGGAGGGGGGAATCCTCGGAGCGGTCGCCAAACTCGACGATGTGGCGCATGCCGTGGAGAATTTCAAAGCGGTGACGGTGAAGAAGCTGGCGCCACATATGGGAGCTGCCACGCAGCAGATGACGACGACGACAACGACGACGTGACTTGGATTCATCGGATGTATTTGCTTGTATTTTGCCATGTGAGGTTACGTGCTGTTTCTCGACTGGCGTTCTCGCTCGGAGTTCTGACAAGGGTTTGTATGTTTGGGCAATTTTGATATCTGTTAGACAAAACGGCAAGGGATTGGGCATCGTTTAGTTGGACGGACCTATTATGCTTGTCTTTCTAATCTACTGGACAAGTTGGGCAACACATCAGTCATAGCCAGGAAGGAAATAACTGATCAACATTCGTTCTTTTATTTTCCAGACTGGGTATCACAACAAACACAGTTCTATCTATCATCATCTGATCAACACAAACACATCCATCCATCCATCACAATAATCTAGTAACAGAAAGAGAGAGAAAACAAAACGCCGTAAAACGCCACACAAGTATCAATCAAAAGTAAAGAATCAGTAGCAGTAATTACAGAAATTTATCCATTACAGCCACTTCCTCCCCGCAGCGAGGACCCGCGACCGAAACACAGGACTCCGAATCTCCATGCCCTGGCGGTAAAACGGGTTCATGACAGTCTTGACCCAGTTCTCGTAGACCTCGTTCATGAACTGCCGGATAGCCTCCTCTGTCTGCGGCGAGGTGGGGTTTGCGGCTATGGAACTGGAGGACGCGCGCGAGGAGGCGCCCGTCAGGCCTCCCCCGAAGACGGACGACGAGGCGGACGATGTGAATGAGGAGCTCATCAAGCCTCCACCGCCGCCGATGCCACCGCCGCCGCTGCCGCTGCCGCCTGTGCCAGTTGTTGATGAGGAGGAAGAAGGGAGTTGCGGCGGTTGGTGCAGGAGGAGGAAGCGAGCGCCTGAAGGGGTCAGGAACGCGGAGATGTGTGCGGCTGTAGGCGGGTAGGTGTCGATGTGTTTGAGGTATCTACAGATTCATTCCTGTTAGCAGAGGAAATTCACATACATATGCATTTTGAAAAACCCTTGGAGGGTGTCGTCGACATACAAAGCACCATTCGTCCACTGCACCTCCTCGACAATATCCAGACTCGCATGGACGATGAATTGGTTCATGTACTGCGCCGACTCGGGGAATCGAAACCGCGCAACGCCATCGCCGCCGGCTTTAGAGGTGCCGAAGGTGACGCTGAACAGGGGCACGTCGGTGGGGGAGAGGATGGTGAAGTAGTAGGACATGTCGAGAAGTAAGTAAGTATCTTTTTTTTATGTAATGTGCGTTGGCATGGATGGATAGTGTTTTAAACAGGATTAAATTTATTTGCAGTTGAAGAAGGGAATACTGGCTGGCTGACTGGATTCAATTCGAGACAGTGTTCTCCGTACTCCAGGTCTGGGTTGTTGGTTCCTGGCGAGTCGATGCTATCCACCCGCACGGATCTACCACCATCACGTGAGGGCTGATAAGCAATCTTATCAGTCATAAATTCAGTCAACACATAATTGAGCATACAGGCACATCCTCGAAATAAAAAGAAGTCAGTTCTTCTGGACTAAGACTAACCTTTTTATTCACGTTAATTATATAGAAAGAGTTTAGTTCGCTACCTCTGCATGCTTCAGCTCATTATTTGAGGATACCAACGCGGCTGGTGTTAACTATATATAACTGAATAAGGTAATCTTGGGCCGACTGGTCAGTGAGCTCTTTCCATTGGGTATGTTCTATGTCCCTCATGAGGATCGCCAGAAAGAGCGGAAGGCCATTGATATTCTGTAGAATAGTTAGTCAGTCAAACAATTTTTTTTTGGAAGAGAGAATGACCAAACAAAGTCCGTGCAAGAGGGGTCATCACAAGAGTCTGCCTAACATATAGCATTTGGATCGAAGCCAATACTCTGCACAGTACCGAATGGACTATACAAAGTACTCTGAGACTGAAAAAGGGACGTCCAGGAAGCAATCTCAAGTTCCATCTCGGACAAAATGAAAATATTTTATAACCTCGCTTCGTCTTTTCAACCTAGGTAGTTGCCCCATATCTGTATTGGGTAAGTAAGCGAGATGATGCTAGCTTTGTTGTATTGTGCTTCCTTGGCAGGTATTCTTCAATTTCATGTGCAGGAACTGCTGGAAAAATGGAGCAGATATTCTCCAGACTGCTTCAAGAGGACATGAGAGGGTTGTGGAGCTGCTGCTAGAGACGGAGGCAGATATCAATATGCAGAGTCATAGATATGAATGGTACTGTTCTCCATGCTGTTTCCTACTGGGATTACAAGAAGGTGGTAACTGGTAAGGTTGCTGCTGACGCCAACTCCAAGGGTAGAGATGGCCAGATTGTCCAGACACTTTTATTTATCATGGACTGCAAGGAATGGGCATAGGGAGACAGTGAAGTTGCTACATACAATCTCACTACATCGTCCACATATGTGAGCAGCAAAAGTATTAATTAATCTGTGGGGAATCTCCTGGAATGTTATGTCCTCACAAGAGGCGGACGTGAGCGAGGAAGCAGACTCTATTCTCATTCCAGGTTCATAGAGATGGGCTGTGTCTGTGTCCAATTCCTGGTTTGTACTGTACAACGGCAGTCAATACCATAGACTGGATTGTCACGTGTTGAAAGCTTCGAACATTTACGCAGATTACACATTGTCTGTCTCTGGTAATGAAGGCCAGACGAATTGAACACCAACTTACGGCTGTCTTTCTTTCTGTGCTCCAGGTACATACCTGACTCTATATCGTTCATCGTCAACAAATAGTTCCGGGAAGGAACCTCAATTGTAGAAAGAAAGATTTTTGTTACTAGTCAGAAACTTGGTATGTTCAAAGGAAATAATCTACACGTCTGTTTGTCACCGTTGTACTGTAGTACCTTTGTAGGGTCTATATCAGCACGTGACTGGCTACTGTCCGCCTCCGCCGCTAAGCTTCTCGAGCTCCGTCGGTGGCATTCAACGACCACGCTTTTGAAGTTACGAACAAACAGAACAGCTACCCTCCCGATGGCGACATTGAAATAAATTCCCGACAGACGCTCTAAACATCTCCTACTGCCTACCTCCCGCTCATCCTCCCACCATGGCACCTCCGAAGCTCTCCTACGGACTGAACCTGCCCAACAAGAAACCACAACAACCCAACGGCCCGCCAGCCAATCTGGCCGCAGGACAGAAGCGCAAGAAGACGATATTCGATGATTCAGACTCGGAGGGTGAACGGGACGAGAAACGGGATGGCGATGGCGGCGCCGTGGAGATCACCACCCTGGGGGGTCTGGACGATCAGTCCCCTCCTGCAGAGCAAAAACCCAAAGAACCGTCCAAAGAAGGGCCATCATCGACGACGACAAAACCTCCTGGCGGAAAGCCCAGCCTGAAACCGCCGAAGAACTCGATATTTGCCGACGAGGATGACGAGAAAGAAGAGGAAGACGGCACGTCCGACAACGCACCAGCAAGAAAGAAGACGCCGCAGTTTACCGGCTCGAACAAGGACTACACCAACCTCGCCGCCATGCACACGAGTAATAAGTACGCGAAAGAGGCCGAGCAGATCGATCCCTCGATCTACTCCTACGACGCCGTTTACGACAGCATCAAGGCGAAGCGCGAGAAGAAACCCGCTGGCGGGGCAGGGGGCGAAAACGGCGGCGGAGGAGGAGGAGGATCGCGCTACATGGAAGCACTGCTCCGCAGCGCCGAGATCCGGAAACGCGACCACCTGCGCGCGCGCGATCGGAAGCTGGCGCGGGAGCGCGAGGCCGAGGGCGACGAGTACGCCGACACGGAGAAGTTCGTCACGGCGGCGTACCGCGCGCAGCAGGAGGAGATACGGCGAATGGAGGAAGAAGAAGCGCGGCGGGAGAAGGAGGAGGAAGAGCGACGGAAGCGCAACGGCGGCGCCGGCATGGTGGACTTCTACCGCGACATGCTTGCCCGGGGCGAGGCAGAGCACGGCGAGGCGATGAAGGCTGCGCAGGAAGCAGTGCGGAAGGTGCAGGCGGGCGAAATCGACGAGAATGCCGCCGCAAAAGAAGAACCGGCGGAAAAGACCGAGGCGCAGATCGCCGCCGAGCTCAATGCCAAGGGCGCCAACATCATCCTCAACGACGAAGGCCAGGTGGTCGACAAGCGCCAGCTGCTATCGGCCGGTCTCAACGTCGCGCCAAAAGCCAAAGCCAAAGCTTCTGCTACTCCTACTCCTGCTGCCGCATCGTCTCGCCCCGGAGCCAGACCAGCGGCAGACGCAGCAGCCGCGCGCAAGGCCCAACGCGCGCGCCAGACGGAGCTGCTCGCCGCGCAGCTGGAAGAGCGGGCGCGACAGGCAGAAGAAGCGGAGGCAGCGCGCCAGCGAGAGCTGGCAGAGCGCAGCCGCAGCAAGAAGACCGAGGCCGACGTCGCCAGTGCGCGCGAGCGGTATCTGGCGCGGAAACGGGAGCGCGAGGCTCAAGCGAAGGCGGCAGGAAGTTGATAGCACTAATCCAAATATCAGATATCGGATATCAGATATATACTGGCTGTACGATAGTAATGATGACAATAATGACAATAATGATGGATGTATGTATGTACAGTACGTATGTGTATGTGTATAATACTAGATTAGACTAGAGTAGAATAGAATAGTAGATTCTATCTTATACGTCGTCTATGATATACAATTTAACAATTTTTGTTTAATTTAAGAAACCAATAAATAAGTAACCTAGAGAGAGAGAAAACGCCTTCCTTCCTTTTTTCTTTCACTATCCTAAAAATCTCTATCTATCCTTTTTTGCTTGCTCTCCATGTTGGTTCGTTTCATTCCATTCATCGTCATCACCATCGTGAACAAAAAAGTTGGTACATGATTAATAGGGATGCCATCAGGATGGAAAGAGTGTGATACATAGACACAGAAACCGAAACCGGAATGCGCAGAACAGAAACAGAAACACAAATACCACCGAAAACCAAACCCAAAAAGCAAAATTAGTAGTAGTAGTAGTAGTAGTAGTAGTATACCCGAGACAGCGGATGGATACCGTATAAACGCCATGCCGGTCCTCTTCTATAAGTTTTTCCTTTCTTTCGTGCTGCCGCCTACGCCGTCAATGCAAAACTGATGCCTAATACGCCCATGCCTGCTATCGCCGCTCCGATACAGATGTCCCGATTGTGCGTCAGGCTTAGGCCTTCACAGAGCAGCTGTAATGCGACTGAGGTCATGACGCCCGCTGTCGCGGCGAACATGCCTCCGTACACGCCCCAGGATGGTCCGTCCGTCGACGTGTCGCCGCCAGCTTTGTGGGCGCACCAGATCCACAAAGCTGCGATGCCTGCCCCCGCCGGCTGACTGATCCCGCCGAGTAGGCTGGACCAGAGGATCGCTTTCCATCGCGAGTTGAGCGCGAGAAACAGCGGCAATGCCATGGCGAACCCCTCGGTTATGTTGTGGATGAACAGCGCCAGGAAAATCGTCAGCCCCAGCGTCGGGCTGGCGTGGTTCGTGGCATACGTGATGAAGCCCTCGGGCAGCTTGTGCAGGGCGATAGCGAGCGAGGTCTGCAACCCGATCGACAGGAACGCATTATGCGGGACATGGTGGTGGTGTTGGCCAGCTGAGGGGACGGGCTGCTGCTCCCAGGGTTTCCCCATCGTCTCCGACATGGACCCCCCGCTGCTCTGGGCCGTCAGCTCCTCGTCGTCCTCCTGCACCGGCGAAGGCGACTTCTGCTGCTGCTGCGGCTGGGAGGAGAAGTAATCGACCGCTTGCTGCTCGGATGCCATCGGTCGATGGGGCTGGGGATCGCTCTGCTCCGCGACTGTCACGCGACGAGCGGTCAAGGGCGTCTCGGGCTCGTCTTCATTGTTGCGATAGCCCGACACTGTCATGGCCCGACGAGGCAGGGCAAACGGCGAGGCAGGATCCAAGGGACGACCGGGATCCGTCGAGGTCGACGGCGCCCGCGGACCCAAGATCTTGGAACATTCCTGGCCGCAAGTCTGCGAAACGCCGTAGCATGGCCCATTGTCGTCGCAGTATGCCTTCACCCCACCCAGCCAATGGCTGAGATGCCGCCCCCAGCGTTTGCGCATGGATTCCCGACGCGGTGGTACGGGCCGGATGTGACCCGTGGTCCTGGGGAGGACGCCTAGAGGTGGTCTCTGAGGTGTTCTCTTGGGCAGCAGCGGAGTGTGCTCCGTGCTCCCGTTTGGCGGGCTCGCCTGTTCGTCCTGATGCTCATGATGTTCCTCCATCTCTTCGTGTTCCTCTCCGTTCTCGAGATCGGGCCCGTGCGGGTCATGGGTGTGGGAGCAGTCGACGATGTGCGAGGGGATGTAACGGTGGATGAAGCTGGAGATGATGCGAATGACGATGACGCCGCCCAGGAACAGGCCGGTCAGGGTGTACGCGGAGGTGGCATCCGACAAGCCGGCGCGGATCAGGTACTTCATGGCGGTGGGCAGCATGCTGTAGAGCGACGAGAAGAGCTGGCGGGGGTCATCAGCTTAGGTCGCCTGCAGCGGAGGGGCAGCGGGGTTTGAATGCTTACCATGACGCCGGAGCTGAGGCTCAAGGACGCCGAGAGAAAGGCATTGCTGCTGGTGATGTGGAAGTGTCTGTGTTTGTGGCTCGCACATCTGTGCAGAACCAGGTCGACGCAGATGATGCTGGCGCCCAGGATGCAGGCTGTCGAGAGGCTCATTAGCAGGGACAGACGGCGCAGACAGGGCTGGGGGCACTCACCGACGCCAGAGACCGTGCTCATCACCCACCCGCGGGTGTCGTTCTCGTCGATGCCCATGGCGAGCGCGGTGGTGACGGAAGAGAGGCGAGGCCCCGTCGGTGCAGCTCAAGGCGGCTGCGAGGGCAATGATGTAAGAGGGCCAACCACGCGTCCCGGATGCAGTCAGCGATCGATCACCGCAATCCTCAGACGGCAGCCTCTGCAGTGCCTACAGCAGGTCGAAGAGATGCCCAGGATGCGGGTGATGAGACTACCGGCGATGCTCCATCGCCAGGCTGGCAGAGTGCAGAGGTTGGAGGATAGCAAGCAGGCTGCTCTGCTGCGTCTTTAGCTTTCCCCCAAGGTCCGCAGCCACGCAGCTGTGACAGATGCCAGCCAGAGAATCCCTGCGGCACAGCTCAGCTATTATTATACGGCGAGTCACGGCATTTCGAAGCTGACAGCCTGGATACAAACATCCACGGCGAGATCCGTTACGAGTATGGAGTATATAGTACTCGTGATGCAGCAGCAGACGGGCCCTTCTACAGCTGAACTGCGCTCGACTCGAGCAGATGGTTAGCTACGAGAATGATCCTACTCATCCTGCTGTGTCTTCAAGAGTCTTTCTTGTCTGATTTCTCATTCCCCTGCTCTCTCTGCTGTTCCTTCTTTGCAGCTGATGCTGATGTGCGTATTCCTCGCGTTCTGCTAGGTGCGAATCAGCCGCTTCTGATTGGCCCGCTGCTCGGCTTCCTTTCTCCCGCGACAAAACCGCCTGGCTCGAAGAGAAGAAAACGACTGCACCAGCCTGTCGCCTGCTGGAGGCTGATCAAGGCCAGCCATTGAGCCCGTCTTCTGCCATCTGGAGACTCGTTTCGTCGTTGCAATCCACGGGCGGGTTCTCTGAGAACTGCAACCTCGTCTTCCGCGCGTTTCCTCCGCCGCCGTCGGTTTAGAGACCTGCCTCCAGCCTCACCATGTCCAAGGCGACCTTCGCGATCATTGCTGCGGCCGGTGCTGCCACCGGCGCTGGTGCTACCGCGCTCCTCTACTCCTTGAGATCTCCCCGCCAGCAGACTGCTCCTCCAGCGCCTACTGCTCCCGCTGCGCCCGCTGCTCCGCCGTCCGCCGTGTCCACGGGGCCTGCTCCCCCTGCGCAGGTACCGACGCCCTCTCTCGCCGCCAAAGCCTCGACAGCGTCTCCAGTTGACCCTGCCGGACTCATGCAATATGGCTTTCCCGGTCCTGTGTCCGACACTCTCAACTCTCCGCCTCTGGTCGGCGCCTACGACCGACGGACCCGGAATCCAGCCTGGGTTGCGGAGCACATCACGCCGCATTCGCTGTCGCTGAACAACGCCGATCGCAAGAACAGCAACTTCTTCGAGGATACGAGCATCCCGGCCATGTTCCGGGCCAAGCTGTCCGACTACTTCCGGTCTGGCTACGACCGCGGCCACCAGGTGCCGGCGGCCGACGCCAAATGGAGCCAGGAGGCCATGGACGCGACCTTTGCGCTGACCAACATGTGCCCGCAGGTCGGCGAGGGCTTTAACCGCGACTACTGGAGCCATTTCGAGGAGTTCTGCCGCAACCTGACCAAGAAGTACCCATCCGTGCGCATCGTCACCGGCCCGCTGTATCTGCCCAAGCGCGACCCGGACGGCAAGTACCGCGTAACGTACGAGGTGATCGGCGAGCCGCCCAACGTGGCCGTGCCGACGCACTTCTACAAGGTCATCTTCGCCGAGCACGGCACGGGGCCGAACGACAAGGTCGCCCTGGGCGCTTTTGTGCTGCCCAACGCCCGCATCTCCAACGACCAGCGGCTGTCCGACTTTGAGGTGCCCGTCGAGGCGGTCGAGCGCGCCAGCGGGCTGGAGTTTGCTACCAAACTGGACGCCAGCCGTCGGCGTCGTCTGTGCCAGGAGGTCAAGTGCGACATTGTCGTGAGGGAGTTTAACAATTCGCGGAAAGCATTGCCTGGGAAGTAGCGAGCTGGCGAGCTAGCGAGCATTTAAATGTGATGAGCATTCCGTGTACAGTACCTTATTTATTCTGGCGCTCTGTACTGTATAGATCTTTTTTTTAACCGTTCTTTCCTGTATGCATAGCATGGATAGGTAGGGTAGGGTAGGGTAGGTATAAACCTGTTATCTGAAGAAAACAAGACGGAAATATCCAGTAGATTATACCATTCGGTAGCTATGTACAGTACAAACATACGTAATAAAGACAGAGAAATAAACCAGTCATCAACTCCATCCATAGACACATTATCTAATATATACAATACTAATACACAAACAAGCACAAGAGAACTGGAAGACTATTTATCATTTATGAATCAACACTGAAACGCCACGCCCGCTTTTTCCACAATATTATCCCCTCCGCCCGCGAAACCCGTTCCTTCGGCGCTGATCTCGACGAGGCCGGGTTTTATCTTGCTGTTGCTGTTGTGAGCATTGTTCCCCTCTCTATCTCTATCTTTCTCTTTGTCGTTGTTTTTGTCTTTCTTCGACTTCGATGATTTCGTCTCTGGAGTTATGTCTGTCTCGCATACGTAGCATAGGATGCGGCCGACGGCGGCGCATTTGTCCTTGTCGTCGGCGTGCGGGTGGATGGTTGACTCTGGCGTCATGAATTTGGTGACGCAGGGTTGGCAGATGACGTGGCCGCAGGGTTTGGTCACTACAGACAAGTATTAGTCTCGTTTATTTGGTTCTGTTGTTGTAGGTACGACGTACGCATCGCTTTCAACCCGTTCGTCAACACCTTCTTGCAGCTCGGGCAGATGCGCGACACCTCCCCGGACCCATCCTCGACCTTCTCCTCCGTAAAGTGCACGTCGACCAGCGTCTTGAGCGAGTACTCGTGCCGGTTCTTGTCCGTCGACCCGGGGCATATAGGCGACATCTTGACCGGTTTGGTCGTGATGTCCGTCTCGGTCGAGGGCGTCAGCGAGGGGATCCAGAAGGAGCGAAGCGCTGGTTTATTTGATTCTGCCTGTAGACAAACAAGACTTAGCTTGATATTGATAAATACTGCCTGCAAAACTTACTCTCTCCCGCTCAATCTCCTTCCTCAACCTCTCCTGCTCCTCCTTCGCATAGCGCGCCATCTCCGCCTCTCCCAGCTCAAACACCTTCCTCCGTTTCCCATTAACATCGACCTCGCGCTGGCGGAACGATTCCGTCGCCGCATGCACCGCCGCAGCGGTAGCAGTCTCGTCCTCCATCGTGGGCACCTTGCGTTTTTTATTGTTGTTATTATTAGCCGTCCCCTCGAGCCCCATGCTGACGAGCTCAAACTCGCGCAGCTCCCGCATCTTGGCCTCTTCGAGCGTGCGCGACTCGTCCTCGGCCATCCGCCTCCGCGCCTCCTCCCGCTCCCGCTCCAGCCGCTTGATCTCCTTGCGCTGCGCCAGGAGGTCGTTGATCGCGCACTCGCGGCAGAAGAGGTCGCCGTTGGTCGCGCAGGCGACCACGGGCGCCCGCGCGGGCTGCATGCAGAGCCGACAGGATCCAAAGGGGAGGAAGGACTCGCGCGTGAGGCGGGTGCGTTGCGTGCCCCAGGTTGATCGGAGGAGCGAGCGTTCGTAGGACGTGAAGTGCGGGAGGGAGGTGTTGCGTTTGGAGTGTGCCATCCTCTTTATTCCTCTCTTATGGTCCTTATGATGTGCTGCTAGACGACTGGGCGGACGACAAGTGATGCGATGCGGAGAATCGACGGAGGTCGGTGGAGAAGCGAGGCAAACCGCAATGACGTTAGTTAGAGGGAAGGGACACGACCGAAATGAGAGGTAATATCGGACGAGAATTATTCGAATTTCCTCTGGTCATCAAACGATGTATTCCATGCTCGTAAAATACGTCCATGTACTTTGCCACGTTGAGGAAGTTGGAACCGTAGCGAGATACGATCTGATGTTTGCCATCTTTCTGCCTTCCGCCTTTGCCGGAGCTATTTGATCCCCGCTCTCCGACCAGCATATACAACTACGGTAGATCCATGCATACTACAACTGCTTACAGGGATTGTTATGCTGAAATAGCTGACAAATGAATTGGAATTCTCGAGCTCGATGCTCACTTCACGATACACTGACACAACCCAATGACAATTATTCCCATCCACCAATGCGGCCCAAATCCTCTTGACACAAAGTACACGAGACAAAGGAAATAGTAATCGAGAAGTAATCGAGACTAGTTGCCCACCCACTCAATGCTTTAGAAAACCTTGCAAGGAAAAAGAGTAAGGAAAGACGTATTACGCCAACAGATCCCAACCATCAACGTGAAAGCAAAGAAAACAGATTTTTCGTATTCATCCGGTGCCGTTACATGTCCCAAGCGAGAAAAGAAATGGCTGAAAAGCCTCGCAAGACCATGAGTAGAAAAAGAATTTGAGGGAAAGAACAAAAAGAGATTATCAGGGTATCAACAGGTGAAAAAAGAAAAAGAAAAAGAATAAAGTTTCCAGGGATATGTTAGAACAGCAACGAGATGTGCAAGATAACACAAATGGCTACCGAATACTCTTCGGATCACGCAGTAACTGCCTGTTCATGAGGACTGTGTGTCGCTTGTTCTTGCGTTGCAACATGCTCAGCAAGCTCATCTTCCTTTGGCGACGCGTCATCGGTCGCCCCATGACTATCATCACCTCGCCCATCCTCCTTGGCAGATGTCGACGGTGTTGTCGCATTTTTCGACTCTGACGGTACCACAGTGCCATCGTTTCTGGCTTGCTCTTTCACTCCATCCAATGGCGGAACTTCGGGTATCTCGTCAGCCACAGGCGGATTGTCAACAAAACGAGAGCTTCTGGCGGTCGCGGTGCTTGCACTGCGTATCGAGTGTGGGCGTCCGCTGTTCACAGACGGCGACCGGACGGACTCGTTGGAATCACCGTTCGAATGCGACTCCGGTGCTCTTGGTTCCTCCGTCGGCGTGGGCTTACGCATTTTAAGCCGCTCTTCAGCCGACATATTCTGCCACTCCGAGCCCAAAGTAACCACCGAAGCTTTCTTCCCGTGGAAAGTGAAGTTGGTATCTTTTCTCGACAAACCTTCACCTTCACCGGCTCCCGCAGGGTGATCCGTCGCCGCACTGGACCCGGAATCCCGTTGTCCTTTCTTGCTGCGCTGGTGATTCAGCCCATGGTGAGCGTCTCTCAGGGAACGCTGCAGACTCCGGCGGTTTCGACCACGAGGTTCTCCCACGACAGGCTCCACCTTATCATCGCCAGGTTTCTCGTTCTTGTCGACTTCATCACCTTTCTCAGAATGCTTCGACACATTGGTCGGTCCATCCACGCCCAAGAGCCCGGCTTCGCGGAGGACCAGCTCCTCCCCGTCATCAACATTGGCAGAGCTCGAAGCTAGTTTCGAACTCAGTGAACCCATACTGCTCACTTCCGCCTTACTTCTCGAACTAAGCACCGATGGCTCGCGCTCCGGTTTCTTGGCACGAGCATTACTTGGTGCCCGTTCCATCGTCTCGCCGAGTGAAAGAGCACCCGTCGAAACACTCACCCTGCGCGCCTCGGGAGACGAAGAAGTCGGGGATGCCTGGTTGCCTGGGCTCTTAGGTTCTTCCTGTGAAGTTGGCGCACCAGTAGAAGTATCATTTCCTTCAGGGGCAGTGGTGTAGCTCGCCAGAGAAGGCTGACTTGGCCCAGAGGAAGCGGTCTTGGAAGTGGTGGCATACGAAGCACGTTTCTGAGACTCACCCGCCTGCTTCTCTTCCAGTCCCAGGTCGAGTGAAAGAACATGCTTGTAGCATTTGGTCCGCCAGATGTCCAGCCGGACCCATTTTAGCTTGGCTGACATGCGCCCCGCGGCGAGAATGACCTGTTCTCTGGCCCGAGTGCTGACGGGGGTCAGAACCTGCAGATGTCGTGCGTTCCTCAGGAGGTCGTCGAGCTGTTTTTGGCAGTTTGACAGCTTGTCATTGGCCTCGGCGATTCTCTGCTCCATCAGCTGCCTACGGGCGGCGGACATTTCCTCGGCCAGACGAGGATCATACTCCCCGGAAGCCGTACTTGCGTCCCCATGATGCGAGGAACGGTCCGACGCGGTGGAATCGACACGAGATACTGAACGCCGTTGGCCCTCGTATCTGGTCCCGATGCTTCCCTTCATGGGAACCCCGGTGGTTCTGAATGTTGCTGCATAATTGAGCTTTGCCAGCCAATCATGCATATCCGCTTCGCTATTGGCGAGGAAAATCTCCTCTAGGCCATTGTGACGAACCAGAAGGAAGGCATGCTTGTGGCGCTTGTAGCTCGAATCTATCAGGGCGACGGCATCAGAGGTCGACATGATCGCGTCCGGCTTGAATTCAACAATGGGCGGCGTGAACACCACCGGACTCCGAGACTTTCGTTTCTGCTGGGACTCATACTGCGCCATCAAGGACTTGGTCCAGTTGAGGTCTCGGAAGAAATAGAGTTGTGAAGAGGTTAGGAGAGCACCCCATTCTTGCCATGGCGATCGTGTTCTCTTCTTCTTTGGATCTTTTCGCCAGAGTAAGCCGACCTTGGCCACTTTGATATCTACCAGGCCCGGGTGGGACTCTGCTGGATTGTCGATACTGGTTTGCGTCATGAAGGCATCCGGCCGGGACCGAGCCGACACGATTTGTAAGATCGCCGACTTGGAAAATGCTCGATGCAGCGCTTCAATGTCTTGGAGCTCTCCCGCTCCCGCGAAGCTATAGGTATCCTCCAGGTCCATCACGTCCTTGAGCGTGGGTCGCAGAGTGTCGAGCTTCCCATCGAGGATCACAGCGTAGGGATCCACGGGCTCTTTGGAGGCTCGTGACAAATGATCCGAACTGGCCGCCTTCAATAACGCGTTCCGTGGCTTCGAAAATTGCCGTCCACTGAGATTGAGCTCATCTTCAACATGGATAAAAGGAGTGTACGAGATATTCTCATAAAAGCATTCGAGAATATCCTCCGAGATGCCATCGACTCGAGAATTCCGGACATAGTCCTGTTTCTGCATCTTTCGTTTGTTATTTTTATTGAAGACATCGGTGTGCAAGATCAGGATCGAAAATGCGATGAAATATGCCTGGTCTGTAAAAAAAACGTCATGTTAGCACTCGAACAACGATCCTTTCTTTCTCTGCACGGGTGGAGGTACCTGTGGAAGCAAAAATGCCAGGGTTGCATTCATGATACCGGTCCGAAAAGCTCTGCAGCACCCTGTCAATCTGCTGGGTTTCTTTGGGCAGCTCCACCTCCAGCAGCAGCTTTCGAATAGCCATGTCGATGGGTTCGCCAAAGAAAGAAAAGGTTCTCATGTATTTCCGCAGGGCGACCTTGTAAAATTCATCGTCCGACTTGGATAAGATGGCAGCTATGGCTCCTTTAGGTACCGTCTCTTGCAGTCGAGACAGATAGGTTGCAGGGGTGTCTCCTTCTTCGCGTTCGGGATAGGAGGAAACATCACGGGAAACAGGGTACGAGCCGTTTTTCGACTCAGACGCAGGCGTGCCAGGTCCCCCACTGGCGGGATAGCCATCCCGGGGCACAGGCGGTTCCGAACCCTGTCTGAGTCTGTGGGACAAATTAAAGATGTCCCCGAAGCTCTTGCGCCCGCTCGTGGAGGTCGATGTTCGGCCCGAAGACGCCAGGTTCGGCGAAGACTGGTGATCATCACGACGAATGTCTGCGAGCGAGTTCAGGGTAGACAATCGGCCTCGACGTCGCGGACCATGGCGACCCTTAGCGGAAGAAGACGAATTCACAGAACGAGCAGAGGTGATGGAGTCTTTGCGGGAGAGGGGCGGCGCGGTATGGCCCGCCTTGGGGGATGACAGCTTAGCGGAAGAATGGGTGGGAGAAGGAAGGGGGGAGAGATGATCGGGGTTAGGATTGTTGGGATCCATGGAGCTTCTTCTGGTGGTGTCACCAGACAAAGAATTGGAAGTTCCCTGGGGAGGAGGCTTCGCCGGTAAGGGGAACAGCGGCCCACGGCTCTTCATTAAACGTGGCATACGGAACTTCTTCTGAGAGTGCGAGCTCTCAGTCTTGGACGTGGTTTGGAATAGCCCGCGGTCGGGCCCGCGGTCCCCAAAGCTTCGCTCCGACCGGGATGACTCTGAGAATCTCGCATCACGTTCGGACGCATGAAGGGTCCCTCCACTCCGTATTGACGACGTCGACAGTCTTCCTGGCTCCTCATGGCTGGTGCGGGATGTCCCTAGATTGGGACCCACGGCTTGAGAACTGCCTGAGCTTTGCATGGAGAAGTCGGTCTTCCCACTACCAGCGCTGTTCCGACTTTCGGCCAATGCCTCCTGCGAGGGCTTCCTCGACAACGGAATCTTCAGCTTGTTCTTTCGCGGGGCAGACTTTTCTAGATCAGGATTTGTCGGTGCAGTGGTGATGATCGTTGGGGCTGGAAAAGACCGTCAGCAAGGGCGTCACACCGCGCAAGGGGGGAAAACCCGGTAAGGCAACTGGTAGGTAGAACTTACGTGGAGGAAGAGGAGGCACAGGCGGGGCATCTGGATCTGCCTGAGCGTAGGAGGACGACAGTTGGGGATCTGAGGCATGGCGGAAGCGCAGCATGCTGAATCGATTTCTCCGTAATGATTGACGGCGCTCGGTTGGCGTCTCAGGGGGTGTCGCGGTTGCGTTTTCAGTCTGTTCATCGAGGCGCTCGGCAATCGTAGGCTGCACCGCGTCGGACTCTGCTTCATCAATGCGAGAAGAAGGGCCAGAATCGGATTGTCGACGAGCTAGCTGGGTCGCCGACGGGGAGGAGGGGCGAGGCACATGTTCACTGTGACGGGAAGTGGAGGAGGGGAAGATGGCGCTGTATCTTTTTGAGCCATTACTGCCATCCGTCGCAGTGAGCCGGAGACCCTTCCAATGCATTGCTAAGACAGGCAGGAAATGTCGAGACGAGTCGGTCGGGGTCGAGGGGCTGGCCGGTTATCTTCTCATGCTTTCCAGAAGCCGAAGATGCCACACATCCACGTTCGTCAGGCACGCAGGATGGAGGCAGAACACACACTCGTCTACGAGATCTGCGCAGAGGAATGGGGTTCAATGGGGAGACATTGCGGGTACGTCGAGGCTGGGGGCCGTCGTAGGGCTGAGGGCGTGCGGGCGCGTTGTCCCCTAAAATGGAGAGCGAGGGAGGGAGGCGGGATGACGACGGTGGGTGCCTGAGAAGACCGAGACTGTCAGTACGGCATGCTCCCGCGTCAAGGGAACTTTGGGAGCCTCGCAGGAGGAGCAGACGACGCAGGGCAGGGTGGTGGGAGAATGGGGGAGATGCGAGCCGGGCTGACATCGTGGAGCAGTCACCGATTAGGTCATTCGAAGACGGAGGGACTTACCAGCAACGGTGCCGTGAGTTCGGGGACCAACACGGCAGTCGATACGGTCGACAGGTTCGAGGAGGTTGGTAAAGGACTGGATCGAGCGAGAAGAGTCGTTTGAAGGTCAGAATTGGAGGAAGCAGGCGCGAGAAGCAGCAGAGTCGGGCAGTTGATGGCTGCTGGGGGGTTCGAGAGTTGCCAAGCAGTGGGCCTGACAGGGGTCCCTCACGTGCATCGCCCCAAGCGCCGTCATTGAATTAATTGCCCAGGCAGAGGGCCCGCAACTGGGGAAGGAAAGAAGGATAATAATAGTAATAGGAGTGATTCTAATGAGCATTATTTACTCCGTACGGAATACTCAATTGCTTGTTTGATAGACCTCATTCTGTCCTGGAACCATGGCCGCAGTGCGAGAATACCCTCTCAGCATAACCCACACGGAAACAATCACTATCACAACGATCTAGCAGTACGGATGGATGGCAGAATCCATCCTCGTCAGTATTAGTATTATTAAGGGAAACAGATCTGTTCGTGCATTTCCCAGCCTGGCCGCAACACCGCCACAGCCGACGCGTATCAAGCAATAAGCTTATGCAGGACGAGCCTTGGGGTCGACGCATGGAATGAAATGAAATGAAATGAACTGCAATAAATCTATCGCATCCCTGACGCTTCCATCCATTGCTCGAGTCTAGACGGGGCGACTGCTGACTGCAGCTGGCCCCTCACCAGCCTCGGGCGGGTCTGCCCACTGGCGCGGTGCGTCCACGCCAGCTGTTGGCACCCGATCGCAGCGTCATCACCCAGCTGCACCGCCTTTCTGCCCTTCTGCTTCCTTCCCCCCTATTGTGAGTTTTGGCGGTGCAATGCAGGCACAGTAGCGTCGTGCTTGCGATTTCCTGCCGAGATGTATGCCCTGCACGGCGTGCTCGTCCTCTGGTGCATCTTGCTGCTGGCCGGTCGGGTGCCTGCCGTGCCCGCCGGCTCCAGCATCACTCCGCCGCCGCCGGTAGAGCCGGTGCAGTTCCTCGCCCCGACGCAGGATTCACGACGGCCTTGGGTTCGACTGAGAGATTCGATCATTGAGAAGATCTGGGGCATCTCGAGCAAAAAAACAGACCGCTACTGTCCCGTGAAGGATGGGCTTCGCCGTCCCCCGCCCGCGAAGGCCCTAACGCGGTATGGTAGCGACGTCGTCCTGCGGTTCGAGCTGCGGGAGCCCGACGAAGTCAAAGCCCTGGCAGATGCTGTGAACGTGCTCTTCCTGGATGTATGGGACTCGACAGATACATTCGTGGACATTCGCCTGGCGAAGGAAGTGGTGAGTCATCTCGTTCCCTGTGCAATGGGATGCAAGGCTAATTGCAGTGTAGATTCCTTCACTGCTGGGCCTCTTGCCGGAGTCTCTCCAGAACGCTCACACGCTCCTGATTGAGGACCTTTCGGAATTGATCTACGCCTCCTACCCGTCACGTCGCTCCACCGATCTGGACCACGGGCCTCTGTTCAGCCCTTCAGTGCGCCAAAGGACCAATGTCGCGGATCTCTTTTTCGATGACTACCAGCCATTGTCCGTCATCATCCCGTGGATGCGGCTGATGGCGTCGATGTTTGCATCCCACGTGCAGATGATCAATGTCGGCATGACTTACGAAGGTCGTGATATCCCCGCCTTCCGGCTGGGGGTTCGACCACCCAGCCCCGAGCCTCCGCTGGAGCCACGGAAGACGGTGCTGATCATTGGAGGCGCCCACGCGCGCGAATGGATCAGTACCTCGACGGTCTGCTACATTGCATACAGGCTGATCACCGGGTACGGCAAGTCGGCGGCCATCACCCGGCTTTTGGAAGATTTCGACTGGGTGCTGGTCCCTACAATCAACCCGGACGGGTATGTCTATTCGTGGGAGGTGGATCGTCTGTGGCGGAAGAATCGACAGCAGACGGGCCTCCATTTCTGTCCGGGAATCGATCTCGATCGCTCGTGGGGCTACGCGTGGGATGGCGAGGGGACTCGTGCCAACCCGTGCTCAGAGAGCTACGCGGGCGACCAGGCATTCGACGGAGTGGAGACGAGGACAATTGCAGAGTGGGCGCTCAACGAAAAGCTGAACAATAACGTCGACATTATCGGCTTTCTCGATCTTCACTCTTATTCCCAACAGGTCTTGTACCCCTACTCGTACTCGTGTGCGTCGGTGCCGCCGACCCTCGAAAACCTGGAAGAGCTGGCGCTGGGACTGTCCAAGGCGATCCGGATGACCGATCGCGAGAAATACAATGTGGCCTCTGCCTGTGAAGGGATTGTGGTGTCGGACCAGCGGAGCGGGAAGAAGCGAATCCTGCCCAAGGTGGAGAGTAGTGGAGGAAGCGCGCTGGATTGGTTTTATCACCAACTGCACGCCAAGTACGCCTACCAGATCAAACTGCGCGACAAGGGGACGTACGGATTTCTGCTACCACCGGAGAACATCGTCCCGACGGGCAAGGAAATCTTTAATTCAATTCTGGTTTTTGGGCACTTTCTTCTCGCCGAAAGAGCGAATGACATCGACTGGGATTTGGATCTTCAATATCCGGAGACATCGGACGCCGCATCGGAGGCTGCGTCAGATATTTTGGATCGCACGCGCTTCCGGTCGGATCAACAGCCTCTGGGAGACCAAGACCGCGAGGAAGCCACCCAGGATGAGGATGATTTGGACGAAGAGTATGACTGGGAAATGCGACGGCGAAAGTAGTCTTTCGCTTTGACGACTGCATGTGGTGTATGTATGTACATGATCTGGTTTGGCGCACGGAGAATTCTTCCTTATTGCTTATTTCTGGCAGTCCTTATGGCGTTATGTCTGCTCATTACGACATGATACCTGATTAATTCGTTGAAGTCTCTCTCTTGTTAATAATTAATGCGGTACGCATGCGAATCTCGGACCATTAATCATGTACATATACTTTGCTTTTGATTTATTTTTCTTTTCCTTTCTTTTCATGCGAAATCTGACGACAGTGCGTTGAAAGTTGGGAAAAATCGAGATTATCTTATGGCTTGATGACGGCTGTTCAATTTGCTTCGATCGGATACCAACCACATTACCACATTCTGTCGCATTTATTACCCTTACAATTTAGCTACGTCGATCCAATAATAAATTCTATTTATCAATCTAGGCCTTATTGTAATCTCCACTGAAATTATTAGAAAGATTTGGTTGATTGATATGGATTGACGGTGGTCCTGCCCGAATAGGCAACTAGGTCGTTTTCCAATTCGGGCACGTGCGACTGCCGTTTCCGGCGCGGACATGGACATTGTCCCACCAAGTCCGGATCTGCCATCCGCTTAACTGCCTGTCTGCCTGCCTTGCTGACGTCGATGACTGTGAATCATACCTTGACGGTGTATTGCAATACCTGCAGACTGCTGTTTAGTACCAACGTCAACCAACCAGAACTTAGGGACCTTGCCCAGTACGGTTCTTCATACCGATGAATACCGTACGATTAGGTACCATTGTTCTTTTTTTCAGCAAACGGCAGGCTCTGTCTTGCTGTCGCGTGCACCAGGACAGCATTTCCTTCAATGACATACTTTACTCCACATGTCATGGGTGGTTGATATTCGAATTTCCTTTTCGGGCCCCTTGACCCCGGCTGTCTGTCTATGAGTCTATTCTACCTATGCATACACTATTGAAATCATCACCACCACCCTTATTCTCACCATCAGCAGGCGACAAAATCTCAAATCTGATTCAACACTACTTCTTGGACGATCAAGGAGACATCGGCAACAACAAAAGACAATCCTCCATGAACAACAACGATAACAGTACGTCGTCATCATCATCAGCATCACCAACAAGGTCAGGAACGAGTTCAGCACCAGAGGGTGGAAACGGCGGCGATGATCGCGGCCACCGCCTCGCCGTCGCACATGGGGGACTTTACTTCTTCCGCTCCTTGGTCTGGGACCTTCTCGAGTCGGGGAAATATTCCGACTTTACGATCAGAGTCATAAAAAAAGGATCATCGACGCCGCGCGAGTTTCGTGTCCATCGCGCCATCGTGTGTCCTCAGTCCAAGATCTTTGAGGCTGCTTGTCGGGGGGAGTTCGTGGTATGTCTGCTTGCTTCCTGGAATGAAGGGGAGCATTATAAATATATGGACGTGTATGTGTATGCTGGGGCTTTACTGATGGATGGATGAATTCAGGAAGCGTCCACAAATACAATCACGCTGAATGACGACGATCCCGAGATTGTTGAGCAGATGATCAAGTATTTTTACACACATCGGTACGATGACGACGAGGATTGGGAGTATTATCGGTGGAATCCAACAGCAGGTGGAATAAGACCCGCCACAAAGACAGGCGACGGTATCGAACAGTGTGAATCTGGAGAGGCGGCACAAGAGCGATCATCGAGCAATCTGTCATCCCGGAAAAAGCATTTTGGTTATAGCGCTGGCTACAGTTACAGCCCTGACTCTGAATACGGCAATGCCACGGTCCCCAACTCCCTCCGCGTTTACGCCATCGCAGACAAATACCTTGTCCTCCCCCTCAAAGAGCTCGCCCGGATCCGCTTCACCAAATGGGCCGCCCACCACTGGTCCTCGCCGCGCTTTCTGTCTGCCGTCAGGGAGATCTTTGACGGCGAGACGGGCAACTACGCCGAGCTGCAGGAGGCGGTCATTGCGCCGCTGGTCCGGCATGCGGACGAGCTCCTTTTTAACAACCACAATTATAATGACGATAATGATAATGACCGCAATGATGATGACGACAATGTGGGCCAGTTGCTACATGACTACGGCGAGATCAGCCTCGCCGTGCTACGGCGCGTGCTTGAGCGCAGCCGCATCGCACAGCGTGGGCTGGAAGTCGACGTCGCGGAGCTGCAGTCGCGCGTCGAGGCACTGCAGTGCGAAAACCGCAAGATCGACGTGCTTCAGAGTCAGAACCGGCGGCTGACAAAGGAGTTGCTCGAGATGAAGATGGCGCTTATCTCAAGGAGGCGTGGCAGAGAGGCCTCTTCTTCGAGAGGGGAGCGAAGTAGTCGTACCCATGTTCACCATCATCATAGATGAGAAGTAATAGGAAAAAGTGTCAAAGATGTTGCTTATTGAATGGTAAGCTATATGATTGCTGGTTTTGTGGGGTGGTTATTCTGATATGTCATGTCACCATGTATAGATAGGGGCACTTTTCCCCCCATTTCTTGCCAAAAGAGTCTACTTAGCATTGCTACATATAACCTGCATTTACTACCACATATTTCAATTGGTTAATTACATAATGTCTATACACAAGACTTTTCTGGTCATTTGTTAGGGAAAAGCTCAGTGGATTACTGCGGAAGTGACTGCAAATTCTGTTATGATAGGGAGGGAGATTTATAATATATTGTCCGAACTCTGCTGGCAATAACGTGATAATATACACTTCACTACAGTGCGTTCATTTATTATATCCTTGTCCCTTGCAGCCGGAGACAGTGGTATGACGTTTCTCGCAGCAATAGTATACAGATATGCCATAGTCCTTAGTCCATCGTTACCATCTGCCAAAGTATCGCTCACTCCTTGTGCTCAGCAGAGATCTTCTCATCTGCCCCAGACGAAGCATCGACAGCGACAGTGGTCATCTCCGGGTCATGCTCATTACGATTCATTCTGCTCCGGAACCCCGGCAACAACCTCCCCCGTCGGTCAACGACAATCAGCCGATCATTGTCCCCTAGATACATCATATCCATCTCCTCGAGCGTCCGGCCCGAGATCTCTGGGTAGAAAAGCCAGATGACCGCCGCGAAGAACAGGTTGAGCACGAAGAAAATCATGCACGTCTTCCAGCGGATGTTGGCGATGGAGACCGGCGTAATCTGCACAATCAGGAAATTGAAAATCCAGTCGCTGGCCGTTGCCAGCGCGGCGGAATGCGTTCGATGCCGCAGGGGCATGAACTCGGCTGGGTACAGCCAGGGGATGGCAAGCCAGCCCATGGTGAAGACAGCTTCGTACAGGAAGAAGAATGCCAGTGACGCTTTCGCACGAATGGCGGTAACGTCTTGTTGTAGGAGACCAGCCTGGAAAAATAATGATCAGCGGAAGCTGGTGAATATAAGACAATTGATCTTACGATAAGAAAGCAAAAGGCGCAGACGACAGCCCTCCAGATGAGAGGCTTGCGACGACCCATATCGTCCAGGAAGAAGACTGGGATGAACGAAAACAGCCAGTAGGTGTCACCAAGACCGGCACCGAATTGCAGGGCAGTCTCGTATGAAAATCCGATATCTGTGGTCAAGGTGTGAGGTGCATAGTAGACCTGGCCATCTCCGTCAGAACATATTTTGATATCGGGTCAAGGGAGGAAGGCTTTCTTACGAGAACATTGATACCGCTCAACTGCTGCATAGCTTGCAAGGCTGTTTACGATCATTAGCGACAGCAAGCACAACAGAGTACACTGAAGACCTGCCAATGACAAGGAGGAATCTGCGCCGGATTTTGAGAGGACCATTCTTGAAGACCTCTTGGATCCGCCAAGGTCCATCGGCCTCCTCCAGCATCAGAACTTCGTCGATGTCTTTCTTCTGTTTGAGAACTGCGGGATGGCGATGGCCGAATTCTTTCCCGTGTAGTTGGGCAATCACATCTATCGCCTCGCCGTGTCTCTTATCTGTGAGTCGATTAATGGCAGTCCAAATGGACAGGAAATGGACGTACACACGCACGTTTTGTCAACCATCGAGGAGACTCCGGAAGCAAATAAACCCATGCTACTTGGGCCAGGATGAACACGCCCTGAGCAGCAATCGGCGTCCTCCACTGCACGGCGCCGGTTGTGTAAGAGAGGCCGATGTTGAAGTAGTAGGCGATGATGATACCCAGGGCGATCAGATTGCCTTGGATGGCGACGTGGCGCCCTCTACTTCTCGCCGGAATGAGTTCAGATACCCATAGAGGCGTGGTGGCGGTGTTGAAGCCATTTCCCCAGCCACTGGGCACTTCATTTCAGTCTCGAGACTATGCGCAAAACAAGCTGCTAGCGGCCTTACCAGACAATGCGACCAACGATCATCTGCGGCACGCCGAAAGAAGATGCCTGCAGTGCTGCCCCGATGAACATGAGGGTAGCTCCGACCTACATGCACTTCTTGCGCCCCAGCATCTCCCCCACGAAGAACACAGTGACTGCTCCGCAGAAACATCCTATTCTGCATCATCCTATGTCAACGGACTTTCACAGCTGATTGATGGGAATCCTAACTCGTATATCGCGTTGATTGTCCCCAAGAGGCCGGAGGACGGATAGTTGAACTGCTGTAAGAATTCCTGCGCAGCGTTCAGGCCCTGAATATGAACATTTCAGCAAGCGCTCATCCTGCAGCATCACACAGTGAACGAACACTCAAGACACCCTGGTCATAGCCAAACAAGAGAAAGCCAATGGAACCAGCGATGGAAATGTTCCGTCTGAGGCTCTTTCCTTGAAGGCCAAAGAAATAGCGCTTCCGGGGGATGTTTTCGAATTCAATGCCTTCATTTTGAGGATCCTGCAGCTGGCCTGGGTCTTTTCACTCTGGTTCGAGCTTGGGTTGCTGTCATCAGAAGTCGCCATCTTCGTAGATAGCAAGTCGCAAATGCAGAAAAGCTGAAAGCGAACTAACAATGTTGTCGTGATCCATTGTTGAGAGTGGCAGGGTATTTGTTTTATAAAGCGAAACCGAAAGCTTTGACGATGACTCCGCAAACTGAAATTGATCACTGATCATTGACTTTGTTGGCACGGGAGATGAGTAGCTTTCAAGCTACGCGCATCGCCGGAGAACTCGCCGACCTCAGTCTCCAGCGTAGCGCCGCCGAAAATTGCGACAACAGGAATAGCGCTGCCACTTGCTGGATCCTGTCATCTTTGGAATTCCACTGGCACGGCGTCCTCAGTCCACTGGCCCGTTTCTTTTTCTTGGAATCCGGGGCCCCGCAAAAAGAAGAGTCTAGCTGGCGGCCCTTGCAGCCGATCTCTGCGGGGCAAGCCGGTATAAAAGTGCCAGCGCCAACAGCCATGGTTGCTGGTTTCTCTCCGGCGATAATTACTTCAAACAGCAATCGGATCATGTGGACATAGCTATCTCTCTCCTCTGCGCAGAATGCCAGCTATGAGGCAGCCTGGATGGTGAGCACCGCATCATCAAGTCCCACTGTGCACGTCACGTTGCGACTAATCGAGGAACAGCATTCATTGCCGCGAGCGTCATCTCCGCTGTAAGATGGACCCCTGGCTCCAAGGAACCCTGCCGGACGATGCCAACGGCGCTCTGCAGGTGATCGGGCCATTCCAGCCTGCTCCAACTGCCGCAAAGCAAGACCGCCCCTGGACTGTGTCTTCCGGGGGATCAGGATCCGGCACAGCTCATATTCGGCCAAGGCTCGTGCCACGAACGTCCAAGCTGGTCACAGGCCTAAAGAGACGGTAAATGCTTTGTCGCCTCACGTCTGTGATTCGTCGCCGCCGTCCCAGTTACCTGGACTGGTTCATGTGGAGCCTGCAGGATCATCCGCATCCAAGGCTTTGGAATCGAGTATCGTCGACTCAATTGAGCCTTCTGTGACAGCTTCATGGGCGCAGCTCTCTGCACGGAACAGGAGTCCTTCAGCCGTCACTCCGGAATCGTTACCGGGCGCCAACTCCATCTCGTCGCGCACCACCATCCCAGGCAGCTTCGACCATTTCGAGAATGGCTACACCGTCAGGTCGCCCAGTCTCGACCGGAGTGCTCTGAGTGTGACCTCTCCTAGTTTCGCCTTTGGCCATCGACGCCATCCTAGCTCTCAGCGGATGGTCACCAACGATGTAGAGCGCTTTGTCTTTGAGTTTTATATCAATCATGCTGGACCTTGGGTGAGGTTGCGTGAATGAGAATCTAGGGGCTAAGACACTAAGAGAATTGTGCACAGCTTGACATAGTTTCGTCTCAACGGCACTTTGGGCAGACGGTCCCACGGCTTGCCTTGACGGAGCCTGTTCTCTATTACGCCTGTCTAGCGTACGCGTCGCACGTCCTGTTCCTCAAAGGGGAGGTGGATGAATATGTGCAGGAGCAATTTTAGAACAAGGCAATCGAGCTGTTGATTCCGCTGCTCTCTCCCCATTTCGCTCCGGCCACGGACAGCGCCCTTCTCGCGACAACGGTGATCCTGCGCATGTCGGAGCAATTCTCCGAACTGGCAGACGACGCGCAGCATCACCTCCACGGTGCGTATTGCCTTTTCGCGACCACGGGGGAGAAGTGGTCGCCTTTCCACATCGATGTCCGTGGCGTGGCATTCTGGATCTATCTCCGTGAGAGTATCCGCGTGTGCTTCCTCAACGAGCACGGTTGCCAGTTCGATCTAGGCATTGTCGATGACGAGAAGGCTGCGGCCTCGGCACCGGAGGGGGTCTGGGCGAACAAAATATCGTACCTCATCGCTAGACTGTGCAATGCCTGCTGGGGCGACTTTGATGAAAGCGTCAAGGAGTCCATGAGGGCGGAAATCCAGACAAGCCTCGAAGAGTGGAAGGCTCAACTGCCGGATACGTACCAGCCATGGTGTTTTAGCTGCAAGGATTACGAGCCTTTTCCGGTAATCAAATTTTTGAGTCCTTGGCATGGTGCGCAGTCTTTATTCTCGTGTTCTCAGTGTATATGTGTGGCTGATTCGCCCTTGTTAGAGATCGCGTGGCAGCAATATTATACGGCGAAGGTGATGCTCGCTGTTTACGCGTCGAAACAGAGAGAGGGCTCCAGTGTCCTTACCTTGAATCAGCATCTTGAAGTACGTCAGCGGAGTTGTCGCGCGCAAATCTGTCTACTGACTACTGCGCTGCACAGGCGGAGATCATCAACCCAGCCAGGCTTGCGTGCGCTGTGTGCTTTTCTAGCGATAACTTCGGCTGCAACATCAACGGGACGCATCTCATTTCGTGGTGCGGCCAATTCTTTACCGGGAAAGAAGAGCAGAGGCGCCTGGCCAAATTCCTCAAGGATTTCATGGACAAGACCAAATGGCCGAATAAGACATGCTACGAGAGGCTCGAGCAGATTTGTCCGATCCATGACTGCTGCAGTGACTTGAAGGTTGTGCTGAATTACCAAATCCAGTAAGTTCCGGCGAACAATACTTCCCTGGTCTTGTTGTCATGACATGGCGTGCATGTCGGCGAAAGGTTCCAACCCTGCATCATGCAAACATATCCTCGCCGAAAGTCTCCATGAAAAGGAATTTCGTGTTGAGGAGAAGCAATAAGACCTAACCCATGCCCTGGATAGAATATGATGGAATTCAGAACTGGATCGGCGAGCACGTCATATGGCTCCTGGTTCTTCTTGGATGCGTTTCTTCGAGTCTTTAAGAAGGCTGCCATGAAGCTGTTTCTGAGACAGGTTTGCCTGTGAACTTTGGGAGACACGATTAGCAACATGCTGTCACTAGGTATGTTCAGTCTCTTATACATATCGGCACTCGCTAACGATGTCAGCATTTGTCATTTTCCTCGGCTTCGTCGCCGTTGTAGGCTATACGGTTGGCCGTTATGTTGTCGACAAGAAGAACCTGCGACGGTTCCCAGCGCCGTCTGTCGCAGGGTTCACGCCATTATGGCTGATGTACCACAGCTGGCTCGGTCGACGATACAAGGCGGTTGACGCAGCCCACCGCAGACTGGACCCTGTGGTGCGCTTCTCCCCAAACCACATCTCGTTTACAGACCCTACCGCGTACAAGGACATTTACGGTCACGGATCTCCAATCCTCAAGGATGAATTCTACTCTCATATCGCAGCCGGCAATCTGTCCATGGCCCAAACGACGGACAAGGCAGAGCATACTCGGAAGCGAAAGGCTCTTGCGCACGTCTTCTCCGCGCGAGAGATAACGGCTATGGAACCGCGGATCCTTGAGACGGTCAAAAAGCTTTGTCGCGACCTCCAAATCAAGTCAGAGGGGAAACTCGTTGCAGAGACGGACCTCTACCCGACTGTCAATGGAGTCTTTGATCTACGACCATGGCTGAATATGTTCTCCTATGACGCCATCACGGCGATGTTCTGGTCCAACACGTACGGGTTTCTCGACAAAGGGAACGACCTGTGTCCGTCGATGACCAGTTCGGGGCAGATCAAGCAAGTGCACGCCATGGACAGTTTCCATTCCGGGGCGGCATTCAACGTCTTACTTGCGCATCTACCCGAGGCGTGGAACAAACTGGCCAAGATCCTTCTTTCTTACACGCATGGCAGGCAGGCAGCACAGAATTTCGGGGGCATGGCACGTTACCACGTCGTTCGGCGCCTGGAAAATCCTCCCAAAGAGGCGGACTTGTTCTCCAATCTACCGGCGCAGCCCTCGGCAAAGTGGCCGACGCCGATGCCGTTGCACGAGCTGGTAGCAGAGTCCACCACCATGCTGGATGCGGGCAACGATACGACGCAGACGTCCCTGACCAACTGTATCTACCAACTGGCGTCCAATCCGGACAAGCAAACCAAGCTATACAAGGTCTTGATGAAGAGCATCTCTCTCGACGACAAGTCGAAGCCCTTGGTGTCCTATTCGCAGCTGCAGCATATCCCCTATCTGCGGGCGTGTCTGGACGAGAGCTTCCGGTGCAAGCCACCGGTTGCCTTTGGGCTTCCTCGCCGCACGGTCAGTCCCGGGGCGACGATCGCCGGGCATTTCATACCGGCCGATACGACGGTCAGCGTGCCCTTGTACGCAGTGCACCGCAACGAAAGTCTGTTCCAGGACGCACTGCGATTCGTTCCGGAGCGATGGCTGGACGACGACGACGAGCTGCGGGACGGATGGACGACGGACGCGCAGGAACGGCAGAACCTGAAGGACTACGTGCTGCCGTTCAGCTTGGGCGGACGAGCGTGCATTGGGCGCAACCTGGTGTACATGGAGCTCAGCATCGTGATCGCGGCGCTGGTGCTGGGGTTCGAGTGGGAGCTGGCCGAGCCGGGCAGCGAGCTGGAGACGATCGAGCGGTTCAACTGCAACCCGAAGGAGCTGTTGGTGAGAGCGCGGGTGAGGGAGGGCGTCAATTGGCTGGGATAGTTGACTCGTTCTTGCCAACTACTGTATATGTGCGCTGTACGCCTTGATCTGATTGACCGCATAGCCGCGCACTCTTACCTAGGTGCCTTACCCCTCTTTTCTGTGCTTGATGATAATACAGTGGCATGAACGATTGGCAGTTATTCTCTCAATATCGAATTTCTTCTCGACATAGTGTTAACAGAACCGTATGTATCTATCCAATATGAAGAGCACACATAGCGGATGAATCGTAGACTCTAGTGGTGCTGGATATCAGCACTACTGGAATGATACTAAATTACCCTGTAGACTTCCAGAGTAGTCAACTTTTATTATCATTATTAAATTGCTATCTCTATTAATTTATCCCAGCTTGCTTGCCAGTAACGTGACCCGCATGTACTGTACTGTACACCAACCAAATCCTTAGACTGCCTCGTCATGTGATATCACCTTATCACCGCTACTCCGTACGCAGGAGGTATTTGTTGTTAAATTAAGGACATATCCAAAGTATATTACTACCTATAACTACGAGATGCCTTAACAGGAAAAACCAAGCAAAAATATCCTTAATTAGCATCGTCCAGCGCAAGAAATGGATGCATTTTTTGCCCTTTCTGGCTGCACTGCTGCAGGTGCCTGTGCCGTGGCCTGCATAAGAGCCCGCGCTGCGAGATGTGGTTGGCTGCCGGGAAATTAAGCGGGCGGCTAGGCGAGAATTAAATTAATTCTGTTTATTTTTAGAGCAGATCGTGCGGGGAATCGCGCGATGCTATCATTAGAAACGAGCTAATGTCGTTAGCTACATATCGTTAGAACTTAGCTGCCGCTGGGCAGGCGGCTAAGTGAGGGGTTCAGCGAGCTATCGAGCCATGGTTATTTTTGTCTTCTTGCTTATCGTACTTCCACGGGTTTTTAAACCTCGTCATGCTCCTCCAGGATGGTTGACTTTCTTCGTCAGCATACACTGATTAATTGATAATATTTCTATACGATCATCATGGTCTTGCGTCTTCCTCTGTCTATCGCCCCTAGCTCCCCAACCCGCATCACCGGCGACATGATCTCGCCGCCGCTGTCCCCCGACTTCAACTTCGACTCGGACGCCCTGACGCCGTCCGTCCTCCCGGCCCTCGAGTACATCTCCTCCAAGCTCCAGCAGAAGTCCATGCACGTCACCCTGCTGGTCGGTCGAGGAAAACCCTTCCCGACCGGCGACGGCGCCGATCTGATCGTCCTGCCCATCACGGAGCTGGACCCGTCCTCGTGGAAGATGCTCTACCGCATCGTCGAAAAGGCCGTCCGCAAGTTCGCGCTGGGCCAGAGCTGGACCGATGCGCTGGGCCAGAGCCAGAGCCAGAGCCAGCGCAACCGTCGCGCCAACGAGTACCTGGTGCAGCAGTCCATCATGCAGAACGAGATCCTCTTCAGCCAGGAAGGCCTGACGCTGCTGAACGTCGACCGCATCTACACCTTCAAGCGCCGCCTGTGCGTGCTCTCCGCCGCCGCCCGGGGCCAGCAGCATCCCTCTGAGGAGAGGTACATCAACTCGTGCGTGCACCTGCTCCACCAGACCATCCGCGACTGCCAGGGCCGGCCGTTCAGCCAGGCCTTCTTCCACCGCGTCTACGAGCACCTGGGTGTGAGCGATGAGCTGCTCGTCAAGGTGGCTGCCGCATACAAGGCCAAGTATGGCCAGGATGGCATCGTCTTGCCTCGTCCGGAGCCGAAACAGCATGCGCGACGATCCCCGGGTCCGCGCGTGCGCCGACGGGCTGCATCGCCACGACAACAGGGCCCGCCGCCATCTCGAGCAGCGACACCGCCCAAACGAGGACCAAAGACGCCGCTGTCAGCGTCCGACGTTACCCCAATCACCCGGAACGAATGGAACATCCTCATCGGGCAGGATTTCTGGCAGAACAAGCCGACGGTGACGATGTGGGTTCCGTCGCCGGCTGTGCAGGTGGCGGGCTGAATTCGACGGGTCGTGACACAGTTATGACGGTGACGACAGTCTAGAAATGCAGATATATATCCGATCTGCTAGGGATCTCCTGTCGAGGAGAGCACTCCAGTCTGTCTGAGGAGGTCGGCATGACGATAAGCATGCATGCTCTCAGCGAGGCGATGGTACGTTTAATCCTGATTACCTGTCGAATCCCATTTCATTGGAGATTCATCGCTAACAGAATACAAGACCCTTCTATCAGGCAGACAGACATGTGATATCTCACGTCATCACGAGAAATCTCGTTTCGAAGCGAGATCCCCTGAAAATATCGAGCAGACTCGTTCGAAGACGCGAGAGATAGAGATATCGCTCAGGAACAGATACATATATCTGGTCCTAATGCATGGCATTATTGAACAAGCAATCGATCATGCACGAGAGGAAACATCAGGAGTTTCCCAAAAAGGAAAAAAAAGCAGTGTCTTCACTGCATGATATGAGAGGGAGGAACATGATTACAGAGGAATTCATATAACTAACAGAATGTGTATATCTATGTACTATACTGTACTGTACATACGTACATTCTTTCGTTCCCTCTCTTTCACTAGTGTCATAGCAAACTTCCTTTTTTTTAAAAAAAAAAAACAAAAAAGAAAAGAAGTACAGACGATTAATCAGTTCTTTGACTAACTCTAACTAACTGTGTTCTGTGCTGTTTCTTATGTACTGTATGTAGCATTTATTTATTATTTATTTGATCTGGCTACCTAGGTGGCCAGCCAGCCAGTCCCGCCTGATGGATTCGATCAAAATGAGTTATTATTATTATCACCCCAAGTCAGTGTGCCATTCATTGATCGATGGATCGATCGATAGATGGATGGATGGATGGATCAATTAATCGATATGATAGATAAGATTAGATTGATTGTGGTGTGTTTTAATTACTATTTATCAGATAGAAAAACGTGATTAGAACCTAGGTAGTCTAAGCTATCAATCACGTAATACTGGACTCTCTTGTTGTATTGGAGAGGAAGTACATATGTACTGTACAGTACGTATCTAGTCTAATTATGTAGGTACGACTAGGTAGATACCTCTCTACGTACTCGATCGATGGTAACTTTATAGTCCAGTTCTATTACCTCATGTTTCTAGTCTCGATATCAGAGTCGAGTCGATGTGTGGAGTTACTGACATATATTTGTAAATAGACTGGTCTATGAATTATTCGTCTGGCGGATTGCAATTTCTGTCGATCCGCTCTTCTCTTTATGCTTGTCTTTGCCAGGGACTGGGACAGACATTGACGATGATGCTGCTGGATGCGATTCACTGCTGTCTGCCGTGTCGGCACCAACAACTGCATCTGGACCGATTGTTCCCCTATCATCATCGGCAGCAGCAGCATCCATTTTTCTTCCGCAGTTGCTGCCCAATCTTTGCTTTCTCCCAACCCATCTCCTCCACGGTCTGTACAGCACCACACTCAGCAGCCCAAAGACGATAAAGCATCCGCAGATGCTTCCCCCGATCACGTCGTAGTAGTCGCCTGCCGTCTGGACGCCGTCCCAGAAGGGGCCCGTTGGCTCGGCCACGTTGAGGATGAGCGTCAGCAGTTGCAGGATGCCGATGACGATGGCGACGATGACGGTCAGCGTTGTTAGGACGATTGAGTAGTACAGGAATGCGATCGGGTCGCGGGGGGTTGAGGTCGGAGTTGGATCGGCTGGTACAACAGCTGGTTGCTCTCTGGCGGTCACAGCATGGCAATCAGCATGCGAGGGCGAAGACGAGTTCCTTTGCTCTGGCTTCGGCGGCAGAAAGTTCGTAGCCGGCTGGATATAAAGCGACAGCATCAGGGCACCGTCGGCGGTATCAAGGAGGCACATGCCGGCTGTTGACTGTTAGTGCTGATAGTGAGTATAACGTCATCGACAGTCAGAAACATACCAGTAAACAGGATTGGAAAGATCAGTATCACCCAAAAGTCCGTCCCCCGCGCGGCTTGGATGGACGAGATGCCCAGGAGAGCAATCTCGGATGAGGTGTCGAATCCCAGGCCAAAGAGGATTCCTAGGGGGTACATCTTCCAGGGTCTGAATCGCAGTCAGTTAGCTGTCTCTAGTTTTAGAAAATATTGACTCGACACACCTATCTATCAACTTAAACATCTTCTTCAGCGCCGCAAAGAGGATCCCTCCGCCCTCGAACTTCCACGCTTCCGCCTCCTCGCCGTCACGCAGATTCAGAACCTTGCGCATCTGCTGGACGAGCTTGTAGAGGATGTACGCATTCATGATGCCCAGCAGGATGAGAAAGGCCGCGCTGACAGAGCTGCCGATGATGCCGCCCACAGTGCTGAACGAGTCGAAGCGCTGCGAGACGGCGGCTGCAGTGGCTGCGACGACGATGGAGGTGATGACGACGATGCTGTCGTTGTTAGAGATAAAAGAATGGTAGGATACAAGTGATATTATCGAGTACCTACGTGGAATGGCCGAGGGAAAAGAAAGTCCCTACAGCGACGGGCTTCTGTCCTGTAGCGAGCAGTCGTCGGGTCATCAGATCGATAGCCTAGCATTATCAGCGTTTTCTCTTGCAGTCAGACTACAGGTGCATACAGAGATGTGGTCTGCATCTAGGGCATGTCTCAGACCAAGGGAATAGGAAATGGCGGCTGTGGAGACCAGTGATCTGTCGATACTCAGCAATTGCTTCCTATTACTCTTGAAATCATTGAGAGGGTGTCTGATAAATGAGACGAAGATCCATGGTACTCACGGATAGAAATGCTACAATCATCAGCATCTTGTCAAGTATGCAAGACTTCAAAAGAGAGAAAAGGACAGAGAGAACAGGCAACAAACCAACACAATCCCCACAGCCACCCACACCACCATATTAACCACGGCAACGAGCACAATGATGCCAATCGCCGGCAGAGGGATCTTTCTGATACCGGGGAGCCGGCCATGGGTGGTTTCTGCGCGACGGAGGAGCGACTTTTTTAATGACTCTACATCGTCGTCTTGCCGCAGGTCGTCAAGGTCACTGTTGTACGATGGAGGAGGGATTGGATCATGGATCTGGACCTGATGCATTTCGCATTTCCTGGGATTGATTGTATTATAATTTGTCCCCAATTGATTGGTCCAAAATTAACTAAGTAAGTATCAAGCTCTCAATTGATAATCCCAATTATCATTGAAAGAGAAGAAAATAATGAGAGAAAAGAATGAAACAAATGAGCAAAGCTTGAAGTGATTATTTGAATATTTGAGATAAGAATGTCCTAATAGATTAACCGTTATTAGTGGGCTGGTTATAGAGATAAGTATTATTAATTAATTAATTAATTAGTCAATAATACAGCGCAAGAAGTAATAGTAGGAGGTGAAAAAAAAACCAGCCCCGCATGTTCGCGTTCTTCCAAAAGCAAATATCAATTATAATTATGTGGGCGGGATACGGAGCACGCCGATAGTACAGCACCTTAGGTAGGTAGGGTAGCTAGAGATAATTAGATGATTACACACGCTGATTTGATTATCGATTGATGATGAGCGATAATAATGACGAAATGAAATGAAACTAGCAAAAGAAAAAAGTGGTGGGGGATAACTTAAGATTGTGTCGGTAGCGACTAATTCGTGAGGGGTAAAGTAAAAAATGAGATGGAGATCATCAGATCAGATAACCATGAACAAATACCTATCTAGGTAGGCAGTAGGCCTAATGCATAGCAGAGAATAAGAATAAAATAAAAGCTGATCTACACTGTACAGATTTATTAACTACATACTTATGTCAGTAATGTTCTCTATTTCTTTTCAATTCGGCTGATCACCGTTTTCTGATCCGATCTAGCTAATCAGCTGTTGGTCTTTTCTTATCGCACAACGCCGACTGGTCAGCAAGAGCTTGGGCGTGACTAAATTGATTACCAGAGGTACAGTAGGTACCTACGTATGTATATTAGGAATTATGCAGAACAAGTCATTAAAGAGATATGATATATATTCTTATAAAAGTTCACACAAGGTTCTCTTCTCATGATATCAGCCAGACAAGCATGGGTGCTAATAGCGCTAAAACCTCTGCTATAGTCTTCAAGTCGAGACCTTCCCGAAAGGGAAATCCCAATATCACAACCACTACCACCACTACCATCACCACGAAAATAAAATGAAAATAAAGAAACAAGCATAAAAAAAGCATCCGATAAGGGGTGTTGTCCCTCCAGTAGCACCCCTACAGCAGATCTTATTAGAATGGGATTCCCTTTTTTTAAATTGGAACCCAGAGCGATCGAACGAAGGCTTTTTTTCTTTGCAGACTGTTGGCCAGCTACGGAGTTATTATTGGGACAGGCGTGGTCACTTCTCCTGGCAGTACTTAGGTAAGGAGATAACTACGCATTGGGTGAATATAGCGTCCAAGGGATGGAAAGTCATCCTTGCTCCTGTCTCCAGAAATACTGTTTGGCAGTACTATCAGACAGACAGCATTCTTATATCATAGGACATATGTACGTATATACAAGATGATATGTATATATAATACGTCGAAGATATATATGTTCACCTCGAACACCTCTCCGTCGCAGGCCGCCATCCCACCCCCAGCCCCTCCATGACCAGTCGCTCGCGCTCCTCCCACGTCTGACCACCGCGCTCCAGGTCAATAACCTTCCCACCCGACGTGCGCTCGCGCACCCCGCTCGAGTCGAACTTCCAGCCGTGCGCCTTCTTCGCGTACCGCCGCAGGTCGCGCTCAAACGTCGTGTCCCCGGACCAGCCCAGCACGGCGCACCCGACCGTCCGCCACGGCGAGATGATGATATCGACCCGTCGGTGGGGGTTCGGGTTGCGCTTGCGTCTCCGCTCGGGATCTTGGTCTGTCTCGTCCTGGTCTCCGAAATGCGGATCCTGCCACACGACGAGGGCCTTGTCCAGACTGTCAAAGTGATGGTGTCCACTCCCCTCCCCCCGGAACGGAAGCGTCTGCTGCTCCCGGTTCGACGTCGACATAATCAGGGCAAGCGTATGCGTCACCCACCCCTCGGACTCGAGACTGCTGACAACATCGACAACCAGGTTTTTCGTTACCCTCTCGTCCCGATGGCTCAGCACCAGATCGATGTCGCCGCAGATCTCCTTCCCCCGCCGATACCCGCCCACGATGATGCACTCCATGCCCTGCCCGTCGTACTCGCATCCCGGACGGACCATGGTCGCATGTCGGTGGATCGTCTTGGCAATGTCAGCGACCTCCGAGCGAGGGATCCCCGCCAGAAATTCGTCGTAGTACTTGACGCCGATTTGCTGCACCCGCGAGAGGCTGTTCCAGCCGTGCTCGATCACGTCGTCCAGGTCGCGCCACTCTCGCTGGTAGTAGAACTCGCGCGCCGTCTTTGCGCCAACGCCCCAGATCTTGGAGAACTGATTCAGAACCTTCAACACCGGATCCGTGTCGAGCGCTTCTGCCGCCGCCAGCGTGCCGTCAGGGCTGTTCTTGAATTCCACAAAGAGATTCGCGATCTTCATGTCACACCCGGGGAGAGATAGCACCTCCGCAGGACTCCGGAATTCGTACGGATACGCTGCTATGGAGGCAATGGCAGTGCTGTAAGCACGGACCCCGACCTCATCCAACGTGAGCTCCCTAGCCCTTCTGATCTTCACCAGTTGGTCGATGAACTTTTCGTTTGGCGGGTGCAACGGCGCGGAACGCATGCATGCGTACATGACATTGTTCTTCACCCAGTCAGGCGCTGGTGGAAGGGGTATTGTCTCCTCATGTTCCGAGGTCGTCTGGCGGTAGAGTGTTGGTGGATGGTAGTGCTGGCCTTTTTCGTCTGGGTGTTTCGTCCGGCGAACACCGAAGCGCGAGGACAAGGATGCGGAAGGTGGTTGGGACGCTGCATCTTCCATTGCTCTCTCCAGTATCTGTTGGGACTCAGACGCCAGCCTCGAAGGCTTGGGCGCTGCTTTCTTGACCTCAGGTCGATCAACCACCCGAGCGTAGTAGACGACGTACGGGTCGAGAGGCAGCAGCTTTCCCTCCTTTAGAGATTGCGTGAGCCACTCCAGCTTGACGACCTTGATGTGCCGCTCCGCTATCCCGTCAGACTCACTTTCTACTGACGAGAAGCTGTCACTCGTACTATCAGCCTGGGCCACATCTGGCGAATGCGATGGTCTCCCTGCTTCTTCGTCTGACTCCGTGCTCAGATCGACAACCGGTGATCTGGAAACATGATCTACAGTCTTATCGACCCGCCTCCGTTTCGAAGGCGGTTGTTGGCTGGGACCTGTCGCTGTCGACGTCGCCGGCGATATCTCCTCCGTCCAGACACCTCGAGACCTCAACTCCAACGCCGCGCGTTTGCGCTGACCGATCGTTCCCAGAACAATCTTGGCCTCCGAGACATCGTACGTGAGGGGCGCACCGTGCTTTGCGAGCGAGTCTTCCACAGCATGCAGCTCGTCCAGACTGAGATGTGTTGGGAGGACGAAGATGGGCGGACAGTCCTTGAAGAGAGACTCGAAGTCAGACGCAGCGGTGGGGTCCTCTGCCGGCGGTGTAGTAGTCATTGGGATGATATTCGCATATACATGTACACATATGGACATTCAGTTGCAATCAATCAATCATTCATTCATTGAGTCATTGAGGTCATCCGGAGAAGCAAGGGGACATGTATCCAGGACACGAAATATATGTATCCACATGAACAAAGTCGATTGAAGTCATCACAATAAACAGATCATAGTAAGTATATGTTATGTGTCGCAGTATGTAGTATAGTATATTTGAACTGAATCAGGTGATCAGAGAACGGGACGCGTTTGCAGGCAAGGGTTGGAGCGGCGACATCATGCTATGATCTGCTCTGCATCGTGCATCCAACCAATCTCGCGACCGGGATAATAATATCGATAAACTAATAATAAATAAGGCTGCGCATGGCCAGGGTGTCGGGGAGAAGAGGATGATTAGGATTGGATTTCAGATGCCCCGCTATCTTGTCTGTGCCTTCAGGACGCCCCGCAACGGCGACGTCATGGATCTCGGTGCTCTCGGCCCGATGTTGTCCCGTCTTTTTATAGGTATCATGTACACAGAGCTATTATATTTATGGATCCTTTGCATTCGAATGTCTCGGCTTGCTATTGGGCTTATCATTTGTGTATGTATCTTTTGGCCTATTTTATTTATGACAGCCAGTCTATACTAGAACAGTGTCTAACTGTCCCATATTATGCCAAACGTGCGACCAAGTATGTATTTTATATTCCAAAAGCGGTTACAAGAAGTAACATGACTGGAGACTATGCCGAAGAGATTGCTATTTATCCTCACTAAGTGCCCTCAGGTACTCATCAACCTTCGGCCAGGCCTCTTTCCGCATCGACAATATAGTCCAAAAGTTGCCAGCCGCGTCCTTTCCGACCACCGACACAGAATTGCGCGTGGGGATGCGGTTTTTGTGTGGGACAACATTGATGTAGGACGCTCGACCGAGTTTGTTGGCCCGCTGAGAGAGCGGCAACCCAGGTGCAATCACTGCTGACGAGAAGTCGATCTCGAAGAGTCTTCCCTTGGCCCAGTTCGTGCATGACAGCAGAAGCATGCCGGCATCGCCAAAGAGAGGAACTTGGCCTGTCTTGTCAACAGCCCTTGTATGGATTGCGACATATGCTTGGATCTGTTCCCTGGTCCTCTGCTGCTCCAGAGCGGCGCGCAGTTGAGAGGCTACAAAGCTCAAAGGTGCCTCGAGGATCCGACGCGCGGGTACAAAGGTGAATGCACTGACGACTGCGTTACCTATATAGGCACTATTTGGCGGGAAACGGTCTTCAAGGGTGGATCGCACGTCGAAGACGTTGAGCAGCGCGACCGTCCTATCGGCCGCGGTTTGAGTGCCGAGAGTACGACTCGAGACAACCACGAGTACAAGACATCGCCCTCGCTGACGAAGGGGGTTCTTCCTTCATTGCTTTCGGCAGCAAGCTCTTGAAGAGCGCTGTCCCTCATTTGTTGTAGATACTCTGCCGGAACAAAGATCACTCGCTCTTCCTCCTGGGGGTGCCAGATCAGGTCAAAAATAATGCGGACTACAAACATCGCCAGGGACAGGCCTTTCATCACCTTCCCAAAGTACACATATCGTTCTGGCGGCGTTGCCTCGCTCAACGAGGCCATTGGATCCTTGTTGAAGCCGACAAACGGCGGTACCTGATCTTCTTCTCCACGGAGAACAGCAGTCCAAGCTCGAAAAAAACTAGACATACCCATGGCATCCGTAAGGGTATGCATGAATGTAACCGTCAGCAGCGTGGCGTCGTTGAACGAGACCACGTGAATGGGCAGCTGAGGAAAATCGGAGTATAACCAGTCCTCCAGCTTTTTGGGTGCATCTGCACTGCGGACGAGAGGACTAAACTCGGTCGTACTACCGACCAGCGACGGACGATCCGTCATCTTCGGCAGCCGTGAAGCCAGAGGATGATCCTTGATGCTCATGTCGTATTTCGCGATGGTGAACGTGAAGCCGGGACGCTTTTCGTCGTACTTTTCAGGAACATGGTATTCCAGCTTTCCCGCCTCCTGAACAAAGATTTACTACTCAGCACGGGAAAGATAATCGATATATAGATGGGTACAGTCTCACATTCAAGCGGATACGCGCTCCGAGTTTTCTCCAGTCCCCGATTTCCAGCAGGCGAGCAAGAGCAGCACGCATCTTGTCGGTGTCCAATACATCATCAAACCGAAAGGTCAAGTCCATACAATAGGCTCTCATAATTGGTTGGGCATCCCAGTAGTGACATGGAATGATCGTATCCGTCGGCACCGTGGCCGGCCGGGCCGGTTTGGGCTTGGAAAAGAGTAGCCCCATATCTTTCTTCTGGACACTTATCAGAGGTACTGTATATCGCTAAGGAGGAAGAGAATGAAGCACCAATGTCGTTCTCAACAGGTGTTGACACAACCCTGTAATGATAAGAGCAGAGGAATGGCCATCTGGCAACTATGGCAAGGACGGGGATTAAAGTGAATGACTGAGACAAGGATGATGGCCGACGGAGGACATCGTATCACAGGAGTCTGGATTCTTCCTTTAATATTAACATGATAATGTGACCTGTCAAACGAAGGAAAGCAAAAAAGGAAAAAGCTGAAGGACACAACTGAAGTGGCGCTGCGTTGGTCCCGCAAGTGTCGATCCTTCCCGTCTGTCTTTACCCACAACAGAAACAATAATAGATCGAATTTGTCATGAATCACCATCAGATTCGAGTCTATTGCACTCTACAGTCATTCTTTCAGTGATGCTGAAATACGGCCTTTTTCTTAGAAGTCCATTCTTTAATCAACTCGAGCATTATTACTTACTACACAGATAGTCATTCATAATAATGGGAAGAAGTCGATCTACCTACCTAGGTAAGTCGTACCTAGTGAGGTAGTACCTTATCAGCGCGCTAATAGTTTCGGTGCCAGCACCACGGTAGATCCAAGAGATCCCGGGATGCATGCAGCAATGCAGCATGTGCAATGATCTACAAATACCTACTTGGGTAAGTCGTATACTCGTACTCCGTGTTCGACTTTGAGATTATTTATTCCCGTCTATCGCGTACAAAATTCATTCACATCTGCAAAACAACCTCGAGCAAATGACAGTGATTATACAGCAGTATAGACTGTACTCTCTGCATCGTCGATAATTCGCTGCATACAATCCAAGTTGGCGTTCTGTGCTACTTAACGTGAAATTCGATGGTGTGACGAGAGGTAGTATGATGGTGCAGGCAACCGAGGTAACCTGGATGCGGCATGCCCAGTCTTACACGTCCCGCTGCGAGGAGAGCAGTTCCAGACCTCCAGTAGAAGAGGGTTGTTAATTAGCGATTTGTTGAGCGCAGATTAGAATAGGTACAGTAGCTGTACTATACCTAATTAATAGTGAAACCCAACCAACAAAGCTGAGCCCGACAAATCAGTTTAGAATTAGATTACTTCATTGCTACGGTCCGCTGTGTCACTGCTCCTGATCCGCAATAACCTATTTCGGTCAACAGTTAGATTGGACATTTGAATGCGTTCTCATTATTAAAACAAATCATCAGGGAGAAAACAACGCTGCGAGCAAGAGCAGACATGAGATTGTCTCGAAAATACACACACAAAAATAATATCTCCCAGCGCCATCAACCGTGCCAGACAGTAATAAATAAAGCACTAAAAAGCTGCAGCAGGACCATAAAAAAATAACACAAGTACCCTGTCAAACCGGCCTTCTCAAACTGGCCATCTCTCCATATCTACCCCTGCTCCTCGTCGTGTCATAAGCGTTAACAATCCTCATCTGTCCGCCCTCGTCGGCTTGACTGAAGGCATAGCCGCGCTGTTTCCGCATCCGCTGCACCTGGCGAACCTTCCGGATCGCCTTCTGGAACTGCTCCATCCGCGGCCGGTAATCTTGGACATTATACTTCTGGATCTCTTGGACGTGATGGTACGGCTGCGGAATGTACATGCGTTTCGCATATTTCCAGGCAAAGTCACGGAGAAGGCAGATCGCGGGCAGGATAATAGCCATCATGTAGAACTGCGGTAGCGTGAATATAACAGGGATGATGCCGTAGTATTCCATCGAGAACCCAAGAGTCGGCGCCACGTAGCCGTAAGCAGGGAGGAAAATCAGCCAGATCAGAAGCGATCCAGGAATAGCGATGACATGATATTTAGTCCAAATATTCGTGACGAGAGACGCCTTCCCCAGCACCGTGACAAGGACAGCCGTGTACAGGCATGTGCCCCATACCCAATGACCTGCTGTCAAACCATTCCGCATTGGGAGATCGTCGTAGAAAATAAGCTCCGAAACGACGTAAGCTACAAGCGAATGGAAGAAGCCGTTGGCGATCCATGACCAGAAGCTGTGCATCTTGAAGAAAACGCCCTTCTGACCGAGCTGGTACAGCTGAGGGTACCGATCCAACAGTCGGGCCGAAACAAACTGATCAACGATCCCCATGACAAACGGAGGAAGCACCGTGAACAAGACGTTGTAGAAGGACAGAGTCCACGACTCGTAGATCACTTCCCCCGAGAAGGCATTTTGAAAGGCGTACTGGAGATTCGCATTAGTCATGAGACTACATAAAGGAACCTCTCCAAAGGTTAACTCACCCAGAACTGCGTCATGTTGAGAGCGATGTTCTTGTAGAAGGAATACAAAATCACCTTGCTGATCCGCGAATAGGCCCAGGATCCGTGAACAAGAAGCAGTTTTCGAAGGTAGCGGAACTGCGCAATGGACACGTCGGCAGCCCGCGCAGCCTGGAGACCCTCAACACCACTGATACCCACACCCACATGGGCTGCCTGGATCATGGACACATCATTGGCTCCGTCGCCGATAGCAAGAAGCAGAGACTTCAAATGACGCTTGACAAGCTTGACTACAAGAGCTTTCTGGAGCGGTGAAACACGACTACGGCCAGTCAGAATTGAAATCCAAATGGCATATAACCCAATACAAAGAAAACTTACCAGCACACGACGGCCTTGCACATAACCGCCAAATCCAGGAAGGTCTTTTCCAAATCTTTCTCAAGCGCATAAGTCAAGGACTTCCCATCAATGATGAGCGCGAGAGGTTCTGTTTCCCCGCCGGAAGCGGTCTGACTCTGAATCGCTTGCAATTTCTTCGACAAGTTCTCTCTGGTAGCAGAGGCGGACTCTTCGTTCACGATAAGCAACGTCATGTCTTCCGAGATAAGCTTGCATGACATGCCAATGTTGATGGCGGTTTCTTGTCTGTCACCAGTCAAAACCCAGATTTTGATGCCGGCGGTCTGCAGAGTGTGGATAGTGTCAGGGACTCCATCCTGCAATCTGTCTTCGATGGCAGTAGCTCCGAGAAGGTAGAAGTCTTTCTCGATAAGCTCGGATGCCTTATCCAGTTCCTCTTGACGGTTTCCGCTGACAGTCGTGGCGGCCTTGTCGTGGATCTGGATCCACTGTTGGAATTCATCCTCCGGGATTTCTCTCATTGCCAGACAGAGGGTCCGCAGACCTTCAGAAGCGTATTCCTCAAGGTGCTGTAAGGTGGCTTCCACGATTGGATTGTCCGGATTGAGGCGTTCCAGGATCACCGTGTCTGCACCCTTGCAATAGATTCGGACCTTTCCATCAGGGCATCGGAAGATAGTTGACATCCTTTTCCTGCTCGAGTTGAATTCGCATACAGCCAGCAACTCGTATTCATATTCCTGCCCGTCCACAGTGATAATAACTGACCGAGGTTTCCGGTTTGTGAACCGATAACCCAACATAACAGCTCCTTCTACCAGAGCACCTTCATCAGGAGACGAGGCCTGATATTTGATTTCCCCAGGTTTCTCGGCCCTCCTCTCTGGAATGACCGTGTGGCAGGTTGCCAGCAACGTGAGGAAATGATGAATGGCCTCTTTGGTAGGATGAGATTTCAAGTTCTCACGGAGCTTCTTGAAGTCGTGAATACCAGTATCGTCCCCATCGCTCGTCGGCCTCCGATCTTCGGGAACCTCACCAGCATACTGAATCCCACCGATGGAGCACTGTTTAAACTCCATCTGGTTGCAGGTTAAAGTACCCGTCTTGTCAGAGAAGATGTACTCGATCTGACCCAACTCCTCCACGAGAGAAGACGTCCGGCAAACCGCAGGTGTGTCCGTCTTATCATAGTACATATCAAGATCGGAACTGATAAGAAAAGCCTGGAAGTACTTAACGATCTCTATTGTCACGAAAAGTGAGATCGGAACGAGGTTAGAGTAGAGCACCCAGTAGGTGAAGATATCCATAATAAACTGTTTCACAGGTTGATATGAACCGTAGTCGAGGTACGATAGTTTGCTGGATGCCGTCTCCCGAACGATTAAGTCTCCGACAGAGCTGATCACACTAAGAGCTACAAGAACGCCAACAAGCATCAGAATCTGCCAGTTGACGGTGTGTTCCACAGCGGTTCGCTTGATCGGAGTTGCGGTGGCATTTCTCATCAACTTTGTCTCATGACCAGTGAAGACAACCACGCCATGAATCCACGGTGTATTACGCAGCGTAGCTCCTCGAAGCAGAAGTTGGTCAGGCGACAGAGGTAGCTCCTTCTCGCCTCCTCCGGCATGCATGGTCAACGTGGCTTCATACGTGTAGAGGCTGCTATTCGGCTGTTCGGACCGTATCCGCCCTGTCAGCCTGCTCAGGTCGCTAGGATTGACCAGGTGGGCGGTTTCCGGGATGGCCTGCTTAACTTTGAGGTTTGTCTCTCCGTCCAAATTGGCTGTCTCAATGTAACAGAGACCTTCGGGCTCAGAACTCGCAAGCAAAACCAGGTCTGCGGGAAATGGCTCTTCGGATTCCACCCGCACAATGTCTCCCACTGCGACATCCAGCCATCTGGTCTCCTGAAACGTGGACCCTTTGAGAACCCTGGCCTTGGAGTAATTGAGGGATTTGTCCGAGCTCCTCCGTTTGAAATCTTCAATCAGTTCCTTGACGGCTGAGACTATCAGCACAATTATCAACGGCACAATGGTAGTATATCGGTTGGTAGGGGTCACATTGGGGATTTGCTGAAGACAGGCGGTAAACAAGAAAAAAAGGTTGGCGTATTTCGAGAACTGTTCAAAGAGGAACTTAGGTATAAAGGTGATGATATTGTACTTGGCCGTGGAGATATGATTATCCACGTATTTATGTGCGGCATTCGCGGGCGCGTTATTGAGCATGATGATCCGGGGTCCCAGAGTCGAAGGATCCACCTTCTTTTTCCCAAAGCCGAATTTGAAGTCCCCGGCACTGAACCTTTTCCTGCTCTTTGGGGGACTGCCTTCGTCCCCCTCGGGACCATCGATCCGTGCACCTCGTGCACCCGATTCTGTCAGCGGCAGATCCATCTCCGAGTACTGGTGGCCCATGCCCAGCATGTTCTTCGCCCTGCCCATGAGCCCACCGCCCAGAGCCAGAATACTATTTCGCTCATTTGCTCTCCTGACCCGCGCGGGGGATACACTGTCCTCGTCGATCTCCGCATTGTCGTAGCCCTGCATGGATCGGTCATCTTCGTAGTCATCCAGGTCGGAATAGCGCTGGTAATTATTTAACCCCGACGTTTGTGAGTAGGTCCGAGTGGCCGGCGCTCCAACATATGGATTACTTCCCGTATGGTTTGAGTGAGGTCGTGCGTCTGCTGGGCCTGTCTGTCCAGCTCCCGCGGGCGGGTGTGTGCCCCCAACAAAGTCATCGTAAGAAACGGATGGTCTCCCCTGCTGTTGGTTTGGATCGTGGATATTATATCGCTGCAACAGATGGTCGTCGTTCACGGGCGGTCGCTGACCGCTGTTGTAGACTGGTGCGCTCTCCTCCAGTTGTAGCAAGTCCTCATCGCGGCCAGCGGACGGATGACTTCCAGGAGGCCTACCGCTGGCCATGGTGTTTCGGGCGGGCAAACACCCTCACTCGTTGAGATTCGCAGTCAGATGAGTGGCCCAGAAGCATTGAATGTGGACGAGAGAGCGGAAAAAAAGGACAACTCAAGAACCTGCCGTACAAAAGAAGGCGCGCTGAGAGACGGAGGAATCACGACTGAGCTGTTTTGCAGGTCAGCTCGGACACTCTGGAGGAGTCTCCGAGCACGGCCAATCAAGCGCCGCGTGGCCAGCAGACCCGACCTAAGCCACCGTCTGACGCCGCCCAGGCATTCGTCGTCAGACACCAGCATGCTCCGCCACGAGCAGATTGGCCGCTGGACGGAGGCAAAGAAATCTCGTTATTTTGGCTGCTCGCTATTATTAAATGAATGTGAGACCTTCTGGCAATAAGGTTCCCTGTGCCAAGCCACAAGAGGGTTCTCGTAAATACAGTGAGTGCACTACGGCATATTACTCGAATGCCCATAATCGACAATAACGTTTCTACTGGTTACGTAGACGGGATTCTTCATTGTGTAGATAATACTCATGCAATGTGATAAAAGTGTCTTGCCAATCGAGGCCTGACAATTGTGCAACCTAAAATGGAATAGGCAACTGGCTCGAGCACTTGAAACCACCCGTGGACCTTATACGAGACTCCTCAAACAAGGGGCCGGTGGGCGCCCGAAAAACGAGACAGCATCAAGAACGTGTACTTGCTTTTATTTCGTGATGTCTTTTGTTTTTTTTAGGTACTAACCCTGAGACCCACTTCATTCGCATGAGCGCAGGATGAAATGTATACGGATGAAGTACTTATCATCGGTCGTTTTCGGCGCTGGCCTCTACGCCGCGATTCTGTTTGGCGCGCTTGGCCAGATCGGCTTCTAAGGCCTTGCCGATAATGCCATTGATCTCCTGCACCTTCCGCAAGGCTAGGGACGTCTTGTTGACAACATCTATCGCACTGACAGGGCAACCTGAAGACTTGTAGAGAGCACAGGTTTCGCCAGAATTGTTCAGGGCAATCACCAGGTCTCCCTCGGAAGCCTGTTCCTCCTTGAGGGTGGCGTCCACGACGATTACTTTTCCTTCATGGAAGGCATGGAAAGTGATAGCCAACGGCTTGTGAGTGATATTTAGGGGCACGGGAACCCGCTCGTCAAGTCCAAATACCGTGACTTGGCCCTCTTTCACCTCAGCATCGGGACGACGGAAATGCTGCAGACCCGCCATGATGCCAATACAGGCACAATCGATGAGGTTGCCGTCATAGTCGGTTACATGAACATCGGCACGGATCCCCCAGCAGCTTTTTCCTTTCAATATGCACAGCGACTCTGTGTCCAGCGCGTTGGAGTGACGAATTATCCGATCAAGCATCCGGGAAACGTAAGATTCGAAGTCAGTCTGGCTGCAAAGAGACAGTTAGTTCGCTTAAATAGCGCGGTCGGTGTCAAAGCAATCGCATACCGTGCACTTTCCCAAGCAGGCGAGCCCATGGCAGTCAGCTCAAGGGCAATCGTAAAAATACCATCGGAGGGACGGTCATCGCGGGGCTTGGTAACTTCGGCAGAAATGCGGACCACAAGACTGCAGAGTCGCACAATTAGCAATAAGAAATTGTTACTCAAAGGCACCTACAGAATAACTCACCTGGTCCGACCCAGATGGACCTTCACATGTCCATACTCCTCGCCGAAGGAGATGGTCAGAGGACGTAGGTCATCGACACCTCGACCGTCTAGACGTACATTCTCGTGCAGAGCCTCAAGAATGAAGTCACGCTCTGCAACGGTGAGCGGCACTTCTCTGGACATCGTGTGACCAATTGCTCACACTGAGGGGGAAGAAGCCCCAGCAGTAAGAAGACTCGTTTTGCTCGCAACTTTCTCTATCAGCGTCATTGTGCTCCGCCGGACAAAAGTTGTTGCGGGAGCTCAACGGAAAGAGTTTTCGTATCGTGGCCAATCATTCAAAGGCGGTGAGGAGCGATTTGCTGACTCAGCTGCGAGTGGCTGCTGCTTTCAGGCGAACGATCGTACAGCAGCTGTATCTGTCAAACGGCATCTATCCTCAGCCGAACGCTCCTCGTCTTCTCAAGATCGCCCTTCAAAATGACAACAGGTGAGTTCTTTGATAATAGTTTTGGAGTGCTCTGCTGACATCGCGTAGCACACAGGCCTACGTTTGATCCGGTATGTTGCCATTGATGTTGCTTTCATCTTAAGGACAAGGGACTGATTGAGCTTATAGGCTCAAGGCAGGGAGGCCCCTCGTGGGCCAGCTTATCACCAGCGCCTCCTTCCTGCGTATATGACCTTGAAAGTCAGGTGCGTAATGTTGCCACCAACCGGGTATAAGACGTTTATCTCTGACACTCCCACCAGACAACCTGGCCAAGGCAGCGAAGAGGAAGTCCGAAAGCGAGACTTGAGAGCGGAGTTGCTGGCTGCCGAGGCTGCGCACTTCGCGAAGACTAAGGGCACCAAGGAGGAGACAACTACTGAGAAAGTTTCGGCACCTAAACGTCAGCTAGAGGATGGTACCCATGACGGTGGTGGGCCCGAAGAGGAAGAGGATCTGGAAGCCAAACGACGGCGAATATTGGAGGAAACACGAGAGATAGATGCAGATTCCATTGCGTCCGACAGCGATAGTAGTGAGGAAGATAGGTGGGTGCCCATTCCGGATTCGCAAGGCCAGACTAAGCTGACAAATTCAGCGATGACGAAGAGGATGAAGCTGCCGAGCTCATGCGAGAATTGGAAAAATAAAGAAAGAGCGACAAGCGCAGAAAGAGAAAGAGGTTTGTTACTCGACTGCCCCTGCGTCCCACAAGGCATTGCTGACGAGGCATAGGAACGTGAACGAGCTGCCAAAGAACAGGAGCAACGAGAGTACGAGATTGCCAGGGGTAACCCATTGCTCAACCCTCAGGATTTCAATATCAAACGACGGTGGGACGACGACGTGGTTTTTAAGAACCAGGCCCGTGGTACAGAAGAAAAGAAGAGCAAGGAATTTGTCAATGTAAGGCTCTTCCCGCAGACCTTCAGATGAATGATGGATGCTGATAGAGTTCAGGATCTGCTGCGATCAGACTTTCACAAACGATTCATGGTATGATTGGCGTTTCCCTGTCGTTTCTATACCTGCAACTAACTTATTATCCAGTCGAAATACGTGCGATGATGTTGCCACTGCATCCTCCATGAAATTTGCGTGGCGTGGGCGTGTCGCAACTTCTGCGATTCACGACAGCTGCAACCATTATTTTCAAGTAAATGCAGGGTCGAGTCTTGGATCCTTGTTATCTGCGACTGCGATCTAACATGATCACCTTCATGGTTGATGTTCCGGAAGCATGGATACCCCTAAGATCCTACGGTTTTTGGAATAACTAGGATAATCCCGAATGACTGGGATTATCTTCAATTCTTCATGATCCTATCAAAGACGCCAACATGTCATATTCAGGGCGATAGCAGGAGTCGCAGGATCATGTCAGGATTAAATTCGGGCACCAGAGAAATGGCAGGAATTGCTTATCGGGCATTTGCAAGCAGCACTGTTAGAAGAATCAGTGTTGGCATCAAGAGCAATCAAGCATGTTCTAATAATGATAACCAAACTTTCTTAAGTGAAATGGATAAATTATGGTATTGTATCTATTCTAGCATGTTAACATAATACACTTTGTGTCTGTTAGCCATGACATGGGAGACAAATATTGGTGACAAAGTGACCCTCATATTATTCTCTGCCTTTGACCTAAAACCTAGAAGCCCAACAAAGAAGGCTTGAGTTAAACCCTCACTTTACCCGACTCTAACCTGCTACCTGAGCTGACCTGGAGAGCATATGTTCAAAGCCAGAGCCCGAAAAAGTGAGAGCAAGGTCAAATGCTCATTTTATCCGGACTTTGACCTGACCCAGCTTTGACCTGGGAGACATATGTAACGACCTGAAATTCGGACAAAGTGAGGATTTGGTCAAGTGCTCACTTTACCCGACCCTGTGTTAAAGACCATATAGAGCTGGCGAGAGTGATGGTTTGGGTCACCCTCACTTTACCCGGCCAGTTTTGCTAACTCCTCCACCGCCTTCCAGACCGTCTTTTCCACCGCCTCCATTCTGCCACCATATATCATCTCAATGGCCGGCTTTACGTAAACCCTTCTTTCTTTGCTACATAGCCAAGAGCGACTTCGTTTCGATTCAAATATGGATGCTCAGTTCACGAGTAAGGCGTTACATAGTAAGCAAGCAACGAGCCCTCCTTATTTCGAGGAATCAGCCTCTCTAACGTCCCTCCTGTAGATCGCATCAATACCAATGTCGCGCAGCTGTTGCAGCGGTTCGAGAATATCCTTGCGCCAGCGAGGGTGAGTGCATGTCAAACTACGCATCCGTGATCCTATCTTTTTTTTTCTAGCACCATTTCTACCTGATAGAGACACCTGGACAGTCTGCTAGAGTTCCTGGATTTGTTACGCAAGAGAATACATACCATCCTTGTATTTAAACAGTGAATTAACTAACTTTCTGCTTTTCTTTTTATCTTGAACAGACCGAAAATACAGACAATGCCTACACTGCCGTTGGAGTCTACAATCTTGACGTAGAAGCATCCGCATTGGTGAGTTAGATATTTTTTTATGTCCTCTCTAAACAGTTTTTGACACCAGTACCGTCTTATCACCTCCAACTAATGGGAAATAAACCAGACCCGCGCCGCGGAAGACATCCTCTCATTGACGCGGTCTATGAAAGAAGCCTGGCTGTTCGAGAAACTGAACACTGTCGGAGAGGATGAGCATGACATCAAGCGTAACAAGGAATTGGAGGAGAATGTGAAATATGTGGGCCAGGCACTAGAGGAGAGTCTGGCGTCGCAGTCTGAAGCCAAAAATGCGAGTGGAAGTAGTACCAGTGGAACGAATTGATTCCTACCTACTTCCTTTTGCTCTCTTCTTTCTCATCTCGACTGCGTCCTGACTGGACTGGATTGTACGGCTGATTGATACCATTGAGGGACTCGCTTGGACGATCATGAGTGATGATTTTTCATTTATTCTTGATGTTCTCTGGGAGGTGATGGGCGTCAAGGCGTTCTATATCTACTACTGGAAGTCTAGGAGTTACCTAATGAGGCTTAATGGTCATGTGATTCAACCACTTCGGGTTGCATCCTGCTTGGTTGGGATCGAAATTTATATGAACTAGGTATCTGCCTCTCTCTAGTTCAATATTCTCTCCCTAATTTTTCCATTTTTCGCTAATTCCAGTAATAAACACAACACTTCTTCCATGCTCAATCACGAGGTTTCTTTTCACATATTCGGTGCTGGCAACCTGGCTTATGCAGCCAGTCAGCGCAAGACAGCAAAGGTGATGAATTGCTGCTGATCCAAGTGAATTTTCCATATGTTTTCCTATATTTCCATAAGATACCTGTACCTTGGTCTTGTCATGTATTAATACAATGTCTTTGTCAATTGAATCTCTAAAATTTACAGCCAGCTTTCCCTACCTCAAGGCAGCAAGTTCAACAGGTCACCCTGTGCGTCATCCTGATGGTCTCTCGAATGAGTTTGATATCAGAGAGTGAAGAGGAAGAACGGTGACGACTCAAGGTACCGGGTCTGGCTGCCTTTGAGTGGGTTATGAAACTGGACTCGATAACAATGATTCGCTCCTGAGCGGAGGCCATTCCACAAGTCGGCATATTCCATCACCTTTCACGATTTTCTTTGCCTCTGTGTCATGAATCATATCGCCAGTATGCAATTCAATTCGAGGACCGGATATCTGTCCCCATTCAAGTGAAGATATCACCCTCACGAATCCTTCCTTCATTATGACATTCGACAGGTAATCAGTAACGATGCAGCAATGATGTGAGTCAGTTATGAGCAATTTGGAGTCATGAATCATCGTCATTCTACAGGATAAATTGCTCCCTGAGCTCTGTTTCTACAGTCTCTCCTCCTTTTCCTTTTCCACGTACAAAGATAACTCAGAATATCCCAATCTTGACTCGAATTCTCTAGCCTTTTGATACTGTTCATTGCCATCAAGCAAAAGAAAGGTTCACCCAGTCCTTCTTGAACTGCAATACATCAGCAGCCTCCTGTTCTACCGCAAAAATTCCTCGTCCCATTGTATACAACTGCGACTGTGTTGTCGGGGAGAACGATTGCATCCTGCCGCCGAGACATCTCGTGGAGCTTCACGGTGGACCATGGCTGGTTAGCGGTTATAGGTCACTCTATCCTTTTAAGTGCATGAACTGCGAATGGAAGGACATCGAACACAACTATATCGAGAAACTCAAGGCAGATATCGGCACGATGGTGAAGACACGGGTCAACATGCACCCTGAAGAGACGGCTTGGCTCAACATGAACCTTGAAGAAGGTAGCGAAGTTGAGATCAGCAGCATCACTAGAGAAGATACGGAGAAATTGTTCATACTCCATTTCAAAATTTGCAGTCCCAGTGGGACCGAAAAGGAGGGCAAGTTAAAGGTTTCAACCCGAAAACTCAACGCAATGCAGAGTGACCGCGAATGGGAAGGCGAAATCGAGATTATGACATTCGTATGGATGTTGAAGATCGATGCAGATGAAACGATTCGGAGTTTTGAAGCGCGTTGGAACGAAGTGAACGTCTAGATTCTGGAAATCCGACTTCTACCGTGACGACCTGCAAGTCGACAGACCCCGACAAGGCATGTCACAACCTGACCTGAGGGGGAAACCCCGATCTGTTGGAATGGAATTTTGAACGTGGCTTTTTTTTTTGGTCTCTAACTTGTCATGTATGAGTACAACCTTTTTTTCCCTCTACTGAGTTTGTTGGTATGTATCTGCTTTCTTTTCCTGATTGCTGAACATGTATGATTACAAAAATGAGATTTTTGGTGACATTCCCTGACTAAATTTTTTTTATTTACTTCTGGTTTGGCATGTACTGTACGATTACCATATATCTTGATAGCTTGGTTAATTTCGGCAATTTGGCTAGACATGCATGTGTAATTTAATACTATTATTCTTGAATCGCATTACCCAATTATCTTACCCAGGTAATGGAAATACTGAAGTAATTTACTCTAATTCATATTTTCCTATAAGGAATATATATGCGAAAGAAATATTTTAAATTGTGATGTCTCGATAGTTCTTGCATGGAGTACTCCGTATACATATACACACATGGCTGTATGGGGTTTAGCTTCAGGAACCCGCCCGCCACTTTTTATCTTATCAGTTGCGATCGTAGCTCCTATATTTTTCGACGCGTCAGTAATAGCACCAGGTACTTACGAAAGGCCTTCTCTTTTTCTTTACTCTCTCTCCCCCTCTCCCTCTTCCTCTCCTTGTTAATATATCTGAGGAAAGAAAACAAAGAGAATGCCCTCTTCAGACACATCCACCATGCCACCACCAACTACACATCGACCCCTCACTCTCATTGTAGCGACCACGCCAGTCCTACGCACCAGCACCAGCACGAGTACCATCTGCTCTCTTCCGATTACCACAGACCCTACTAATACAGCCAATACTACATCTCACCTCCTCGGCATCGGCCTCAATGGCACCCTCCCCTGGCCCCGCATCAAATCCGACATGAGCTTCTTCGCGCGCGTGACGACGCGTCCGCCGCGAGACATGCCCCCTACCACAACAAACGCGATTATCATGGGTCGCAAGACGTACGAGTCCCTGCCGAAAAACCTGCGGCCGCTGGCGAAACGGATCAATGTCGTGATCACGCGCGATACGTCGGGCGCGGTGCGCAGTCAGATCCTGGCGGAGTTGGAGGCGCAGAGGGAGAGGTTGAGATTGAAAAAGCAGCAACAGCAACAACAAGCAGGTTATGAGATAGTAAAAGAGGGTGGTGCTAGTGCTGGTGCTGGCGAAGAAGAAAACGAACCGGTTACAGACGCGCTTGTCTCGACGAGCTTGGAAGACGCTCTCGAGTCGCTCCAGCAGACGCAAAAACAGACAACACAGGTCGGAAATCTATTCGTCATTGGAGGCGGAGAGATCTATGCTGCAGCCCTACGGCTACCTCCCGACAGCCCGTACGGGAGAGGCCTTCGGATCGTCATGACGAAGGTAAAGAAGAAGAAGAGCAGTATCAGCAAGGACAGTAACGGCGACGTAGTGGCAGTTACACAAGAATCGGAACCAGAAGAAGAGTATTTCCAGTGCGACACCTTCTTCCCCCTGAATGCCCATGATCTGTCTCCGCAGAGCGGCTGGCGCGAAGCCCCAGCCGACGAGGTGTCAGACTGGGTCGGGGAGCCTGTCTCTCCGGACTGGAAGGACGAAGGGGATGTGTCGATTAAGATCGTTGGGTATGAGAGGGTTTCTTCCTGACCACAAACAAAGCGAATGAACGCCTTTTTTATAATACGTCCGGGAAGGGCAGCTGAGCTGCATTAGATAAACACAGAATGTAAAACACATTGGAATGCCTCGTATACGTGGTTTTATATTTCCTTGTATATGTACATACATACATACATACATGTACTGTACAAATTTATTTAGGCAAAATGTGCTCTGCTCAGCACCAAGACTCCACCCAAGCACCACTTTGCTTCCACACATGCCACCCACACACCATCTGTCGAGGCAGATTGACTTCACTTCGTACATGTCAACTGAAACGTAACACAAAATGACATGCTAACATAAACAAGACCTCCAGGTATCGTCAAGGACCAAAAAAAAATGTGAGATGCAAAATATACAACAACCAATATGTATAAGGAAGGAGAACATCCAAAACATGTTCACGACATATGCCTGCCGACAGGCGGATATATGCATGGGTTCGAGAATGTAAGGAGATGGGAGGATGCCGACAGCCCCAGATGCGAGAGATGCGAGAAAAATTCAGGTGATGATAAGGAAGAGGCCTGATATGATAATATATATACCTAGATTTCCTCGTTCTCCTTCATGAATTTCACAAACAGCTTTTTGTGCACCAGGCCTACGAACTTGCCATCGCGGAGAACGCAGATGTATCGCAGGCCCAGCTTCATGAAGCACTGATAGACCAGGTCAATGGGCGAGTGTATGTCGAGAGCAACAGGGGCCTAGGCAAATTCCGTTAGTCCTGATAAAGACTAGATAAATACCTAAGTGTCAAACTTACCGGATCAATATACGGCGTAAAGTCTCGCCAAGAAGCTCTGTTGTCGTCATTCCCCTCTTGTATATCGGTATAGGACCTGTCGACAGACATAATGCAGAGCTCGTTGTCCTCATCTTCCAATTTATCCAAAGCGAACTCCAGATCAGGGGCAGGAATCAGTCCCACCAGGATATTGTCTCGGACAATCGGCAGACCACTGTCGAGCTCGCCAGCCATGAGCAGGTAGTCCAACTTTTCACGCAGCTCTCTGGCGGGTACGAGGGGCGAGTTGGAAATGTCAATGATGCGATGTTTCCGGACGGGTGGAACGAGATCACCCAACTCTGCATCGCAGATGGGATGAGTCTTGTTGTCAAGGAATGGATACGAATTCATGTCGATGAGCAAATCCTAGGCAAAGTTAGCTATCTCATCTTCTCACTAGCATGGACGGACGACAACATACGTAAATGCTTCGAGGCTCAATGGCATCAGCTGTCCATTTGGCGCACAGCACAGCGATGCAGAAGGGAAGAACGTGGTTCAGACTTCCCGTCAACTCGAACAAGATGACGGCCAGCGTCACAGACAACCGGGTCACACCGCACATAGTGGCCCCTGCCGCAATCATTGCATAAACACCAGGCGTGACGCATGATTCCATTCCAGGGGTTGCTGGGCAGCTGGCAAACAAGAAGAAGTCGGGGTACGTCACAACAAAATACTGAGTGATATGTCCCACTATCCGTCCCATCAGACCGCCAACCACCATCGATGGGACATAAATACCAGCAGGCACCTTGATACCAAACGTAATGATTGTCAATATGCTCTTGATGAGAAAAGCAGCTAGCAGGTACCGGACCACCTCCATGATCCCGTCCTTGTCAGGACACAACCCTGTTTCTGATTCGCTAGTCCTATTGCAGGGAGTAGCGAGTTCAGAAAGGAGCTCCGAGACAGCCAGCTTCGTGTACCGATTCCAATAGCTCACTAGCCCTGTAACCAGGGCCACGAGTACAACCTCTAGCATCGGCCATTTTTTGATAATCGGTATCCGTCGGAAAGATCGCGCCCACAAGCCTGCGGCCTTGATGAACAAGGCACCCGCCACACCACCCAGAACGCCCAGGAGGACGAAGACCATCATCTCAAAATCTCCCAGTCTGATAGGTAACGGACCTCGAAAAGAACGATTTTGCCTGTTCCATATGGGTTGAGGAATTTCAATGACAACGCGGCAGCAATGCAACAAAAGAAGGTCCTGAAAAGCGTTTTGGGAGGAAAGTAATAGCTAATGGCCGTCAGCACGAGCACGGTAGGCTACAGGGCCAACAGACGGCTTACATACCTGACTTCTTCTAACCCAAAGAGAACACCGCCGATAGGAGCTCCAAAAGCAACAGCCACACCGCTGGACGCGCTTGCACTCAAAACCTCGCGCCTTTTGCCGTCATTATTGCGATACTTGGCAAAGATCCGGCAGCAGATGTTCCCGACACAAGAGCCAATATGGACATAAGGGCCCTCTTTCCCTAAGCTCAGCCCCGACGAAATAGCCAAGATCAAAGCCAGAGTCTTGAACACGAGCGTCTTCAGCCCCAAATAACCATGCAAGACAAAGCCGCTTAGGATGACTTTAACCTCTGCTACTCCACTGCCCGCGGCAGAATAGTAAACCATAGCCGGACGACTTCGCAGCGTAGAGAAAAAACCGCTCGGGCTCGAATTTCCAGCACCCAACTCGGCCCCCAGGTTCTCATCTAGGGTAGACAACGAGATAGTAGATGGCACGACCGTCTTGGTAAAAAGCGTCAGAGCACATGCAGCCGCGGCGAGCACAACCGCCCAAACAACGTAGAGCGCAAAGTCCACCGACTCATGGTCGACACTGCTTGGCCCCAGAATCTGCGACCACGATCGCCAGGCATCGCATGTCACCTCACTCCGGCAGCAAGACTTTCTGCTGGCGAACCAAGTCGTAGTACAGAATCCGTCTTTGAGGTCATAGATAGTGTTCTCCGTGACATCGACGAAATAGGCAATGGCAGCAGTAATGCATCCAATGACTGCAACCAAAATCCAACCTTGGACACTATCGAACAAGGCAAGCAACCTCCCACGAAGGTCCTTTCTGCTTCTCAGTTTTCTGAGACGAATCCCGTCCGCTATGCTGTCGTGGACCCAGTCGATAGAGGTGAACTGGTCGTACCACAGCCGCTCATCAAGGAACGAGGACGCCATCATGCCGTCCTTTGCAGCTGCGTCATCCGCACCAGGCCCGGAAGGATGAGAGTTGCCGTCCGGGCCAAATCGGGTATTCTGCGAGTTCTTGCGGCTATGATGCCTGGGCCGACGCAGGGTGCCACTAGACGCATTGTACCTGACGGCATCCGGACGAGAGGTGAAAGAGATGCCAGTGTACGACCGTCGAACCTGATTCCGAGAACTGGTCCCTAACAGGACTCGTCCTTTCATGGGGAGGGCTTCGTCGACCATCGGTCGGCGACGCAGGGACCGTCCTGGGTGCTTGTATTCGGTCATACTGGTACTCATCGTCGTCGTCATCGCCCTGCGATGCAGAAGAGAGATACGAGGGAATCGAACGAGGCATCTTCGGATTCTGTCGAGGGGGCAGGTTAGCCTGGGAAACCTCTCCGCATTTATTTCTCGCCATTGCAGTCACAAGTGTGGAGCCCCGGACAATGGAGGGCGGGGTGGTCAGACGACTGGGATGAACTGCTGACCTTCCGGACTGAGACCTCAAAGAATCAGACAGCTGGGGATTCTCACCAATCACAACAGCCTCACGAAGCCCAAGGAAGAGAGGAGAAGCTGGAGATGGAAAGGTATGGATAACAGTTACTGCTCCACGCACATGAGAAGCGCGGAATGGCTCGCGAGCCCCCAAGCGGGAGGCAGAACCAGGTCAAGAATGTCGTCAAAACAACACAAGAAGAGGAGGACGGAAGTCTACAGATGATCGAGAGGCCCAGTCAGCCACGAACATGCGAGCTGGGATCATCTGACGGCCATGACAAGATGCGTCCCGCAAGGGTCCTCGAAGCCTCCTTGAAGACGCTTAGGCGGCGCTGTGGTTGGCTGCCGGCCTGCACGGGGCGCCCATTGGCCCGAAGCCCGCTGGAGCCCCGGGCGGTGAGGAGGGCGGCCAGCTGGTGGTGACTTCAATGCCTCCTCCATCGACTCCCTCAACCATCGATCGCCATCGAATGCAGAAGCCCTCTGAGGGGCATTGTTATTGTCTATGGATAATCAGAGGACGAGATATCATGCCAATTGTGGCAGCATCTATCCAGAGCTCTCCGTCAGTGCCGGGTTGCGAAGCGACATCGGCTACAGATCCCCACCACGGATCCGCTCGATAATTAAGCACATATCCACTCGCGATTCCATGGACAGCTACTTGTCAGTTTAGCTCGCCCCAGCGTCATCATAGAGACCATTGTTTTGCCTACGGTCAGTATACATTTGGCTCTGGAGAAAGAGACTGCGAGTTGATTAATGGAACAGTGCGACAGAACTACAACGGACGACCTTATGCTGCACAGTGACCTTACGGAGTAGCTTGCTAGCAACAAGCATGTTGACGACTACAATTAGCATCTGGAGAACTATTTCGCCAAGCCTGTCCCAGCCGTCAGTCTCGTAGCAGCAGGAAGAAGGCGTGGAGAAGATCAAGAACTTCCATTTTTGGCCGTTGATTCCCACAAGCTCGAAGATGAAGACTGTCTCCCTTCAAGAATACCTTGAAAGCGGTAAACCTTGCGCGGCAAATGGAACGGTCAGCGGTCGCACGAAGTTCATTTTCGCTACGTAACTGAACATCGTAAGCCAACACCTCCATTAGGTCATTGTTTCTGCTAACAGATTATTATTGAGCCAATTTGGAGATGCATAAGACGATTTATCTCTTGAAAATATGATTGTTTCTGCAGCGTCACTGTCCATTATTTCGCCACAACCTTAAGGCCCGTCTGAACTTCGGGTTTCGGGAGATCTAAACCTTGGTTCCCTCATCTCTCCGCAAGTGGGCCGGATTCCCTACATGTCCTGACTGATTGATTCTTGACACAAAGAGATTCTTGACTCAAAGACACGCATAAAACCAGCGTCTCTGCTGGACTTTGTTTTCTTTGTATGTATATTTATAACATAAATCTGTGTCTATTTTCCTTGCCATCTTGATACCCATCTTTTTGGAAGAGTATAGCTATTTCCATAGACAGCACGATGGAGGCATTCGTGGACTCCGGTCGGATTCCTGAATACGAGCAGTTTCTTCTTTTTGGAGACTCGATCACCCAGTTCTCGTATGACCAGCGCCTGGAGTTCGGTTTTGGCGCGGCTCTCCAAAACGGTCAGTACCTGTACCTTCTGATTAATACACACTTCACGGCTGTGATTTGTTTCATATCCCGACTGAAGAGAAGAGTTCTCTGGCTGAGAAATGCTAACATCTTCGTAGCCTATTCTCGACGCCTGGATGTGATCAACAGAGGCTTTAGGTAGGGAATTGGAACACCAGTCTAATGCCGACGTGGACTGACTTCCTCAGCGGCTACACGACTGCCAATGCAATCAAAGTCTTGCCAAAGTTCTTTCCGGAACCCCAGCGAGCACGGGTTCGCTTGATGGTATTTCCTACTTCGACCCCGCAAGGGAGGGCTGAGAATTAACAGAAGCAAGACGATCTTCTTCGGGGCCAATGATGCAGTCCTGCCTCCCCATGCGCAGCATGTGCCACTCAGTCAATACAAGGAGAACTTGAAGGCCATCGTGGAGCACCCAGTGATCAGCGCCCAGAAACCAAAGATTATTATCCTTACTCCCCCACCAGTCAACGAGTATCAGTTGGAGGCCTTTGATGCGGAGAAGGGATTTGAGAGCCCAAGCCGAACAGCAAGCAACACAAAGCAGTATGCTGATGCGTGCCGCGAAGTTGCACACTCCCTGGGGATTCCCGTGGCAGATATCTGGACTGCATTTATGAAGGCTGCAGGCTGGCAGGATGGCCAGCCTCTTGCTGGTTCCAAGGAGATCCCAAAGAATGACATTCTGGAGAGCTTGCTGACGGATGGTGCGTTCTCCGGTTCTGCTTCCATGCGCGTGAGATTGCACTCACTAATGGGAAAATCTCAATTACAGGCTTACATGTCACTGGTAAAGGCTACAAGATCATGTTCGATGAAGTCATGAAAGTAATCGAGGCAACTTGGCCGGACCAGGTACCAGAGAGACTCCCTATGATTTTTCCTCACTGGTCAGAGGCTCCAAAATGAGCCATCTATGACTACCTTTTTTTTTCCCTTTTTTTCTTTTCTTTTTCTTTTTCTTTTTCTTTTTTTTTTTCTTTTCTTTCTTTCTTTTTTCTTGGGGGGGTGAGGCCGGCATACTACCTGTATTACCTGGTTACACCTTTCAGTTACATAGTCATGTAGTGAGTATCTTATAAGCGCGTGACCGCAGCACTTTTTCCTATATACCAACAGCCAATTTATACGTAGTCTTCCCGGGTAATTAATTATGCCATCCATATTATTTCTCCACACAGTTTATCCTATCTATAGAAATTATGAATTAGGTCGATCTCACACTGCTTGCGGGGAAGATCTAGACCTGCGAGAACAAAATTTTGGAGCGTGCAGCCTAAGCTTCGGCCTGCCTAGCGGGAGTCCCCTCCGCAAACCCCCAGTCAGTCCAGTCCAGTCGTCCAACCTACCTTTGTCCTTCTAGTTCACCATCCCAGTTCTCTGCACATATCCGGTTGGCAACGCGGTCTTTTGTTGGACTAGAGTTCCCAATTTAGATCCTCGCCTTGACTAGAACAAGCCCTTTCTGACAGGGGTTGCAGCCAGACGCTTCCGTTCCACAGTCTGCTCAAACGGCCGGTCGCCACCTCGTGTCCCGCATCTCTGCCTGAGTATCCTCTTCCATTGTCATATCCGTCTCATCAACATTGAGGTCTCCTTGATCCGACAGCATCCGAAGTCATTGACCACCAACAAAAGCAACATTCGCACTGAGATTTTCGTCCGACGCCGAATCTCTACGCTACGAACCCTTCCCAAGTTTACCGTACCCACTTCGGAAATCAACCCTTCCCTCGACGCAGTACAACCCTTCAAGCTCGTTCTTGGCGGTTATCTCTTTTTCTGTATAGAGGGGTGCCTTTCTTGCCGCTGAATTGAATCGAAGAGAAGCTATTGATGATCCGATACGGGCTAGGATAGTTGGTGAACAGAAGAAACAGGGTGGACGGCCTTTCGGCCGTCTCTCACATCTAGGCGGGAGGAGGAGCGTGAGGAAGCGCAAAGGCTTCAAGCTCAGGAAAGGAGGGGGTCTTTTTTTTTCACGACATTATCCAAGGCTACCTCCCAGATTAGGCGGACAGAAAGTAGCGTCTCTTCACGGTCTACGGGAGTCACGGGCGTACAACTCTTCAGATTCGATCGTCACCGGTGCCGCGGTGATGGATGCCCAGTATCCTTTTGCGTCCCGAGAAGATATCTGGCGCGTGTTTGAAGAGGTAAAGGATCTTTACGCCACGCAACTCGAGCACGGGGAGCGGATTGCAAGACTGGAGCGGCGAAGGGATGAGGATGCGAGGCTGAGGAGTGTCTGGGGCCTATTATCTCCTTTCCCTAGCGCTATCGGTGGCCCTCTACAGACAGGTGAGTTGCAGCTTTCTGTCTGATCGTTTGGGAAACTTCTTAATTGCGAGACATCTGCAGAGCCATCGTATACTCCTACCGTGGACGCCTTCAAGGGATTCGACCAAGGGCAGCAGCACGGACTGATCAACAACATGAGCCTGGATAGCGAGGATGAGCCAAGGCGGGGTGCTTCGAGAGCGAATAGCGTTCGATTCGATGAAAGCGCGATACACGGATACTATGGGCAAGTCAACCGATCCACCAGCGAGCTCCCCTTGAGGACGGGCAGCGGCATGAGCAGCCATCCCCTGACGGAAAGATCCCTCTCACATCGATCCGATGGCAGGCAGAGTTCTTCCGGGCATTCTCACCACTCTGCGCGAACAAATAGCCTGGGTCTGGATGCCGCCAGGCTGGTTGGATCGTCCAGCGCGTCTCCGTTGAACACTACCATTCCTCCCCCTGGGCTCTTTCTGCTGGGGCCGGTACCCTGTATCATACGCTGCTGGTTGACAACCAACTTCTCAAATGACACCCTGCTTTATGCTGTGGTCTGTTCAGGCTCGTATACGTCGTTTCTCTGCTATCCCTTGATCGAGAAACTGGGCTTGGAAGAACACATTGCCGTCGAGGATGGCGTGCGGTGTATCAAGTTGCCCTTATATCTCCCCGAAGCGAGCATCCATCAGACGTCCTCCCGTGCGGGCAGTCCAACCCCACAGCTGCCCACGTTGACCATTCGGTTCGTCGTGCGCGATGTAGATCCCAACGATAAGTGTATTCAGATATTCATTGGAAGCGACGTCCTCCGCTCCCACAACGCCGATATAATGTTCTCTCAAGACAGGATCATCATGGTTGACGACGAAAGGAATAAAGTTTCCATACCGCTCGTTAGACCTGAAAATGACGCCGTTTTCAAGACTCTGTCCACTGCCTCGGAAACGTCCCGTCCTGACTACTCCAGCAGACGCAATGGCAATGAGGAGCGGCCGATCAACGGACATGGCTCCGTAGGAGTGATCGGGCCACCTACCTCTAACCCGCCGCAAGAAGCGACACCGGCTTCTCCCGCAAAGACGACCACAGAATCTGAGGGGCCTGACGGTCACAATAGGGATCGATCGGCGCCATCCGAAGACGAGCCTTTGGAGCCTCACCTACAGAGCGTGGAGACGAAATCACCTGAAGAGCATGAAACTGTTCCTGCAGAGTCCGTTCCTGCAGCTCCGGCGAAAACGGAGCCCGCTGGCGTATGGGGTTCTTGGCGGCGCGACTCGAAGGCTGATCAAAGCGCGATTGGGATGGCCAAGTCGACGCGTGGTCGAGCCATGAAGGTGTTGCGGCCGTCCAAGTCCTCTTCCCGGGTGGCTTCGAGCACATCCCAAAGCGCGGGCGCGGGTGCGGAATCGGGGTCGTCGCAGGCGGGTGATGCTGGCCGTCCAGCGTCACAGTCGTCGCCTGCCAGTGGCCCTGAGATCGTCCATCCGACTCCAAGCCGGACGACGAGCTTCAAAGCAGGAGATGGCCCATGGTCCAAATCGCGGACCAACAACCCCGTGGGAGGTGCTTCTGCCTTTGGGTGGCTGAACTCAACCCAGCCGTCCAAGCCTGCTGCAACAAGTGAGTAGGCGGTTAACTGTACGAAGTATGTATCCGTCGTTTAGGTCTGGGACCAGCTGGTAAGGTGTCATGCCACGTTTGACCATGTTGGGTGAGCAGAAAGGCTCACGGAAGGCATTGATTGTTATTATGGTTCCGTGGCGCTAGCTATGCTGAGATATGCAGTGCTATGCTTTATAGTAATGGAACTGATTGATCGCTGAATACTTGATATCGTAGATATGAGCAGTAGTTCCCTTCTTCCTGAAGGAAGTAGCGAGGATCCTATGGCTTCAGGCTAATTCCTGCTGAAGGCCGCCAGATCGATCAATCTAGATTTCTATATATATATATAGGCACCATGGAGTTGACACGAGGTACCGTACATGCATCGTACATACGCATCTTCCCACTCTGTACCCCGTACGGAGTAGTTTTCGATGAATTATTTGAACCTTGGGGCTTCCCCGCATAAATGTCTATTTTTAAGCTTGGCGTCATTGCATCGCATGTGGCCTTCCCATATTCCCGACTTTCTCCGCTCCGCTTGCCCCCTACTCCGTATGCCCCGCACATCAATCATCTATTTATTAATGACATGCATGCACCGACCTAGCTAGCTCCTCTTAGATATTAACCGTTTTATTTATCATCCTGGTTATTGATAGTGTTTTTATTTATAGGTATTTCTTGGATCAATTGGTTGTTTGAAATCTTGGATTTCATTGAATCTCTCTCTCTTGTACTGTACCACATAGAGATATATACACCATGGCAACCGTGGCGGCGGCAGCTACGAGGGCGAGTCGGATAAGTGAGTATTATTGCTTTCATTACCTTATTTTACTACCCATCTTCATCTTGGTTGTTTTATTGAGAGATACGAAGAGACTGCTTGTTACTGCATGCGCAAAATGCAATGACTGTCTTGTCGACGTCTTGCGCATATGACTTATTCTCTTGAAATATGTACTCTGATATGCAATTGGAATATTTGCGCTAACGTTCTAGAGAACAGAGAATCCTGCTTTATTGTATGAATCCCAGCCCTATGATACATAATACCTTCAAAAGCTCACCACAGTTTTTTTTTTCTCGGTCACACAGCATATGCGATATCCAGGAAAAGTTCCGCGGTGTTATCTATGAGTTTCCGAAGCTGTGAGTGACTTTTCAAAGACTTGAATCGGGTCTGAACATTGTGTATGCCTTTATCTCTAACAGCTTGTTATGTTATCAATAGCGTCTCCACCTCCCAGAAGCTCCTCAAAGCAAGCACACACCTCAACATCCCCGTGTACGTGAGCACGCAGAACCGCGCCCGTCTGGGCGAGACCGTCGCCGAACTGCAGCCCTTCCTGTCCGGGCCACACGTGCGCGCCGACATTGAGAAGACGCTCTTCAGCATGATCACGCCCGAGTTACGGGCCAAGCTGCCCGACACGAGTTCGACGTACAGCAACAGCAGCAGCACCAGCAACGCCAACGAAACCACCCCGCTAGACGCCATCATCGTCGGCCTCGAGACGCACATCTGCGTCACGCAGACGACGCTCGACCTCCTGGCGCTGGGTTACAGGGTCTACGTCGTCGCGGACGGCGTCAGCAGCGTCAACCCCGAGGAGCGGCTGGTCGCGCTCGCGCGGCTGCGTGATGCCGGGGCCATCATCACGACGAGCGAGAGCCTCATTTTTGAGATCCTTGGGGATGCGAAGCACGATGCGTTCAAGGCTATCAATGGCTTGGTTAAGGAGACGAAGGATGAGACCGAGGCTGCGCTGGGGGCGTTTTGTAGGATTTAGCTAAATAGATCTTGGCTCTGAAGGTATTGATTATGGTTTTTGTTTTTATTTTCCTTTTTGGGATACAAATGGAATCGAACTTGTTTTGAATTAAGGTTAAAATGATCTTATAATACAATCATTGGAAAGAAGAAAATGTGATATTTCAAGGGGTTATATTTGTTACACTTCGTTATGAAATCGCTTGTTTAACAATTGATTGGTTCTACGAATCGGGATATTATCTGCAGGCTTCTTTTTTTTTACAAACCTTTTCTCTTCTTTCTTCCAGGAATAGTATCATCGGTCATTGTTGTCATCGTTAGAGGTGAATCTCCTGGATCTTTGCACGTCCTGTGAACCAACTGTTGTCCCCCTTTCGAGCTGCTTCCCGGATCGCGTACAGCTCGTCGAGGAAGGCTGGGACGAAGCTTCCCGGACCACGGACTCGATCCTCCGCGGCGGCAGCGTTCTCGGCGGCGATCTCGAACATCAGCACGCCAGAGAGGACGGCGAGGAGTTTGTCGGTCCGGTGGACGGTCAGGAAGGCGCCGGAGACGGTGCCGAGGGCGCATCCGGTCTGATGTCTTTTGTTAGTCTGTCTGGCTGGAGAATGTAAAACGAGATTTTACTTACGCCAGTGACTTGGCCCAGGAATTCATGGCCGTTGCCTATCGCGATCACCCGGTTCCCGTCGCTGATATAGTCCACAGCACCTGTCAACAGGACAATGTTGCCTATGAAGACTTGGTTAGCTTTCTTCTTACTCAAGGACTAGCTGAGGCCAGTTCGTACGCTCTCTACGGGCCAGGTCCCGCGCCAGAGCCGCTTTCTCGCGGTTGTTGAGCGTGCTTGGTCCGCTGTCGACACCACGCTGTCTGCCAGCGCTGTTGCCAAACACTTCTCTGATTTCACCTTCGTTGCCCTTGATCAGGTCAAAGTATCCGCCCGCCATCAGCTGTTTCACTGCTGCTCGACGGATCTCAGTAGCTGCTGCTCCCACGGGATCGTACACGACGGGGTTTCCGCGCGCGTTGTACGCCTGGATGGCCTTGAGGTAGTTGGAGACACTCTCGCCGTTGAGCGTGCCCATGTTGATGAGAAGACCACCGCCGTGCACAGCCAGATCAGCAGCCTCGTCACCATAAGGAGACATTATCGGGGATGAGCCGCTGAAGACAGGACGTCAGTAATCGCTGCTTACTGCACACAAGTGTCCGATGTTCAAGAGCCTCTTACATTGCCAGAGCGACGTTGGCAGCGAAATTGGCGACGACGAAATTGATCATGCTGTGTACGAGCGGATGCGCGGAGACCATTTCTTGCACCACTGTTGGCACTTCGCTTAACAAGGCATCCACCTCGTTCGGGCGTGGAGCAGGAGGGAGGACCGCAAACGGAGGAAGGGTGCTGATGCGCTTGACAAATTCTTGGGCGGCGGACTTAGGATCATCTGCCCCCATAATAGCGCTCACGACGGCAACGCCATCCAGGCCTTTGTTGGAGGCCTGCGACTGGAAAATGACGCGCTGGACATTGGACAGATTGATTCCTCCAATTGAAACGGCTCCAACCTTGCGATCCATGTCTCCAATAGCCTCCAGGATCTTCTTGGTGCCGGCGGTCCCGATTATATTCTTGGTGTTCGTTTTGCTGTTTGCGTTAGGCACTGTGTATTAGAGTTTACGGGGATCTTTAGAATGACTTACGTTGGGGTTGCAAACATCGTGCCGATCCCCAAGTAGTCGGCCCCCTGCTCAACTGCCCTCCGAGCCTCCTCTACCGACGAGACACTGATGCCGATGATGGCATTTCCGGGCAGCAGTTTCTTGGCAGCTTCGATATCTGTGCTCTGTTAGCATGTGAGACTGCATCGGAGGTTGGTAGAGCACTCACCCATGTCATCCTGGCCGAGATGCACGCCCTCCGCCCCTGATGCAATGGCAACGTCGACGCGGTCATTGATGATCAAGGGCACATTATAGCGTTGTGTGATGGCGTGCAGCTTCTTGGCTGTCTCCACGAGGACGCCAGTGTCGTTGGTTTTGTCTCTGTACTGGACAATAGAGACTCCTAAGGATCGAGAGATGATCAGTTAGCCCGGGACGTATAATGGGAGAAACAGCGCAAACATACCCCCTTTTAGCGCCTCCTCTACCACGGTGCAGAGATCTCGCCCCTTGAGAATGGCAGGGGTCGAGTCCGTCACCAGGTACAGAGAGAGATTGATGGACATGGTGTTCCTGGTCGTTGCAACGAAGGAGTGTGGGGTTGTATAAAATAGCTCAACGCGGACTTTCTATAGATGTCAGACCAATAACTGGAATAAAGAAGAGGCTAAACAAAGAAACAACAGAGATAAAGACAGTGTAAGTGAAGGAATAACTTGTAATTCAAACTGCTTGAAAAAGAAAAGAAAAAGGGAGACGTGTTCAGACACGTTATCATTGTCAAATTTTCAGAGCACGAAAACACATGGATATCATGATATGTGTGGCCTTGGCCAATCATGTTGATATTCACTCAATGCCTTCATGAGGGCTGCAGAAGGAAATTTCTGCCTCAACAGAAGGAAAGACACGTTTCTGAAATGCAATTGATATGCTATGTAGCAAAATAATGTGGCGAGGAAAAGGTATCCCAGTATGGCAGTGCAGTATCAAACCCGGCCATCACAGAAGCAGACATTCTGGCCTTACCTTACTGTACTGTACAGTACTATGGCGAATCACAATGGTGAGGGTATCACTGGGTATCGTAATAATTATGACATATATGATATCTACAGAAAAAGTGCTATATTTGCATTTACAGCAGCTGCGTGCCTGGCCCAATTAATCTTTAATTACTGCTATCCTGGTCTCCCCGCTTGGCGTCATCTCAGCGGGCATCCTGCGCGGGGCGCTGATTGGCCGCGCACCCCGTGATCGGGGAGGCAAACAGGCAAAATTCGCCAAGGACGCGCGAGCCCGGCGCGAATTCCGTGGTCACGTGCCAGGCCCTGGTCCTCGAGCCGATGACGGTAATGATTCGTAATACAGCCCGCACGTGACAGCACAGCGCCTCCACAGTGGCACGCAGCCGCCGTTCTGGTACGGTAACGCCTGGTACGAAATTACTAAGATGCGACCTCGCCTCGCCGCTTGTTAAGCATCAGGCCCGCCGGACCACTGACGACGTGTTTTCCGAGTCGCTGCCTTCAAATTTCTTCTGCTGCACCCCAACTTTTCTTCCTTCCCCATCCACCGCAGTCGCTGCACACAGTCGACTTTCCATCTCCCTCAACTCCTCTATCTTGTCCACTTTCTGTGCCAGCGTCTTCGGACAGCCTTCTCAACCACTCTCCAGGCGATCCTCCGAGTCCACGCCCCTCAACAACAGTCAACTGTTCTCTCAGTCTTGACTGTTTGCCCCCCATCCAAGAACCACCCGTTGGTTTCTCTTACCCCCTCTACCAGCGAACACCACGTATCGAAGTTCGAGAACCTGTTCATGTATTCGTCCTGCGTCAACGCTTTCGAACACCACCTGCCGCTTGAGCTGCATACGTTTCGCTTCCTGCGGAAACCGTGTAGTATACATTCAAGATCCTGTGGTTGAGACTTTTTGCTGGGCTGCCCCCACCGTTTCCGTTTTGACCGTGCAAAGGTTTTTCAGACCCTCGTTCTGAAAAGCAGAGGTCCATCTCTACGCCTCTCTTCTCTCTCGCGAACTACCGACTCATCGACGCCGCATGTATTTTTGCAGCAGCAAAATCTCCTTGGCTCTGCTTCCTGTTGTCCTCCCTTCCGGAAAGCCTCCTTTTCTAGTTTCGTGAAAGAAACCGTCCAGCTTCCACCGCAACCATGGCTACCATCAACATTCGTCGGGATGTCACCGATCCCTTCTACCGCTACAAGATGGAAAAGATCCAGTCCAAGATCGAGGGCAAAGGCAATGGCATCAAGACCGTTGTCGTTAACCTGAACTCGGTGGCCCAGTCCCTGAGCCGTCCCCCGGAATACGTCATCAAGTATTTCGGGTTCGAACTCGGTGCTCAGGCCAATGCCAAGCCGACCGACGATCGCTGGATCATCAACGGTGCCCACGACGCCCAGAAGCTGCAAGACTACCTTGATGGATTCATTGCCAAGTTTGTTCTCTGCAAGAAATGCAAGAATCCCGAAACCGATGTCGTCATCAAGGACAATCGCATCCTCCTGGATTGCAAGGCTTGTGGCCAGCGTTCCGAGGTCGATCCTCGCCTCAAGCTCAGCACCTTCATCTTGAGGCAGACATCCGCCAAGGGAGGCAAGAAGGACAAGTCCAGCAAGAAGAGCCGTCGCGAGAAGAACAAGGAGAAGAGCGAGGAGAATGGAGACAAGAACGGCAGCCCGGGAGACAGCAACGTTTCCGACAATGGCGAAGGTGACAATGGTGAAGTTGAAGTGGATGCCCACAGTGATGATGAACTCACCCGCCGCATTAATGCCGATGCCAAGGGCATCAGCACTCAGGACGATGATGTCGAAGAGGAGAAATGGGCCGTCGACACCTCGGAGGAGGCTGTCAAAGCTCGTGCCAAGGAACTTCCCAACGACCTCAAGCGGTCCCTCGTCTTCGATGATGGTGACGAGGATGGCGAGGGTGAGAGCGGTCCCAGCCTCTACGACCAGCTGGGAAGCTGGATCATCAGCACAGCCGCGGAAACCGAGGGTGGTGTTGCCAATGTCCGCGACGTCGACATCTACATGAAAGCCAAGGAACTCGGTATCGAGAACAAGCACAAGACCTTGACTGTGCTGGCCCAGACCATCTTCGATGAGAAGATCGTCAAGCAGATCCCTAGCCGTGCTGCCATGCTGAAGAAGATGATTACTTCGGAGCGCCATGAGAAAGCTTTCCTCGGTGGTACCGAGCGTTTCGTCGGCAAGGACCATCCCGAGCTCATTCCTCAGGTTCCAGCTATCCTTCTTGGGTACTACCAGCATGATCTGGTGTCCGAAGAGGTGCTCAAGAATTGGGGTACCAAGGCCAGCAAGAAGTACGTCGACCTCGCCACTAGCAAGACGGTTCGCAAGGCCGCCGAGAAGTTCCTCGAGTGGCTCGAGAACGCCGAGAGTGACAGCGAGGAGGAAGAAGAAGAGTAGATTCATGCCACCTGTGACAGCATACACCTGACATGGTCAACTCCTTCACGCATGAAATAGAGTTGCTTTGGTTTTACTCTAGAGGCAACTTTTCTATTATCTCGTTGTCTGCTGCCCTTTGCTCAACTTCCCTCAATCCAGAGATGGTTTGAGGAATTGTATTGCACCCTGAATTCGAGTACTACACTACACTTGTGTCTTAGTGATTGTCTGTTTGTTCGTGTTTTCTGGCTTTTTGTCTAATTCGTGTCCTTGTGCTCAACACAAAAACAGAATTAGCCGAAATAGCGAGAATAGGAGTCCCCGCTCATTCTTTTGCCACTCGATTGACCAATCCTCTTTCAGGAACTGCATTGCTACGTAGGAGTTATACCTAAGTATCACCTGAATTACCGTAGGAAGGATTACTAGCAAGCATGTAGGTTCAACCAGCCAAGGGTGGCAACTTAAACAAACTACCTAACTTTAACTGTTAGACTCAAGGTAATCCGTAATATCGTAACATCATTTCATTTCATTTCATCCAATATTTACTAAAAAGGTCGTATCTACTATCTAGACTAGAAGGCTACTTCCGCGAACTTCAACTTCGCATTTCCGTTTCCTCTTCCTTTGGGAAATTTCTTCTTCAGGGCCTCATGTAGGCGTGATTGGAGGAGATCGCCGCCATCACCACCACAATTATTATTGACACTACTACCGGCAGGTGTGCTGCCGGTGGCACCACTCTTGTTTATCAACCTCATTATCTTGGCCCGCTCTTGCTGGAAGATGAACCACGTGAGGTCTTTGTTCCACGTTTCCATCGCCTCGATGGCGGCTTCGACTGCTTCCAGGTCTTTGTTGTTGTCGTCGTAACCTTTTTGTGTGGTGGTCTTTTTCCTCTTGGATGATATCCGGGAGTTGTAGTATCCCGGTCCGGCGAACCTTGTGATCCACGCACCTAGGAATTCGCAGATCTCGTCGCCCGTGGCGAGCGGTAGTCGGACATGGAGGAGCATGCTAATGAATAAGGCGAGCAGTCCCCGCCAGAGGGTGTGATGGGGCGTGAACGGTCGAGATCCTGCTGTGCCTGACTGGGCCAGACTTAGGCCAAGTGTCAGATCTAATCCTGCTGCTGACGAGTTTTGGGACTGATTATTGGACCCTTTGCCATCTGTCCCCGCGAGCTGTCTTCTCTGATATTGAGCTCGGCGTTCTATGCTCTTCTCAGCATCCACCCGCACCTTTTCCCATGCCTGTAGATAAAGGCGTCTCCAGCGCGAATATTCGGATTCAACACGCGAGGCCATGAAATCACCGGCATATTCGCACATGGCTGCAACGGCTGTGCAAGCAGCGCTGACTACGAAGACCTCTTCCTTGATGTCTCCCTCGTCCACAGTCCGCTCTGGCCGTCGAGTGACCTCTGAAGAGCTAGTAGTCGTGAGGCCGGAAGGAATGAGATCCAATGAGAGAGACTGTGGGGAGGCAATTCTGGAGTTGACGGACGGCCAAAGCTCATTGATTAGAGGTAAGAAACTGTTCTCATTTCGCGCGAGAACAGGAAGTGCCTGCGTAAGAAGAGAGAGCAGGGAGCGGCGTAGGAATGGTGAGGGAGATCCGAGGTGAGGCGGGATAGATTTGACTATGTGAAGCAGAAGCGTGTGCGGTTTGCTGAGAGGCTTCTCACTATCTTCTGGTTCCTTAGGTGGTGGAAGTGGCTCATCTGTTTCTTCCTTTAGAATTTCAGGTAGAGAGTCTGTTTCTTCTTCTTTTGGCTGGGGTGGTCCGTCGAGCTCCATCGTCCACGGACGTTTGGGGTGTGACAGTCTTTCTCCGTCAGCCTCGAACTCCAGATCATCATACCGAGCGCGCTTGTTTCTCCGATTCGCGAAATCTTCGACAAGCTTGGCGATTGAAACAGGTTCATACTGGCGTTTGCGATGATTGACAGTATCGCTTTCGCCATTGCTGGTGATAGCTAGTAAGGACGGTTCCTTGACGCCCTCCTCCACGATTGCCCCCAGCGTAGAGAAAAGCAGCTCCACGAGTTTTGGATATCCATGGTACATGTCGATTATACCAAAGATCGAGTCGACCAGATCGTCCAAGTATGGGATCAAGCTAGCTCCACACAGCCTGACCATCATCAGCAGAACTTGCGGTGGGTAAGGCGATACATCAAACGTGTTAAGCTTCAACCCCACAGAGTTAACGAGATAATCCACATTTTCAATGAGCATAGTGCGCGTATCTGGATAATTGCAAGATGTGGTGAGGATGTTCAGACACGCCATGGCGTGATTCTGCAAGTTTGGATTGTTTGACGCCAGAAACTGTAGAACAGGGTATAATGCATCTATCAGCTCCGGCCGGAAAGCTTCTCCAAGCTGTTGGGCTTGTAAAGCAACCGCCTCCAAACCAAGTGCCGAGATACGCCAATCTCGCTGCACTGCCGTTGGAGGTTCATTTAAAATCGGCAATGCGACAGAGTATAACTCTTCGATCATGGTGGCGCGAGCGGAAGAGAGTGATGAAGACTGTGCATTTTCAAAGGATACAAACTCGTCGATACTTATAGTTTTATTAGAGGTGTTTTTCAGAAACGCAAGAGCAAGCCAGAATGGAGCAATAAGGGAGTCCCCAGAAGCGTAATGTATGCGATTCATTATTGACCGCGTAATCGCCTCTGCAGAATCTGTCGAATTGAGCCTTGAGATCATGGATTGCAGATCTTTAAGAGTCTGCTGCTGACTCCGATGCTCCAGGAGTACAGGAGGAAAAGAATGCAGTATATTCCGTCGTTCGAGCACACTGACTTCCAGCTCTTGACCTCCAGTGGAGTTTAGTGGTTGCGGCATCGTTTTTGATGACTCAACGACTGCAGCGACGCTGTCGCATAATCCCAAGGCCATGCTATTATCGAGAATCCCTGAGCTGGAATGGACTTGGGAAAGAATTTGGAATGCAGTTGATATTTGCCTGATGGCTCTCTGCTTGGCCACCTCGTCGTTGCCCTGCATAGTCCTGTGGAAGGACATGATCCACGTATGGAGCAGATCTTTCAGAATGTCCACAACCTGGGAGTAAGTAGTGGCAAGGTGCTGCAATGCAGAATATGCATCGTTGGGCTTGTTATTTTCGTCGAGCTCAGAAAGAACGACGATCGTCTCTACCATTAAAACCAACGAGTCCTTCAGCGTCTTAGGGCATTGTTCTATGACCATGAGACAAAGATCAAGAAGAGCCTTTTTAACCTCTCGCCGTTCGTGACGCCTTATTTGAGTAACATTTGCAAGGGCGACTTTAATCTGAGCAGTTGTTGCTTTTAGCCATGACTCGTCGAGCACTATCCTGTCATTCGACGTCGGCTTATCTGGTTGCGCTGGACCCGAAAGGGCGACAGTATCGTTGAGAACAGCGTGCAGTATTTCTGTTAGCAATTGCAGAGACATCTGTAGAAACCGGGAAGAGCGGCGAGACTGTGTCGTGGGTTTCAAGACCTTCGTCAGATCAGATACTGCTCGGGGCATGATACTGGCTAGGACTACTCGATCTGTAATGCGGGCGACGAGAGCTTGAAGAGCTGCCACAGCAGCCTTCTGGATGGCATCAGAGGCCCCATCTGTGACTCCTTCCAGAAGTATATAAACTGTCTGGTCAATAATTGTTGCTGTTCCTATCTCGTTGAAAATGGTCTGCGCCGCCACCGGCCCCTCTAGCACTCTAAAGAGAGCCGTCATGCAATTAAAAGCTGCATGGGTCAACTCTTCTGATTGAGGCTTTGGCACGACTTCTCCACGGTTCTGAGCAGGTCTTCCCCCAACAGGATCGTCAAGAGATGAGCAGCTG